AAAAAGGGTCAAATAAAATAAAATGAAAAGAGACAGAAAGAACATACCTGCCCAATAGCAATCCACAGCTCCGAATCTTTAATATTCGTCGCCGACTTATCAAACCGACTCAAGAAGCGTGCGGTGCCGTTCTCCGCCGCATTGTATAGCTTTGAGAACGTCTCCGTGATATCATCCTCGTCCTGGATACCGGCGGTGTTGTTCTTGGGCCCGGCCAGGTAGAAGTGATCGCGGAAGGCGTAGCACGGCCGCTCCTCGTGGTCCGCGCAGTCGTCGCCAAAGCATGGCGTCGTGCTGTTCTCGTCCTTGTATTTGCAGCCCGAGGCGAACCCGTTGTGGATCGCGATCTGCTCCGCCGTCTTGTGGTATGTGATCCCTACGTCGACCTTCTTGGTTTTCAGGTTGTTGATGGTCTCTGTCGTGTCGCCCTTTACCCATTCGACGCTGAAGGCTTTACTGCTGTCTTGGCAGTTGTTGGTTTGGTTTTTGATGAAGTGCGTGGCTAGTTCTGGGGGACGGGTTAGCGGCGTTAGGGTTAGGGGGTTATGCAGGTACTGATTGTTACGTACCTTTTACGAGACCGCTTTGGCCGGCGCCTCCGTTGCCGATGCGCAGTTTGACTGGATTGTCGCCCTTGCAGCCGCCATCGTACGTGTCTGCTGCAGCGAGGCTGCTGTAGAGGGAGGCCGCGAGGGCCACGGAGAGGCCGAGGGAGGATGGGAAACGCATGGTGAGATCTGAGCGGGAGGAAGATCCTGGTTCTACAAAACAAGAGCTGGGAAGGAATAGTTTATATACAGTCCTCCTCCGTCCATCAGCTGAATAGCCTTTGCAAACCAAGCCCAAACACAAGGGTCTAGCTGAAAGGGGCCCAACACGAGCAGCCCTGCCAGATCATCACAGTAGGCACCTCGGTGGGCCGCAAACCACGCTTCGTCTCCCGTGTGGAATCGACCGATGCAAGTGACCGTGCCAAGCATCTTGATCTGTTCACCAAGGATCTATTTTGCGATATGATCAGCAACTGACGGCATTGTGTACGAGCTCATCCGCGGACAGCGGTGGAGCTGAACCTACGATTGACTAATAAATCCCTCCTGCTCCTCGGGTTCATGGGTGATAACAAGGGTCTCGGTAGACTATTTGTAAATAAGTTCAGCCAAAGGATTATCAAACGTGCTAGTGTTGGACGAAAACAAGGTCGTGGATCAGCGGTTTCCTATCATGACTTAGGGTTCGTGGGTCCGTACCCACTGTGGCTTTCTAAATGGCAAGGGACAGACAACACAGTATAAGGAGTGTCGCGGGCTAGATTATTTTTACAGGTCGGCGGAGGAAAAAATTCAATATTAAGCATACGATAACATAAAATAAAATGAACAGGGTAGAGTATATGTGGAAAAGGAGGAGTAAACAAACCTTGTCTGGAGAGAGATGTCTTACATGGAAATCTAGAAAGCGAGAGATCCGACATTGACCACGAAGCATGCAGGAACCTGGAGTGAATAGCGATCTGAAGTTCGTTCAGGGTTTCAAGGCCCCGCTACTTTAGGGGCAGAATTTTAGTATACAGCGCTAGAACACTGATCAAATAGATTTGAGATCGGTTGTAGTATTATCTCAGTAGAGCGGCCATGATGTACATGGTTGTCTACTAGTAGAAATTATTCAGAGACAGTTGACCTTCGTCGTGAACAGCCCGTAACTACTACTATATTCTCAAGATCTTACTACAATCTATGCAAATGATTATAGCCTCCCAATTGCCGTATCGCCGACCAGCCCAGATTGTGCATCAAAAAGGATCCGTATACTCTATGACTAAGCCGGACTAGAACATCATCTCTCAGTCTCGCATACAAGGTACAACGGTCCGTCTAGTATAGGGTCAAAGCCCCACGACTTCATCGAATCCCTCCGAGCACATGGAATTGCTAAAACATGAAGCGCTCTCGTGATTCAGAACAGACCTCGCCTCGAATCACACAGCCTGCCGTGCATATCCCCAAACTCTCCAGCCTTGATGCGCCAGTATCTCCTCCCAGGAAGAGGTCCATGGCAAAAGCTACACATTCGAGTAATGCCTCATCAAACTTAAGCACCTCAGCGCAAGAAACAGAAGCCTCCACCAATAAAGAGCGCCACAACCTAGCCGCAATCGAAGCCGGCCAGGTGCAAGTCACAGACCACCTATCCATCTTCTCTTCACGACTCCGTCAATCTGCCCGTCCTACAGTACCACAATCACCTCGATTGCAGATTCCAGACTGGGTATCTCTGTACCAGCGCAACCAGTCTCCAGAAGGAAGACACTTCGTCATCCATCAGCATGACCACCCCATTGCCGGGCCGCATTATGATCTCCGGCTGCAGTTCTCGGACTCCAGTTCTGTGAGCTGGTCCATCATGTATGGATTGCCGGGTAACCCTAACAGCCGCCGCATGAACCGGAACGCGACGGAGACGAGGGTGCATTGTTTATGGGTTTGTATTCTCTACCTCCCCACATCTCTATATCTACTCATCTTAGTACGCTGTAGAGGCTAAGAACACCCACAGAACCATCTCATCGAAACCGCCTCCCCCCGAACAGGAAGCATGATCATCTGGGACACAGGAGAATACGAAATCCTCCCCTACCGACCCGAACAAACGCTACCTGAAACAGACGACTCCCGTTCCGCCATCTCGTCAGATACATCCATCTCAACCGTAGACTCAAAAACCGAGAATGAGAAACTCCGCCAAGCGTTTCACAACGTATGTTCCGTGACACTCTCTCTTATAAGAGGAATAATTTCCCCGGTCCGAATTACTAACAGAATCAGCGCAAGATCCGCCTCCGTCTCCACGGAACAAAACTCCCCCAAGACTACACCATCATCCTCCGTCTCGACAAAAATAGAGACTTCAGAAGAATCCCCACCACATCCCAAAAGCGACGCCGTAGAGCGGTACCAAACCTTAAACGAGGGCCTAGTACCTCGTCGTCTGGATCCTCGCCACCTCCTAAGAGTGATTCAACAGGGACGCCGGCTCCTGGCGTTTCGAATCAAACTCTATCTGCGTCTGAGACACCCGGTGGGGAACACTCGGATGAGGATGACATAGACGAGCAGATTCGGACTAATAATGCATATCCTGGGGCTGTTAACTCTATTGGCTCAGTTCATCAACGGAGATGGTTTGTTACTCTGGACCGGGTGAATTCGGGGTTCGTGGCTGAGGTTGGGTCAGGACCTGGTGGGAAGAGGTGGGTGAGGAAATGGGATCCTGCGACGGGGAGGCTGTTAGGTTTTGAGCCGTTCTATGTTCGGGGACCTGGGGTTGAGAGGAGTGTTGTTACGGGGAGGTTGGGGAGGGATGTTTTGGAGGATGAGGGTGTGGAGGGTTTTGTGCCTAGACGGGGGTGGAGGGCTGTTCTGGAATGAGCAATAAAGTATTGTATTCTGCTCGTTGGTCTTAATTGATTTAGGTAGGGGAATTGTTACATATCAGATACGAGCATTTGGAAGACAAATGTGGTTCTTCGCTTGCGATGTTGATAGATTAGTCTAGTACCAATATGGTGGAATAGATCATGGACACGTTCGCCTGCTATATCGTGTCCGTATATGCAATCAACCCAAGAATACCTGCACAATAACCTCATTGCTCCATCCCGGTTTCAACTTCATCTCCCTCCACGCCGTCAGAATATCCACAGCCAGTATTTTGGTCTTTTTATCATCCCCTTCCTTCCTAACAGTCTTCCGTGGTACAGGATAACCGAGGATTGTGACCATCAAGTCTTCCTCAATGCTCCAGTCAGGCAGGTCAGATATATAAACCCCTAGTGTACCAAGTGCTTTCAGACTAATATCGAAGCGGAGACGCCCGTTCGCCTCCACGTAGATATCGGAGCTCACTATGGCAGCTGCACCGGTCATTTTTCCGAGCAGCCCCAAGACGGCAGCGTGCGTAGGATTTCGTTCGCTCGTGTCACTGGGCTTTTTGTATTTCAAGTTAAAGGCTTGAGTGGGGTATGCGGTCAATATCTCCCAGCCTTTATCTTCTAACACAGCGCCTACGAGCGCGTTTCTATCGAATGGCCTCATGAGATCTGTTATGATGCCGCTTGTGTGAGATCGGACGATGTATTTCGTATCATAGTCATCATGGATACCCGGGAATTCTTGCAGAGACACCAAAGTAGTTCTGCGATAATCAGAAACGTTGAAGAGACCCAGAATCCCACTTCCGGTTCGGGCCCAGCCGGTATAGGTGCCCACCCGCAGGACGTGGCCGACGCTGTAGTCGTGGTACATATCAATAGTGCGGCCTGCTAGACTAGGCCGAAGGATAACCGTAGCACCCTGAGTGGTTGGGGCTGTTATCTCGTTGATGAGGGAGATGTTATGATTTCCTGGTTCGTCGGTGATATAGATTGGGCCGCCGGAAACGCATCGCGCAGCTGCGTGGAAAGAGGCATATGGATGGCTCGTTTGAAACATATCCCAGTCAGGCAAGACGTTCAAGTAGCGGGTGAGGAGTGCGTTATGGGCATTGCAGAAGACATGCCACGTATGAGACGCTGGCACCTCTGGGAAGAAGTCATCAGAATTCCGTAGTGGGATAGTTGGTTTATTAGTGGGTAGCTGTGAACTAAAAATAGCCTGAGGAAACATCGACATGCACGAGATGGCCTTTGTCCCGAAGTATCTCAGAGAGGAAATGGACCAGGCGTCCTGGTAGGCCCGAGTGAAACTCCGCCGATCTTCTGGGTCCTTCAACAGATCAAGGAAGAATTGCGCATCGGTCTTCACGGCATCGACACCAGTAGAGGCAAGATAACTGTAGAACTCGTCATAGAACCGCTGAACATCATCTGGGTGGATGGCAAGTAGTGACTGCTTTTCAAATGCCTTGGCAATTGGACCTCCCGCTGCTGGATCTTTAATCTGCACTTCTTTCGTTTTGAATTTATTGGCTATGTCCCCGTCGGGTGAGATACCACCCCAATATCCGAGCAAGGCATGCCACACGCCAATGTGTTGGATGTTCGGATGTTTTCGGCGGATGGCCTCTACAACCTTCTTCAGCCCTCGTGGAAACGCATCTGGATTGGCTTCGAACTGTTTCCATCTCCGCTTGAATTGGGAATCACCTTCATTGTCCAACGCTTGCCAGTTATCATCAATGATAAGGTTAGAGATGTTGATTCCATGGGATCTCAGTGTATCAAGAGCATTGAAAATCTTTTCTTCCGTTAGATCCTGCCCTAAGCCATTCCATGTACAGTACGTCAGACCATCGTACCACTCGGATAACCATTGTGCCTCGGGATCCTTTTCGACTAGTACGACATCGTCCCCAGGAGGAGAGACCGGGGTTGGAATCCGATCAGTAGTCTCTGCATCATAAGGCCGAACCAGCTTCCGCGCCTCGTAAATCACTGCACTTGTTGCTACCTCAAAGTCGGCTGCTGTAGATACCAATATTTGAAGACCCGATGCAGTATTGTTGTCATTCTGCGACTTTATCACTACTTCACCGTTATCACCGGACCCAAAGACGGTCAAAACGTTATTTATGCCGGAAACAGCTAGAAGCACCACATGCTCCCCATCCTCTCGCAGGAACGAGCATAGAATGGCGTCTTCTGTTATTCTAAACTTTCCTCGTCCGTGTCTTGGTCCAAGCCACGGAGTCCATACCCTGACTAACGCAAAGTAAAAGATTGTCCGAGAAGGTACTCCAAGTGTGACATTAGTGAGTCCAGACCGACCATCCTGAGCTGGACCGACCTTTCCAGAGACATGCCACAAGGTTGAGCCAGGAGCTTCACTTCTGCGGCACTCGACTTTGAGATCAGGTGAGAGGCCATCGAAATAGTTGCTAAACCCCTCCTTTGCTGATGCTAGAGAAAGCTGTGCCAATTTGATGTTTTCTTGCTCAGGTTCTTTTGCAGCAAACACTAGTTCTCCGTCCTTGGTGTTCTGCTGTTGATTCACCCATTGCCAATCATGGTCTTGACTGACCCTGTACCGGACAGTAAATTGGGCGCAGCCTCCATGTGATGGCAGCAGAATGTCTCCAGAAAACACATGGCGATGAAATTTATATTCTGATTCGGTTTTGTTCACCAGAGGCACCCCCGAGCTTTGCTGAAGAGGGACAGCACTCCATTCAGGGCTCGTGATGTTTTGCCAAATCTGAGCTTCCCATGGCTGCTCGGGGAGTGAATGGCTTGATTCTATCACCACAGTAAATCGAGCCTATTACAACATTAGAGGCTAGGACTATCATATGGTATTATTGGTGTATACTGTATCATCTTTCCCAGAACTTGGAACTCGCTGGTCTCTCTGGTGGCACGTTACTTGCCCCAAGGGAGGATGACAAGTGATCCGAGAAAATAAGCTCATCTGTGCTGGGCGAATGAAATGGGCCTGTGATTGATTTATATTAGAACCTGCGCCCACTTTTGGGTTGGTAGATTCATTGCCAGTGTTGATCTGCATGGAATATGGTGTATCTGTAAGGCGACTTGGCTGGGGTTGACGAGGAAAATTCGAGGGTGAGCGGGTTTATTGCGATAAATTATATCCCCAAGATTCATTGGAGGAGATAGGGTCAGGGGGAAAGTCGGTAATGGATGCACGATGAGGTGTCCTTCGTGCAGAACATCCACTCAAGTGGCGTGAGGGGAATCATAAATATGGAGGTTTAGCTCTGCTCTTCTGCTCCATCATTGGCTTATATTTCTTCCAATCACATGTAGACAATAGGAGTGATTTTACAATTCCTTACCAACATCTTAGTATTTTTTAACTTGAACCTTCTCTTTCAAAGTCTCAACGAAATCATGAGAACGCTTTCCCCCTTCCGCTTAGCTTTCCCGCTCTAAGCATGGCGCATACGCCCATCTCAAGAGATAAAGACCTCCATTCTACACTAAGCCCTTATTTACAACAAACATTTGGTACATACAAGTATGGGGTGTAGAGGGCTGTGGAACTTACATATTAATGGTCGGTGAACTTTGTACTTTATGATTTGCCATACTGACATACTCTTCCAGGGACATGGTATCGCTGGTGTCATCCGCGAGGACGGATAAGTCCTCCAGATGATGAATTCACATGGCGAACGATCAGGCAGCTGCATGACAAGCCCAACAATCTTGAAGGATGGGAAATAGTCCCATTCCCTAGTCCCATCCATTCCAACCTAGACTATGTATATACTGTCGATCAAGATGCGGGTACTTTCACGATCTCACTGTGGAATGAAGTATTAGCACCTGCGACGGTATGGATCGATCTTGCCAAAATCTATGAGTCTTCCAACATCTTAAAACATTCCTTTCAACAGTCGCAATACTCGTCTAACAACAGTATCAGTGAAACAAAAGTGACCCAATTCCAGTCATTGGTTTCTGAAATACTTGAGATAGATTTTGGCATTCCCACTTCCATGAATGAGGTTCAGGAACGATTCTTTACAGATTTTGTCTTTCTATGGCGCTTTTATGTCGATGATCCTCTGACATGGAGATATGATTCTCCTGTCTTCAATGTGCTATGCATAGCTTTCCTGCGTCTTGCGGCCTGTGATTTTGAGGTGTCTTTTGATAGCAATGTCGAGGTTCCAATATCTTTCGCATCGATTCCTGCTTGGAATTACCCCAAGGCCGACATATATTGGTTCCATGGTTACCTGATTGTTCTGCAAGAAGACGTTGACTCTGGGGCCATGATAGACAGAGCCGTCTTGAAAGCCAAATCATATATCAATGATTCCCAATTTGTGCATCAGGACACCCGCTTGATTCTTATACCACCACATCATGTTACGTTTGTGGAGCTTTCCAATAATACCGCCTTGAGCAGCGGCAGTTTGGTACTGCTCGCCAACTCTTCAGCAACCCAATGTTCACCTGGCTTCCGAGCTTTAGCTCGGATTCTAACTTCAGACTGTTGGAAGAAGCCTCCGATCCTCGGAGAACGGTGGCAGTTTACCGTACCACCTGAGGTTTTCCGGATGATTCTCTGTGAATTAGACCCGCGAGATGCTGTAGCATTTGCGCAAGCTTCCTTTGCAGCCGAGCAGTACTACTATAGTTTGGTACCCCAGTTAAAGGACGTCAAAGTGCAAAATTTCAAGTCGTCTATATCCTGCTGTGGTAAGCGTGGCGGACTAGAACAGAATGGTATTTGTTGTTCCAAATGCTATTCGTGGCAGCATTTGGAGTGTGTTGGTCTTGAAAATGGTTTATCTTATAACCGGTACGTTTGTACAGACTGCCAGGGAAATAGAAACTGTATTGTTCTCGAACCCGGAGGGATCAACAGGGTCAGCCGTCGGAAAACCAGAGAAGGATGCCAGATCGAAATCAGAGGTTCGGCCAAGTCACTTCAACTGCGACTTTCCAAACCTTCCCATCTACGACCAGAACTAAAATTTCTGGGGAATCTCGTGTCAATTCCCCCTGCCCTGATTGATTATACAATCCTCTTCAACGGCTCATTTTCTGGATTGGCTTATGGCTTGGAAGATAGAGCATAGTTAGGAATATGTTTATTAGTGATGCATATTGATTGATTGATGGGCTGTGCACGTCCAATGGGAAATAGACCATGACATCGCGAATTAATCACTATTTCAAAGGAAAGGAAGTAATGCCTAACACCTTCAAAATTTAGTTGGAAAATATTATAATTCTTTATAAACTTAAGTTTTCTATATTATATAGTACGGTAGATCTCTATACTCAATGAACCGGCTAATCTATAGAAGTCTGTAGGATATTATAGAAGTCGACTACTAGTAATTTATTAACATAGCAGCCCGATGTATTACTATTAATAAAGCTTATAATATTTGATATTGTCTGTTAGCTCTATTTGGTCCGCCATAAGGTATCCTTTTCCTCGATTTGGAGTCTCAGTGTCATGGACCTTTTTAACATGAAGCCATATTCACACTGGCTACAAGCTGTGTCAAGTGATATCAATAGAAATCACCTGTCACACCTCGTGACGACTCTAATTCACGGCAACACATAATAATATGCTCTTTTCTCACTGGCTCGTATTTCTCATGGCTACCGTGATTGATAGCATAAGCTTGTCACACATTGACATCTCGCAGTTGTATCTTATCGTCTAAAAGAATTCATTTGGAACACTCATTGTCAATATGTACTCTACCATCAAGATCATTCTATTTGCCCTATTCCCACTCATCTACGGATCTCAGAACCTCCCCATTGTTGACGTTGCAATAGTAGGAGCCGGATTATCCGGCCTAAGCACAGCAAAAGACCTCTCAAAAGCCGGAAAATCCTTTGTGATATTCGAAGCTCGAGACCGAGTTGGTGGTCGCGTCCTCAATACTCAACTACCAGACAAGGGAATTGTAGAAGTCGGCGCTCAATTCCTGGGACCGACTCAGGACAGAGTACTCGACCTGGCACAGTCACTTGGCTTGTCGACCTTCAAAACGTTTGATTCGGGCAATACGACCCTTTTCCGAAACGGAACACGCAGCGTGTTCAATGGAACCTTCACGACCGGAGATGTGCCTATTTCGCCCGACGGCCTGGCGCAGGCAGGACGCGCACTTCTGCTGCTAGATACGATGGCGACTGAGCTGGATGTCAATTTCCCATGGAACCACTCTCAATCTATCGAGTGGGATAGTGAGACTGTACAAAGCTGGCTGAACCGTGAAGCACCCCATCCGGATGCCCAGTTTCTGCTTACACAAGGTCTACAATCGGTGTTCTCCACTGAGCCTCGAGAACAGTCGCTCTTGTACACTCTTGCGTATATCGCCGCCGCGGGTAATGCAACTACGCGTGGAACCTTCGAACGCCTCGTCGATGTCGCTGGCGGGGCACAGGAACAACGTATTGTGGGAGGCACCCAGCTGCTAGCCATCAGACTTGCTGAGAGAATCGGATTGAGCAATATCATTTTCAATGCACCTGTTCAAAACATTGAGTTAAAAGGTGAGAACTACCTTGTCTCCTCGAATAATCGATCGGTCATAGCAAAACACGTGGTCATTGCCATGTCTCCTCCCCTGGCATCCCGTATCACTTATCAGCCGTTGCTGCCAGCAGCGCGAGATCATCTCACCCAGCGAATGCCAATGGGATCTATTGGAAAAGCTTTCGCTACATACGCTACTCCTTTCTGGCGGGATGCCGGCCTCAACGGACAGGTGGTCAGCGACACTGGGGCCGTACGAATAAGTTTCGACAGCTCCCCTGAGGATGGCTCATCAGGCATCATGATGGGATTTATAGAGGCGGACGAAATGAGAAGACTAGATCGGTTGCCTGAGAATGAGATAACCAAAGAGATCACCGAAGACCTAGTTCGCTACTTTGGGCCCAAAGCGGCTAATGTTCAGAACTGGGTCATCCAGCGGTGGGACCTTGAACAGTTCTCTAGGGGAGGGCCTGTTGCGTATGCCCCTCCGGGTGTGCTCACGGCGTATGGTACCTCCTTGAAGTCACCGCACGGTAAACTCCATTTTGCAGGAACAGAGGCCTCATCTTTCTGGGTTGGGTTCATGGATGGCGCAATCCGATCGGGGGAACGTGTTGCTACGGAGATCTTGATGGACTTGTAGTTGTTTCGTCACTAGCTTGCGTATCAGTGACTGCCGAGTTGTCTCGGGACATACCAAGCCTTTTCTCGGTGATATTTGCTAGAGCTCTAAGTCAGTTAATTGAAGTACTAGCCTGGAAATCATCTGTATTATGCTCATCAAATGTTCATTCTCTATAAAAGTCATTGATCAGTCATATTCATTACATTAGGTATTTGAGCTTCAAAGAGCGTTTAATCGATCTTGATCGCCAGCTTTCCGAAGTGCTTCTGGGCCCACTGTAGAGAATGTTAGCATAAGATGTTACCCCCTTGAGAAACACAGAAAGGCTTACCATGTATTCATAAGCATCCTTAGCCTTCTCAAAGCTGAAGACCTTAGGATCCACAACAGGATGAATATCGTTAGCCTCGATAGCCTTCACCATGTTATTCAGTAATTCCTTGCTTCCAACGTAAACACCCCGAACGGTACAGATGTTGCTGAGGGTGTCGAGAATGCTCGGCTGGGACTTGGGGTCGACACCGCCGAGGAAACCAATAATGCTAATGACACCCTCGAGCTTGATACACTTGAAGCTCTGGTTAAGAGTTCCGCTGCCGCCAACCTCGACGATGTGGTCCACACCAACATTGTCGGGGGTGAGCTTGCGAGCAGTCTCGCCCCAATTGGGATCGGACTTGTAGTTGATAACGTGGTCTGCGCCAAGCTCCTTCAACTTCTCCGACTTTTCTTCAGAGGAGGTGGTAGCGATGACAGTCGCTCCGGCAGCTTTAGCGAACTATCATGAATATTTCGTTAGATACCCCGTTCCAACATCCAATTAGCTAGGAAACAAATAGAAGAAAAAGCCTACCTGCAGTGCGAACAAGCTAACGCCGCCAGTTCCCTGCACCAGAACAGTCTGTCCCGGCTGGAGAGGCTTCAGGCCATACAAGGCGTTCCAGCTGGTGAGAGCGGCACACGAGAGCGTGCTGGCCTCAAGGTGGGTGAGGTTCTTCGGGCTTTTCACCAGGCCATTCTCGTTGAAGACGCCGTACTGACGCAAAGTACCATCAATAACACCACCCAGGCCAGATCCGGCAGCCCTTGGATCAATAGGACCGTACTGGTGCAGCTGGTTGAACAAGGTGATCACTTTGTCTCCTTTGCTGAATTGAGACACCTTGGGACCCACTTCAACGACCTCACCGGCTCCATCCGAGCCCGGCACAACAGGAAAGTTGAGGGCGAAGGGGTACACGCCCTGGCAGCACGCATTAGCAGGGAACACAATTGCAGCGAGGTTTTGTAGTCATCGACGCACCTTTGGGATGATAAGGTCGCGATAGTTGAGCGAGGCGGCGTGGAACTTCACCAACACATCGTTATCGCCAACCTTGGGGACTAGCGCATCATCGTAGGCAAGCTCATCAAAGCCGTTGGCCTTGCCCTTCACGGTCCACTGCTTCATGTTCTCAGGGGCCATGGTTGATATTAGGTTACTGGTGTCAATGGGGAATGGATCAATTGTGGATTGGGATGCAGAAAATCAACACTCGGCTCCTTGGTGGAGGGGTTTATGTAGTAGTTGTAAAGCTCGTGGAGGCCTGGAACTGTGTATTCTTGACGTAAGTGGGCAATCCCCACATCTATGGCGCTCCTCGAATAAGGATCCGGCAGATGGGTACCGTGTACTACTACTACTAGTAACTGGGAGACATTTCAGGTTCCATCTTTCCGACCGAGTTCCAAGAGTATTCCTCGTCAAATTACAGCTCGTGAGGCCATGGGTGGCTCCCTTTGCTGATAAATCCGAGTCAGTTGGATTTCCTCTTTCGGATATATGATGAAAAACACAGCGTCGACGTGTGGAGCTTTTCCACGTTCTCGTCGGTTGAGCGTGATAAGCACGTGGTGTTTATTACCGCCTCTCTCATACCCTGCCTACAACTAAAGTCCAATTCTTGAGGATAAAATAAGTGTGTTCCCAGAAAGAATATACAACAACCAACGCTGCCATAACCAGTTATACTGCGCTCAATAGATGCCAGCTCTTATAGTTATTCGTGTCTAAAACCTATTATTGCTTAAATATTCATTCAGGAACAGACAGAACTTTTCTGCTGTTTTCCAGTTACCAGATAGACACCCAGATCCATCGAAATGAGCAAAATAGAAGGGGCAACTACCTACCATTTACGAACACGACTCTCAAAAAAGCGTACTTCCCATTCGGCTTCATCGTTGAGATTAAGCAGCCCTCGAGTACCTTTTGCTGAGAATACGATAGATATATCGAAATCTATCCAAACCACGCGTTGAGATGCTGTTCCGGGGACAATCAGAACATTTTTCGGAAGTGCATCATTGTGAATGACACCGGTGTTGTGTATTGTCTTCAAACCGTCAACTGCCATACTGACGGATTCTGGGGCAAGACTAGCGCTCTTGAAGCTTATAGCATTCGGCAGATACTCCAGCAGAATCGCGCATGGAAAGAACTTGTCGTTTTTAAACCAATCAAATTCGGGGCGGAGCACCTCGGGATCAAATGAATCAAATAGGCCATAAAAGTACGGTACAGTCCCTAGCCTACAGGCACCGTGGATATGTAGAGCTTGATACGCCTGAGACTCGCAACGATATCGGCAGAGATCTCTACCATCTCCAGCGAGACCTGGATCGTCGCCTATATGGAACTGCCGGCATCTTAGCTTTATTGGTTTTATTGATATAGAGTCCAAATTACAAACCACTTTTAGGCAATATTCAATTTTATGAAACACAACCCGAAATATCTCGGAGGTTTCTGTAGAGTGTAATTTCTCGAGAATCTGGATATCTCCAAGCTAGGAATGTGGCAGATAGAAGCACGGATCGCCTCTTGAAACCATTTGGGAAGATTTATATAGCTTTTTAGACAGAAACAGGTGAACCTACAAATCTTCTTTCAACGGATTGATGATAGCTTATGTAATTCAAGGGGTGCAATCGTTCATACTTTGGAGTAAGTAACTCGTTGGCTGGTCTACGATAATAGAAATATAGAATAAACCCCGACTCTTGCTAGATTTCAGGTGCAATATACCTTGTACCTATTAATTGCTATATTACAGGATTGAATTATTGAATTATATCATTCCCTAACATCAGAATATCAAAAAGTTCAGTGTGGTTTCAATTTCCGGAAGAATAAGAACCATGGATGGATAATTATCCATAATTCTACGATTGCCTATTCTACAACTTCAGCCTAGCTTTTGGCATTGGACCGTACATAACGTGACTTGTTCATCTGAACAATTAATTGGTGGAGTATAATGAGAGTTATGCAAAAAGCAGCTCACGCAACTGAACGGGGTATAAAATTTGGTAAATGGGTCCTAGAGGAATCTATTCGGTAGCCCGCGTTTCTTCTATTCAATGGCTTCTAGAAGGCCCTCTTCAGGGGCCATTTGGGAGCATCATCGAGTTCTGCTTGGTGCGCTGGAATATCACTTTATCAAGTTCGTGCTATTGCACTCCGCGCCGTTTGTAGCGATCGGATATGCCGATCAGAGGGCACTGACAACTTCCAATTATCCGGGTGGTGTTTGGATGGAGCTGCCTTTGAACATGCCATGGGGTGCTTAGATATGCCTTTCTCGCTGACCATAATCAAAATGGCTAGTTTTGGCAAGAATCCCAAGATTTAATTAAGCATATCTCCGATTTACTTAAGGGTTGCCATTGCACATCGCGCAATCGTCTCAAGTAGGAGGAGGTATTGTCTCATCGGGTGGGAGATAGTCTGTGAAATTGAGGGCATATCCGTCCCAAAATAGGCGTAGCATTAGGTCGTCGTTCCCCAGCGGTGGCGGCCAGTCAGAAGTTTCTCGTAAACTCAGAAAGCCGGAGAGTGATTCCACGAAGGACTCTTCTTCGTTCTCTCCCACTCTTGATTCACCATTCACTGTGGCGATAGGTGCTGGTTCTTGATTGTTTTGCTGATCACCATTAGTATCACTGCTCGGATCCAGAGTCAAAATCCGTTCAACAAATGGCGTTCGGGCCTCGTGCCGCTCACGCCGTAGCCGCTCGCGGTAGACATCAATAGCCTCGGAAAAGCTCGTGAGGATACGATGGTACTGTGCCGCCTGAGGGCTCAAGTGTCCTAGTGACCCGAGCAGACGGCATGCGCCGTGAAAGGCATCGCAAATTTCCGAAGTTGTCTGCCCTTCCGCGAGAAGGGAAAATCCCAAGACCAGACCGGCTGCGAAGAGCCATGCTCTATAAGACCTAGTCAGCTTACTATAGACTAGAGATATTAAGGCAATGTCTTCTCACTTCAAGATACACATATTCCCCCACAGGATACCAGCCTCGGCTGCATCACAACACATTTGTGCCATGTACGTCGCAGCATCAGTGCAAACGCTTGACAGTTCAGCAACTTTCTCATTTCCTTCACTGGTTTCCTGACGGGGGGCCGTCTTCCTTGGTCGCTTGCCGCGTATCTGGGGCATAATATGCTGGATCAAAGATTGACGTGTCACAAGGATGACACCAAAATAGTAAGTGCAGGCCACATGGATGTTCCCAATCATATTTTCCCGATAGTCTGGATTTAATCCCAGATCGGGTTCTTTCCGGGGTCGTAGGCGCAGTTTGTCGGGCAGTGCTTGACTCCATTCACGCCAACTTTGCAGGAAATGGTCGGCAGAATTAGCATCCAACTTCTCCCCCTCAGTGAGCCTCTGGACAATAGCCTCCAGCACCGAGGAGGCCTCGTACGCAGCATCGAGGGCTAAAGTACGGTGACTAGCTTCCTGATCGAAGTCATCTGCACGAATGTCATAGGTGCGGAGTGACGATGTGTTTCCAGGTCTACCTAAGATAGAGCTAGAAACGAGATCGAGCACTCGTATGCTTTTACCGATCCGTAACCTGGCGATTCTATTAGCTTCCCCCAGAAAACAGTAGCTAAGAACATACCTTCTAGCCCTGTCCTCTACAGGCATCTGTCTGTACTGTCCGGAAACATGTAGCCCAAGAACTATAGAAGCTCTTGCTGCTACTCCAATATACATGAAGGCTGCATTTCGTCGGCAGGCTCCAAACATATAGAAGGCCATCAGTAGAAAGTCACGGGCCATATAAACGGTCGGATCCTCTAGGAAGCCTCCAAACGCCATTTTCCTGGCTTGACTGAAGTATCTTGCTGCGCATAAGAGATCTTCCTGGGTTCTGCCTTTGCATTGAGCTCCTATAGCAATCATCATGTATACAGCGGTGAGGTCCTCCTTTACGTGGCTTTCCAATTGACCGGCATTGGGCATACGAATACTATTGGACACCTTAACCATCCGATTAATCTCCTCCCAACTAAAGAGGTCCAAAAGACCGCTGGACTTTCTACAGCGTAAGCTACAACTTCAGATTGGGTTTGGCGTAACAGACCGATGATGAAGACTCACAACTTCTAAGAAGCACTGGATAAGTGCCCATTTCTCTGTCTCCATCAACTCATCGGCAAAGAAGTCCGTTTCAGTGTCAGGGACGTCCACTTCGAACATCTTGCGACTATTCTGGCTCTCAGTAAAACCCACAGGGCCGACGTAGCGCTTCACTATCGCTTGTAGGAATTGAAGAAAGGATACGGCGGCAGCACCGCCCATAAAAACTGATCATCCTCTAGGTTAATATCTGGATCTTACAAGTGGACAGTCTCACACTGGGCGCAACACACCTCTCTCACCGCTAGAGCTATACAGCATGGTAGGCCGTTGCCCGGCGGAGGGCGTTGTATCTCGCGTACTACGGACATCGTCGCTTTCCCGTAGTCGCGGTTTTTCGATAGGGGTTAGAGTGTTATATGCGGTTGCATGGTGGTCAACTTCCGACGGTGTTAATAGCTGTAGTGGATTAGGACCACGAGTTTCAGTGGACTGTGTTCCTCGCTGCTGGGGTGTGAATGCACAGGAATCAGCAGTGCCCTTCATCTGACATGTTCGACAAGGTCGGGCGCCATCACAACGTTTCTTCGACGCTTTGCAAGGAAGACATGCCCTGACCGAACGCTTCCGGTCTTGTGGTTTTACTCGCGGCCGCGGCATCGGATAGAGGATCGGGGATGGTGGAGAACGACTGGTTTGCTGTTACAACAAAGTTCCCACCCTTGCTCGGCAGAAAGAGTTATGCCGGGGAATTATTAGCCGCTAGTAAAGATGCGAATAGTAGTGCGTAGCAGCATCAGAAGTGGGTCGGCAAGGACTGGGGTTGAGGCATGGAGTACATTGTTCTTATCTGGAGAACAAGGAGGTAGAGGTTAATCTCGGCTTTTCGTACGGGCGCGGCCCGCACCCCCGCGCGGGTAGTGCACTTGGTCGGGTGTGCATGTTCCGCCAGTAAACGTCATGAAAGTATATCGTCTCACGCCAACAGATTCGCATAGGCAAATGAGCGACATTAGTCCATGATAAGCGGCGCCAGCATCCGTGTGATCTATCATGCCTCCAGTCCTTTCAAGAGTTAAAAGGGCGCCATGCCTACGCCCTCACGGTCAGAGTTCATCGCCACTATCGCAAACACACTACAATACCGAATAGATTCAACTACAAGTATGGGATCTCATCAAGAATCTTGGAGGCGACTGAATGTCGGTGTGGTCGGAGGTGGTATTGGCGGCATGTCCGTCGCTATTGCCCTCCGCCGTGCCGGTCATGAAGTAACCGTGTACGAACGCAACGACTTTGCTGGTGAGGTCGGCGCCTCAGTGTCATGTGCTGCCAACGGTACAAGATGGCTTCATGAGTGGGGCGTGGATGTCGCAAAGGGTGACCCTGTCGTGCTGCGCAAGCTCATCAACCGTGACTGGAAGACCGGCGACCCGGTCAGTGTCTACGACCTCGAGGATTACGAGGAGAAATGGGGCTACGTCTACAACATGTTCCATCGTCAGTACATGCATGCGATGTTGAAGGACTGTGCACTACAAGAGGAGGGAGAAGGCACTCCAGCTAAGCTCCTCGTTAACCATGCGGTATACCACTCCTTCTCTACCGCGATGCTTCTCGACGAACAGGTCCAAGCTAACAACACCTTCAGTGCAAAGATATCGACCTAGCCAAGGGTGTCATCACCTTCACGAACGGAATCCAGGCTCAACATGACTTGATAATCGGCGCAGATGGTATTGGTTCGGTCGTTCGTGGTATCATAGGACTTAATCCAGAGAAGAAGCCTTCGGACCAGAGTTGCCTACATGCCAATGTCCGTACAGAAGACGCTGTTCGACTTGGCCTGGTTGACTACTCTCAAAACAGTGCGCTGGAGTACTGGGGCGGCCAAGAAGGCAAGTGGGACAAGATTGTACTCTCGCCATGCAATGGTGGTAGCTTGCTATCGTATTACTGTTTTTTCTCGCGAGAGCAGGGTGACTTTAGCAATCACACCTGGGGCAGTGCAGACCATCCGGTGGAGGAGCTACTGGAGAAGTACCCAGAACTCGATCGTCAAGTATTTTCTCACCTATCTATCGGCACAGAGATCCGTCCCTGGCGGCTGTGGGTTCAGTAAGTCGACATTCTTCCCTTCTGTTATGGTGTTGTTCTGACACAATTTCGATAGCCAACCATATCCATACATCGCTCGTAATATGGTTTGTTTACTTGGCGATGCAGGTCATCCGGTACAGCTTTATTCTTTGTCATTCTAACTGTATAATCATCAAGGCTAATATAATACAGATGATGCCTCACCAAAGCCAGGGCGCCTGTATGGCAATTGAAGATGCCGCAGCGCTTGGGATCCTTTTCAACAAGACCTATTTCACCGGAGATATTGCCGAAACCCTTGCCATCTATGATCAAATTCGATTGCCCCGAGCTACCAAGGTTCAATCTGCCGCAGCAAAGGCGGCTTATAATATCAATGAACGGATAGGTAAGTAGTGGCGTTGTTGTTGCCGTGGCAAAAGAAAAGGGCGTTGTTGACAGGTTTTGAAGGGTTCTCGAGCAATACTTCAAACTCCGTATACAAAGTCGAAGATGAAAAGAAGAAGCTGACTATTGAAGAGATGAATGCGTAAGTTGATGACTCTTTTGTCAAATGTTTTTGCTGCAGGCTCTGACACTCTGCTCAAGGTACGATATGTACAAAGATGTCGAAGAAGCGATCGCGACGCGCAAAGGGTTGCCTTTCACAGCACCATACACCAAGGGATTACCATTCGGCTTGCAGCTGTCAAATGGAGTGACAGTTGGAAAATAAGACGTTATATCATCCTGCAGAATGTCGCCTTTTATACTGCCTTCATGACTTTAGCCTGGCTTATACCACTTCTTACTAAGTTGATACTCATGTTGCATCTTTCCGAGTGTATATTCTTTGCATGATTACGAGTTGTCAAGTTCCTCTGACATGTACATGATACTTTGGTCAGCTTATGAGACACTCTCAGACTGGAAAAAATCAAAATAGCTTATGCAGCAGAAATCCCGAAAAATATCATTTCCAACATTCTCTTACAAACGAATGATATACGGTTAACAAGTAAATATCCTTCACTATAGGAGAAAGAGTGATACTAAGGAGGTCTCTTGACATTCGCACTACTTGGGTGATAATAGCCAGAATCACTTACGAGTGAATGTAGTCGTACTCTTTTTCACCCTCTACCATCGCTCCTTGCTCTTCCTCATTGCATACCCATCTCCAATCTAGCAAATCAGGCCAGGCTACTGAGCAGAAACCGACTGTCAGTTTCTACACTTCTACAAACCCCATTTTGCAATCTTTGCACGACTTATCGTACTCAGGATCAGAACTGTCCCCGTCTTCCTGAAGTACGTCTAAGACGAACCACAATGACGACGGAAAACAGCGGCGCATTTCACGAGTAAGTTTATTCTTAAATAAGAGAATACAAGAGTACTGGGACGTTAGAAGTATATTGACAGCCTCGACAGATTCCTCGAATCGGACGTCGTCTCCCTCCAAGCCCTCAACTCTATGCGTGTGTTCAAGGTCCACAAGGCTCTTCTTGACGCCAAATGCGAGGTTGTTGCTTCGGCATTCAACAACAATTTTACTGAGAGGCAAAGTGGAGTGTATACCTTTTCTGATACCTCGGAGGATACTCTGGCGCGGTTCCTCGAATGGGCTTATCGAGGAGACTATGCTGAGCCCGTCTCAAAGTGTTTGGACAAGACAACGGACAAAGATAAGAAAGCGCATGCTAGCGATCAGCTAGAGAGGCTCAACCATCCACTGGTGGCTCATATGGCACTTCTTATCTTCAGCGAGGAGTATGTCGTCCCAAAACTGAAAGAGTTTGTCTTTACCAAGATCAAGGTGGCCATCCAGGTCATGAACAAACCACACACGGCGAACGATCGCCTTGGTGTTATCTCTCTACTGAAGCTTGCGTATACGAAGACTCCTGCAAACAAGTCCTCGGCCAAACTTCAAGACTGGCTGGCGCATTATGCTGCATTCAGTTTTGAGGAGCTCCGTTATCAGTCTTCTTTCAATGACGTCCTCAAGCATTGTCCTGAGTTGGCTTCGAAAATACTTAGCAGATTGAACCCGGCCTACTGTCCTCCTTGGTCAGCTGAACCTGAAGGACTAAATGGAGATTGGCTTTGATTTCGTTATGTCGTGTACTCAAGCCTATCGTTTCTCCCTCCATAGGAGGGGTGTGACTTATGTGGTAATGTCATGGCGTGGGAAGGGAACTTCAAGGACAGCGCTGCAGAGGTAGTTAGTTATCGCGCAATACACTTGTTAATTGAGCTCAATTGCCGATCATTGTAGAATCAATGGATAATTATCCGCCATAATAAGGCAAGAGATGAGGGGTAAACTATCACCTCATTTTCCGAGTCGCTCCAATTCCGACATCTCTTTTTTCCTTATTTCTCTGGCGATCTCCCCTCCTACTATATAATTCTCAAAGTTGTGTCGCTACGCAGAAAAACACTGGACATTGTTATAACTTGCTGTACAACACAGAAACCTCATTCGCCATGTCTCTGGGAAGAACTTTCAAACTCAACTCGGGATACAACATCCCCGCCATCGGACTGGGAACTTGGGTACGTATGGAAGCGCGCGCCAGGGAATGATACCGATCGCAATTGGCTTCTACTAACAGTCCTAGCTCTCAAAACCTCACGAGGTTGAGAATGCCGTCGAGGCAGCGTTGCGCGCAGGATATCGCCATATCGACGCTGCAGCATGCTACCAGAATGAGAATGAAGTAGGAAACGGCTGGAAGAAATCGGGTGTGCCTCGGGACCAGATCTTTGTCAGTAGCACCTTTTCCAGGCGATGGCGTTTTCGCCGCTAGGGATATTGCGACACGGGCTGATTGCAAGACAGATCACTAGCAAGTTATGGAACACACATCACCATCCCGAACATGTCGAGGAGGCAGTCAGCAAGACCCTTAAGGACCTTCAGACGGACTACCTGGATCTATACTTGGTTTGTTCGCTCTGTGTGTCATTCGATCACGGATAACTGACCGAACTGTACCAGATCCACTGGCCCGTCGCATTTGAACATACAAACGAAACTCTCACGCCTATCGATCCGGTCACGAAGCGATTCCGTTTAGCGAACGTTCCTATCGCCGAGACATGGGCTGCTCTGGAGAAGCTCGTGGAGGCGGGCAAGCTCCGAAGCATCGGTGTGAGCAATTTCACACAGGACAAGATCGATGATCTTCTTAAGACGGCCAAGATTCCCCCGGCTGTCAACCAAATCGAGGCCCATCCTTATCTCCAACAGCCCAGTCTGCATAAGTACCTGAAGGAGAAGGTCAGAATATCTCTATTATTGAATGTGGTTTGGGGTATAGATGCTAATATACTTGCAGAATATCTTATCTGTCGCATACAGTCCTCTGGGCAACAACATCTACAACGCCCCACGGTAGGGCCCTCATTCCTCCACAGCATGTAGCCCACGGCACACAGTCCACTAATACCGATAAATATAACAGTGTTGTCGACGACCCCGCAGTCAAAGCGATCGCCGATAAATTAGGCAAAGACCCAGCCGCCGTTTTGATCTCGTGGGCTGTCCAGCGCGGCACTGCCGTGCTGCCGAAGAGTGTCACTCCCTCGCGAATCGAAAGCAACTTCCAGGGTACATTTCTACCCCCTTGCTGCTGTTGAATTATATCTCCAGAGACTAATTGCTCTAGATTTCATTATTCCCGACCCTGAATTCGAAGCCCTGAACCAACTTGACCGTAACCAAAGATACAACTTCCCCTTCCGTTGGGGAATTGATGTCTTTGGGGAAGTGGGAGCTGAAGAAACAGAGAGGCGGGCGGAGGAGCATGCTGCGAAGCAGAGAGAGGGAGCTTAGACGTTGATCGTCGTGTAAGATTGCGTTTGCTTGGTCTCTATGTACCCAGTTGGGGTTCCGTTGATCGCTGTGTGAACAACTTTATATATCCGGAAAGATGTTAAGACACAAGCAATGAAAACCTAGAAATGGATTCCATAAAAAGACTCTAAAAAAGGTTAAATAGGACAGAAAGTACAGAAAAAGAAAAAAGACCCCTCCTATCTAAATGCATACCTACACGCGCAGTAAAGCGGTGTCAACTCATGCATGCAGGATGAAGATAAATACTACTATCAGTTCATTGGATGTTTAAATTTATGCTCGGAAGCCACACCAAGCAATTAATAATAATTTCCTCCTGCACCCCGATCAAACCCAAACAAGAAGAAAGCCACAAAGCTACCCTGCAACATACCTAGTTAATAACAGGATCAAGTCTTGCAGATTGATAGGCTTGATCAATTGATATAAACTTCCACATAAAACCGTCATTACCATGTCGTCAGCCAGTAAAGGCAGGGTTACGAAGAATAAATCGACGCGGCGAGATGCGACGAGGCGCGAAATCGAACAATTAAGCAAGAAGCTAGGGAAAGGTATGCGATCCCATTATAACATTCAAAATGCATCAATTATGTCAGGGCGAACGAAGCCTTTGCGTTGCGACCAATCAGTGCTCTATTGGACGCGTTCTAACGCGTTTTTAGATGGCCAAAAAAGATTGCCGCTGGTGGAGCGCACCAACAAGTTATCGCTGGCCGAATTTGTGAAGTTATATGTATCGGCTGAGGACCTCGAATATCGGAGAAGTCCTGCTAAAAATCCGACTGCGTCGGAACATGAGCAAGAGTTACATTACTCGCTCGATATCTATACGGCTGATTCTATTCCGGATGCGGATTTTGAGGCTTGCTTTAAGTTGATTGAAGAAACATCTTCAGATGCTTACAAAGGGTCTGGCTGGGGATGGTCGCCGAAGAAAAAAATGAAGGAGATGCGACTGCCGGATATGAGATATTTGATTTTGCGACAGGGCTCGAAGGCGACTCCTGAGAACATAGAGAATGCGGAAGGGGGCACAGTATCCTCCACCGGTCAACTCCTAGGGTTTACCTCGTTTATGGTCACGTATGAGGATGGGAAAAAAGTGATTTACTGTTATGAGATCCACTTGTCGTCGGCTGCTCAAGGCCAGGGACTTGGTTCGCAGCTAATGATACGACTGGCGAACATCGGGCGACGTATTGGCCTGGAGAAAGTGATGTTGACTGTTTTCAGATCGAATGAAAAGGCAGTAAGGTTTTATTATAAGCTTGGGTTCACGGAGGATGAGTATTCCCCACCACCTCGCATACTACGAAACGGAATGGTGAAGGAGCCGGACTATATGATTCTGTCTAAGTCGTTACGGTCTAACCGGTGATAACTGTTGGAAAATACTGGTATACACCATGGTGTTCGTATCAAGGCCGCTGTATTATACATAATAATGATACCATATCTTAAATTTGTCTAGCCTCTTTGCCGCGCATTTCGGGATTTTCTTGCTCCCACTCATCTCTGAGCACGGCGAAAATGGTGTCTGCCAGTAATATCGATAGCCCTAAGCTCCACACCAGGGTGATGGCGTAGAAGAAGTTGGCGTTGCCGGAGCCAGCATAGATCCATAGGTGATAGAACGCTGGGCCCAAAAGGGTGGCATACAAAAGCGCTGACACCGCGAAGAAAGTGTAGCGCATCACTATCAAGAGTTAGTCAACATCAGCATCTGATGTATCTAGGCACTTACGAGGGAAAATATGCCTATAAAGAGGCAAGAGGGCGAAGTATAACGAGGCATCTGAGATGCTAGGGTAAGGTTTGAAGACAGCAAAGATTCCCAATAGAGAGGCGATAACAAATAGAGGTTGCCTCCGCAGTCGCACGGTCAGGCCACCAACGTATGCCGCCAGATGAAGCCAGAACACTCCAAGGAAAAATTCTCGGAACGAGTCGAACATTTCGATGAAGAAGTACCACCAAAGGCCGACGTTAGGCGTTAAATCAGGGACCAGTAATTGGAAGCCATATGTCGCAGAGATAAATTGAGAGAAGTCTCCAACGATCAAGCAAGAAATTCCAAGCAGACCGGCTATGCTAAGCAAAAAGATTACGAGATGCTGTATGGCGAAGATGGCAACTCCCGATGGTGGCTTTGGTCCTTGAGCACGTCGGTCGTAACAGAGAAGCACGAGAGGGATGAACAAGAGAGCTGGGTAAATCGACAAGTACGACGCGAATCCTAGGGAAAGCATGGCGTTGAGACTATTTCCACTAACGGCATTAGACAGTGCGTATAGGATTCCGGTGGTGGTAAAGACGGCGGTTGAACGGCCAAGGCAGGTTGCGATAGTAAACGGGTTGAAAAGAAACCTGACCAGTCAGATACTATATTCCACTTGAAGGGACATCGTATATTACCATGCTGCAACAGAAACCCCGTCCCATTTGATATGTTTCCGCAATGCTGAGAATAACCTCCCCGAGACTGCCTGTCCTGAATCGGATATCGTGATCAAAGCGTTCGCGTTTATAAGATCGATCAATGAGTAGAAAAGGGCGGTTGGTACAGGAAATTCTCTGGCGTTCGGAAGCAAGGCAAAGATAGGGAGAAGAAGCGGTGCCTTCATAGGTTATCAGGAAAGGATCATTTTAGCTATGGACGAGAGGTTTCCTACCTGATGGAAGACACCTCCGTCATAAGGGGAAACATTTCGCGTGTATAGGAAGAGACCCTCCTGAACTGAGGCAATCTACGTCAGTATCTCTGCATTGAAGCGCAGCTGCTCCTCGAGCACATTGTCACTCACGTCGTTTGAAGCTGCTGACTGGTGTCGATACCTCAACTCTTCCGGTCAACAAGTCGGGGAGCGACGGGAAAAGGACCAAGAGAAGAAGCCGCAGGGCGAATGCCCCCACGAAGACGGCCGCTTGCCTTCGATCAACCGGCATGACACTATCAGGAAATATTGCGAGTGCGGTACATAGCCGAACGGGGTCAACGTCAACAGGCCCGGTGGATTTGGCGTGGGGAACTGTTCGGGTTGGTCAGTCCAGCTGTCCCTTTTCCATATCAATTTAATCGCCCTGCCAAGACTCTCCGCCTTTTCCGTTTGCCGTGCACGGGCCATCGGATATACCTCCATACTACTACTCGTAGTATCTAGCAATACTAGTTGTTCGATATACTGTTACTGTGCTATTACTGTTCTACCTCCGAAGTTCACTGACCGAGGTTGCTCGATATGGCCTTGTATAGACACCCTTTTCCGCCTATGATCATTCCGTTGATTCATACGTCGTCATCTCAAGATGTATTGACAGTGGACACCTCCAAAAATCATTGAATGGCACTCAAAATCCCACACTAATGTTAGTTTGTCCATCCCATACCAGATCATCAATCCAGTTGAGAAAGTCCTCGCTAGTAAATGGCTCGGGCAATGGCTGAGACTTGTCCGAACTATCGGAAGATCTGCCAATGTGAAAGCCTTCTGGCACCTGCTGCTCTTGCGGCACCTTCTCCAATTGACTATTGGTATTTTTCGCTGGTATTAGACCCTGATTCAGGGTATCATCTAAAAGTCGACTGATTACCTTGCTGATTTGAAGGCATAGCTGGTAATCTGAGCGGGTCGGTAAGTTCTGTTTCTCAACCCACGAGATCGCAACACTCAAGTCACGGACTATACGTGAGCAGGGGATAGAGGTAGGCAAAGGGAGTCCCTTGAGCGTGTGTTGGTGAAGTTCCGTGGCAAGGGTACCGGCACCAGGAAGGCCATAGAACAGAAACTAGAGGGACGCAGGCGTCAGTTGAAAGTGGTCAAGGTTCATACTGCCTTTTTTTTTATGCACGAACGTACGATCCATGTGAACCTCTCTCGCAGCTCAACGAATCGCTCTTGTTGCTTCATCAAGTCAAGCATGCCTGAAAGCAATCCCATTGAAGTATTCAGAATGTTTGTAAGTGTGTCTTGACCTTCCTGTTGGAGCATTCGTAGGATCTGAAAGCCGCAGTGAAGATGATCTAAATGAGCACTCAAGAGCACAACACATGATCTCGGGCTCATGTAGTCCCAGAAATCACTCTTATAGCGGTATTGCATTGGGACTGTAGCCCAAATATTTTCGTACTCGTGGTATAAATCTCTGTGTCGCGTTAGATATTACCGATTCATGAGCTCATAGCGACAGTATTGACATACAGGTGCTGCTTGGTCATGCATTCCATCCGGTTTCCTAGTGATAGTCGCAGTATCTTGGCTCGAAGGCTTGATAATGCAAAACGGATTCGTATTCCTGTTGCTGGTCGAAGTAATTTTTCCCTCTCGGAGGAGATTTTCCACCCGCTCTCATCCAAATTTTGTAGGGCTGCACTAAGCTCACTCCCAACCAGCACTATCTCTTCTTCATCCAGATCAAGTGGATATCTCATATCACAGAAGTTACAGTCAATGAATGGTGGCCTTTCAAGGAGCGTTGCAAGGTTCATGTCTCGACAAACTGCAGCAGCAAAGATCCTTTTGCGAGTTTCAGACATGAAGAAAGGCACTTCAGACTGCAATGACATCTGGCGATGATATCTCAAAGCGAATAGCTCCGCAGTTAATGAGCTGAAGCAACGGTATAGGATACTGCCTGTTGCAAGACTGTAAGAAATACGCGATTGAGTTGGGAACCCAGGAAACACCTACTTGTATCTCCAAACAAATTTGATGCTAAAGCCACATTTGTATGCCGCAACCAAGTGGTCATGTCGTTCAATTGGTTAAATTCTTCACATATCTCGATACATGCTCTGCTGGCTGTGTACATATCCGTAGCAAAAGATTCATAGCTAAGTGGCTTCTGTGGCTCAGCAGTATGAACTGAAGCGAGACCCGCAAGGGCGAAAACAACCCCAAGAAGTTCCCATCGAAGATTGGTTCCTCTGAACCACCCACAAAATTCCTCTACAGTGGTATTTACAGATATGGGGGGAATGGACTTGCGTGTGTTCTGGGTTAAGTCAGAGTGAAGATCCACCCCTGCTTTCATATCATCATACAGAGTCGAGAACAGCTCGAATAGTAATGGCCGGGGGATGACGAAAGATCGGCTGCGGTCAAGATAGTTAAATATGAGGTTCTCGTAATGTGAATAAGACGCATATAGGACCATGAGGTAGTGGGTTGCTATGGTAAGCCTAGATGTAGACGGAACTACTGGGCGGGTATCTGTTCCAGGCGAGGTTTTGGGAGAAGTCGACACCAATCCGGGATCTCCAGTTTTCCCAGGTTGCTCTTCATTGAGCTTCCCTTGTGTGATCTCAGATGAATGCGACTGGCTCAACAGAGAAGTTGTACTCGGACTGTCAAGTGATGCATTCCTCCGCCGTCCAAGAGCAGATGGTTTCGTCATGCGAAAATGGCGGTATTTTGTCCCCGGACGAGTCATCGGAGCGGGATGGTAATAACACTATATAGATTTAGATTCAACCTCCATGTCATTTTAAGTATCAAAAAGCAGTACACAGGGCTCCTCACCTTCTCCGGTGTGCTCCGGGAACGACATCTGGCGCATGTTGGTGTAGCATGATCACACCGTACCTTGGACAATCTGCAAGGCTCACAGGAGGTAGGCTTGCCGTTCCGCCGATACATATTTAGACATTTCTAGCCGGAGGGATTAGACTGAGAGTAAAATGGTTTTCTATAATCATTGCAGAAGATTGGGAACTCAGAAGTTGTGACCATTTACTCCGAAGAATCCATTCCGAGCCCTTCGTCTACTAGCTAGATTGGGAATCTCCAGTCCGAAACTCCGAGTCCCTTCACGACATCAATCTCCAACACGAGACGTTGGAAATTACATGTATATTCAAATTATGGAAAACTAATACGGTGCCATAGAAGTGTGGTAGGAGGTCAAAGAAGGCATTAGGGCACATTACAAATAAACTTATGGAATGCAATGCATTACTCCGTAGTAACTTAGACGATCCCAAACAGCGCAGTTGAGTGAATAGCAAAACAAGATTCAATTCCTAAATACCCATGCCATAACTTTATTGGTATTTTACCGCAACTGTTCTGACGAGACGAGAACGGTGCTGAATCGGCAACATTAAAGCTACAAAGGAGAGGAGCCTGGTAATGACTCGAAGCTTACTGACCCCGCGCATGTTCCCGGTTACCATCGACATCTAGTACTAAGCTGGAGCTGCAGTATATTACTTCTAATCAAGCCTCTTGCATTCTTCAGGAATATCGTGTGCTTATGAAATTCAGGCTCAACTACCACCGTGGCACGGGGGAGAGCAGTGCTGAAACAAGATACAAGCCCTGTCAAGTATTTTCTGACCACCAAGTCCCTCACGCCATCTGGTTTGAGGATGCTCTTTCCCACTATGGTGTCCCTACTTTTGTATTCGATCTGTACATTATCGTTGAGGATATTGATCTAGCAGCCGATTTGCTTGCTAAGGCTGGGTGGACATTTGATATGCAAGAACCACATCTTATCGGGAATGCAGAGGTGGACTTGATGAACTACCCTCAACAGCGACTGATATCCCCTGATGGTCAGACGAGAACCGTCCTTCTTCCCGCTACAGACTGGAAGTTTCCTCTAGCCAGCGATACACCACTGGAGCATACGCCTTTGGGAAATGATTTATCATATCAGGTACCATTTCCAACACTGGCAGGCTTGCTGGATGCACTGATCGAGAGCTGGCTGGATGACCCTAGTGATGGTACAATGTTATTGCTTGTCTTGGCTTGCCAAATCTCCTATCTCTATGCGCATGTTCCAGCCTTGAAGGTGAAGTCCTTTGCCAAACAGATGAAATATGAACATCGCCAGTTTCACTTCGATGTATTGGCAGGAATGGAGACTGGTACGATGCCATTTCGAAGGCACCTGCGGGCTATTCGCGATGCGTTGTTACAGGGCCAGTATGAGTTGCGGGAATGCTCTGCTTCCCGTGATAATACAGATCTGTTTTCTTTTCTCGGGAAGAGTTATAAGCCCGTTAAAGAAGAGCAGCAGAATGGGGACGCTCTTGAGTCAACAGAAACCGAATGCTAGCAGGATGCCATCCACCACAAGCGGTAGGAGAGGCTTGTGCAGGTCTTGAGAGACTCAAGTGTTGTACTTCAGGCAATGTCTCGAGTGGCTCGCTCAGGGGGTCGCTGAGGGAATCGCCTCAGGGAAGACTGTCCAGAATCTCGTGCTGCTACACTGTAACTAGTCACTCATCTGGTCTTCTCATCCAATGTTTCGTGTTCCACCTGTTCCAGACATCCTCTAGAGCCGTAAAGAAGGTCAGGGACATGAAGAAACGATCTACAGAAGGGAGTCACTTTGCATAAATAAAGCCTACCGTTCGCCCTCGGTCAGCGGACAACGTAGTTCTAATTTGTTCTCTACATATCCGAGTCACCTGGTAAAGAATTCATCGATGTTTATGACAGCTGATCTGGAATTTCTATCTCACTTCCTACCTCTTTTTTGTTCTAAATATAGGCATCCACTGACAAATTTTCTTTTTGTATCACTCTTCCTTTATTCCCAGTATTACGTACTAGTTGGACCATCAGGCAAAAATTCTCCTCACAGGAGCCCTAACCTGGTAGAGAAGATGTTTGCAAAAGTTGCTGCGGCTGAGCAAGTGTCTATTAAGGAGCAGTGATACCAGATGGCGACAATCTTGTTATTCTTAAAGTGATCTATTTGACTTTTTGGTGAATGAATGAGCCATTATAAATATGATATTTTTTTTCTTTGTTGATAGTGACTGCTTCGGTTAGCAATACTCAGCAGTGTTCATTGAACTCATTATTCTTATATAATTATGTGGAATATAAATAAAAACTCTTTTCTTCCTTTTAAAGGCATATGGAATAGTTCTATCCAATTTCTCATTGAATAGTATCTCTGCCTCGCCCACTTTCGTTATTCCCCTGTGCTTTCAGATTCACTGGCTACCAAAGTAGTATTAGACAATTATCATTCCCGCCACTTTATACAGCAATCTGCAATCAAAATGCACTTTGTTCTGGACTTCTCCAATCTTCTTAAATGTAGCACCGTCTATATAAACAAATCGTCACTTGAATCTAATCATTGGCGTCTGCTACACCAGGGAGATACTGACCTCACTTTTCAAGGGAAAACACCATGTCTTGTTCAGCTCTTCATGCCCCAGACGAAATACGCGCAGCTGCAACGGCGGTTGGAAACGCACTTGCTCGTGGTGAAAAGTATGCCCTTGTTGGCGGCAGTGCATGTGTGGTTTTAGGCTCTAGTCGGACAACTCAACACGTAGATTTTGTTGTTCTTCGGGGTGGTATCTCCAGCGCAAGGCAGTTGCTGCGTGCCTCCTCTGACTTTGAGATTGAAGCAAGAACAAACCATACAACGTATAGGGCAACAAGGCCTGTACAGATCGACATCCTTGCACCACCTTCTTTGTTTCAAGAGCCCTTTGATCAAAGTACTGAGGTAATAACAATCGGAGGCATCAAGATTTTGAAGCCAGCCTTGCTTCTGAACGCAATATGTGGTTCCATCACTGGCCGATTTACAGAGGAGAAGAGGAAAACCGATTCTCTGGATATTTGGTTTCTCCTCGAATTCTGCGCTCGAAACCCAGAACATCTTCCAAAATCCAGCGAAGTTCCCAACGCCACAAAGCAATTCGTTCAGGAGCTTATCCAGCTCTACGGAGGCGAGGAAGACTGGGTCCGAGCTGGTTATAACTTACATACGGGTTCGTCCTATTTAATCCGATTTCACTGAAGAAATGCCACTCCTGACGCGTACGAATTAGGTCGTTTTAACAGAGACTAGGCTACTTCCAATGGGGCTGAGCCTTTCCAATGCATACAAACCGTCAGACATTCGGGAAGATGTTCCGCTCGACATATTAAGCCATAGCAGAGAGGCCAGGATAGGTTAGAGCCACTAATACAGGTGTAGATCTTTAAAACTAGGTGAGACGACATATTGGCGACTCTATAATTTAGGGGGGGTAATAATAGGTGGGAGAAGTAAGATGAACACCTTACTGAAAGACGGCAATCATTGGATAACGCAGTATTCTTCATAGAGGGCAGTCCGCTGGCTAGGGTGGACAGAGGAGAAGAGGAAGTATGTTGTCCTTGGAGGGGTGTAGGTTGGGGCTGTATAATTCAGTTGGGGGATGGTAGAGCAGTATGGGTAAGGGCAAGCGAATTACTTGTCCACGGCAAACGGTGGCCGAGGGCGAAAGAACAATTCAATGGGTATGGTTTTCAGCACCACACTAACCGTGCTATTGTATAGTACTACCTCTTCTATCAAGTTTAGGAGGCGATGTAGTGTTGAACTGAGGTCTATGGAAAAAAGCTGTATGTGGGTCTACATAACTAGCTAGTACAAACCATATTATTAATCAATGCTGTGCATTAAATTAACTAAGGGGCCTGAGCTTGCTGAGGTAACCAGTAGGCGGTGTTGAAGGGGCGGAGGATGAATTACCATACCCAAAGTGGAAAGACTAACCACATCCAGTAATTCAGTTCTCAAAAAAAAAAAAAAACTTATCGACTTTAATTTTTCGGTATCAAAAGAACCTTCTTTAATCACCACCCACATTCATACTGTCAATACAACCCATCCAAAATGGCGAAAATTAAGAAGAAGGGTACGCTTCAACTAAACAATCTCGTCCCGGCAAGATACTGATAATATTATACAGGAACCTCTGGCCAGGCCAAAAACTATATCACTAGAACTCAGGCAGTTCGCAAGCTTCAGATTTCCCTGCCTGACTTCCGTCGACTATGCATTTTCAAAGGTATGTTCCATAGTATACTTCATAGTGGACCATGATCGATGCTGACTGGCGATTTCTGTTTTCAATTAGGCATCTATCCCCGTGAGCCTCGGAACAAGAAGAAGGCCGCCAAAAACTCGACTGCCAGCACTACTTTCTACTACACGAAAGACATCCAGTATCTTCTGCATGAACCCCTCCTCCGGAAATTCCGTGATCAGAAAGCGCTCTCGAAAAAGATTGCCCGCTCTCTTGGACGTGGAGAAGTGAGCGATGCTGCTCGCCTGGAGAAGAACCATGCGCCGCAGCTCACTTTGGATCATATCATCAAGGAGCGCTACCCAACTTTCATCGACGCCCTGAGGGACTTGGATGATGCCCTGTCGCTTCTGTTCCTCTTTGCGAACCTTCCTTCCACTGCACATGTACCCCCCAAGACAATTGCGCTTTGCCAACGACTTTGCCATGAGTTCCAGCACTACCTGATTGTCACCAACTCCTTGCGCAAATCATTCCTTTCGATCAAGGGTATTTACTACCAGGCGACCATTCAGGGACAGGATATCATGTGGTTGGTGCCTTACCGATTCGTTCAGCGGGTGAATGGAGATGTCGATTATCGAATCATGGCCACCTTCGTCGACTTCTACACCACTTTGCTAGGATTTGTGAACTTCCGCCTGTATTCCACTCTTGGATTAAGATACCCCCCCAAGTTCGATACCAGAAGTGACGAAAATGGAGCTGAATTGGCGGCATTCACCCTTGAGGGACGCGCGGTTGGCGAAACAACCAAGGCTATCGAAAGCACCAAGCAAACAAGCAATACGGCTAACAAGGCAGTATCCCGGGATGTCCAGGCCAAGGTTGACAAGGTAATCAAATCGGCCGGTCTGGACCAATCGAAGGACGACCAAGCCGTGCAGGCGACAGAGGAATCGACCGAAGAAATTGACAAATTCGAGCCTGCAGCTCCTGAGGCGGACACACTCCTTCAACCCGATATTAGTGGAGACGCAGCTGGTGCTCTGTTTGCTCCCTTCACATTCTATATTTCTCGAGAGGCTCCTAAGGCTCCCATGGAATTCATCCTGCGTGCCTTTGGTTGCAAGCGTATCGGCTGGGACGCTGTTCTCGGCGATGGAGCTTTCACACACGATGAAACAGACACCCGCATCACCCACCAGATTGTCGATCGTCCTGCACTGCCAGAATCTTCACTTCCGGCTGTTCCCGCCGCCTCAGAGAATGGTGCTGGTGCTGCTCAAAAGGTCAGGCCTGGCACTCGTATCCCGGGCAGAACGTATGTTCAGCCCCAATGGATCTGGGACTGCATCAACGAAGGAAAACTTCTTCGCCCTGATCTCTATGCACCAGGCGCTACTCTTCCCCCTCATCTGAGCCCATGGGTCAAGGCCACGAAGGGTGCATATGATCCTCGTGCTACTCTGGCTGAGCAAGAAGAGGAGGGTGAGGCTGAAATTGCAGCTGAGGAAGAGGAAGAAGATTCCGATGAAGAGATGGAGGAGGCCACCGATGGAAAGAAGGCGGACACCAAGGCTAAAGACTCTGCTGAGGAGAGTGAGGAGGAGGATGATTCTGTTGATGGAGGTATGGATGTTGCTGAGACTGATGACGATGAAGATGAGAGCGAAGAGGAAGAGGAAGATGACTTTGGTGGATTCGAAGAAGCTGCCTCCGAATCGGAGGATGAAGAGGAATCTGCTCGCACTCAACATCAAAAGGAGCTTGAGGCCGAAGCTGCTGGTCTTCCATTCTCCTCCGGTGCCGCCGGCGATTCAACAAAGAAGAAGTCTTCTCAGGCCAAGAAGGTAGCGTCCAAGAAGCGTAAGGAAGAAGAGGAACTGGAGAGGCAAAAGATGATGATGAGCCGCAAGAAGCGGAAGCTGCTAGAGAAGATGATGTACTCGAACAAGAAGCAGTCAGAAGAGGCGGCGAAGCTGCGCTCCAAGCGGAGAAAGCTTGAAAAGGGCGCGGAGAAATAATGTAACATAAAAGTTGACTGTTTGACAGAATGATATCCTTATTTGGATTTCGGTGATAACCAACAAATCGGCGTTCTGATTTAGTGTTTGTTCATAGCAATCAGTTCTACATGCATATATAGATCTGCTGTAATTCAGTTGCAATTCTATTCTCCGTTGCATAAAGTCATCCCCATTTAGACCACTACCAATCGTTCCTCAGCATCCAAAACAAAACCGTATACTCCATGTATGGTCACGTGATCAAATAAATCTTGTCGGGTCCATGTTCTGTGTCTGTTTCTATCATAGCCATACTCCTAGGGTCCGAACATTCTCAACCCAAATAGAGTTTCTGGGTGCTTCTCTGCTTCGTGGAGTCGGTTGATCTTGAAACCCCGTATGTTTTGCGCCGCCTGAGACTGTATACCTCCATACTGAAGAAATTTATCAGTATCGTTTTCTGGAAGTTGATTGGATCGGACGGCTTCAGAATTTCAGGCAGTACGTGTGGTTCATGTCTGGGAAAGCTTCCAGCAGTCCGTACATCTAAGCTTGTGGCTGGTTACCACATCAAATCCGGCAGACTACTGAGGCATGTCCTCAATTTCCGGTGATCGTTCCCCACGCTTCATCCTACCTCAGTCTGCCCAGCCATACACATCTATATTTGGTGGTTCTAGCAGCCAAGATGTTGCAGATCTCCAACCGTACCCGGAATGGCAAGGGGACGCCACTTTTGATTCTGATGACGCCGATGTGTCTATGAAAGATATACCAATGGTTGAGGATGATCATTCCGATGATTCTACCTACAGAGACAGTGACGAAGACGAGTCCGGGTCAGAAGCCGGAGGCTCTCCGCAGAGAGCGCCCCAAAGCACTGCGAATGCCGCCACTATTCACAGTGATATTGATGGCCCACCATCATCTCCTGCATATCGGCCCAATAGATTCCGCGGCGCTGAATCGCAATGGAGAAAGCTGACTGCTGAAGATAGACAGAATGCTGAAGCTTTGGAAACGATTCGGGCTAGAGACCTTGCAGCTCATCTGTACAACGCGTATGCGTTGCGAGTACGGGCCCGTGAGCTAGCAAGGCAAGCTGTCGAAGCTGGCGAATCAGAAGATGAAACCAAATTTTTTGGCCCTCCAAAGCGATGGGCAGCATGGCCCATGTCGGCTACTGAGGTGCCTCGCGGAAACGAGCATGTCCGTAGAGGGGAAGACGAGGCATGGACTTTGAGAATGCGGCCGGATCCTCGTCTAAGTGCCGAGTTAGAGGAATCGCTCATGGCTATAATGCTCAAGGACGCAAAGGAAAAATTCCAGACTAGGCCTTGGGACGACAAGCTTTCCTCTGTACAACAGTGGGCAATGTCTCAAGCCAAGACACAAAATGACACTGCCGCCGATGGGGAACAGGAAAGCGATCTCGATTTACTTGATGAACCCTCACTACGTCCTGTCGTTCAGGCTGACGATGAAAAATCACGACTCCAATTACGACCGCTGACCCGAAATATACTCACCCAATTTGATGACCTACTTATGGCTCTTCATAACGCTCGCAACGGTGGAGGAGGAGCGGACGACAGCTCCGCAAGTGAGTGGCAAACAGATACAGAGAGTATTGCCTCTAGCATCTCATCCCGCAAGAGAAGAGCAGTACAAACTACCGCTGAGCGAAGTCAATCGAGGGGTAGGAAGCGCACGCGCAGGTCATCCACCCGAACTGGGTCAAGCCGTCCACGTTCTCACAGTGGGCATGCATCAAGTGGACGAGCATCTTCCCGGCTCAGCTCACGTTGTCAACCAACATCACAGTACTCAAAGCCGCGGGGACGTTCAACTGGCAGCGACCGCAAAAGGTCGGCAAGTCATATGCGTCTTGGCCTCCGCGACTGGAGCGAAGTATTAGGTATTGCCTCTATGATCGGCTTTCCACCAGCCGTGGTAATGCGTTCTTCACAAAGATGTGCCGCTCTGTTTCGTGAGGATATGGAGTTTCGGGTTTTGCAAGAAGGTACCTTACAGCAAGTTCAGGACGGGAATTCTTCTACATGGATCTACGCGGAAGTTGAGCCCGAGGAACCTGAAGCTTCGCTGCCGCCTCCTTCACCTCCTCGTACCAAACCATCCCTCTCCCGCACGGCTTCTGTGAAGAAGGCTTCTAGCACCCGAGTTACTAGCCCTGCTACCGATCATACTGATGAGGTGACCAAGCGCAAAGGCAAGGGTCAACACCGCAAGCAAGATTTAATATGCCCCATCGGGACGTGTCCTCGGCATATCAATGGGTTCACACGGACATGGAACCTTAACTTGCACATGAAACGCATGCATCCTGGATATCTCCCGAAGAGTACTGACTCAAAATTCAAGTCTTCCACTGTCGGCCTTGCTGGTGATACTGACGGTTAATGGTGTCGAAATTCTGGCATGCCCTTCTATACTCGTAGAACATAGGGTTATCTTCATAATGCAAGTCCAAATGATACTGAGCTACAGCCGTAGCTATCTCCGTACATTCTATATTATCACTATTGTTGTCCTTCCTGGGTTGAGGGTAGCCCTATCATCCAGATTGAACAATCTCAAACAAGGCCCATGATAAGGTAAAATAGATTGTACGGTCCTGTATCGCTGCAAAATCCAGTAAAGTATGATTGGAGGAAGACTCCGGGGCTGCTCAGTATAAGATTTATAATTGGCTCAGGGTGCCGAGGTCTAGATCAACATACCGATATGGTCTTGTATTTACACATCAATTATTCCATAGTAGTTCTTGAGCATCTATATAAGGACAGTCCGATTGTGTCTCTACGAAAGCATCGTAGTAGGAGAAGAAGGGCCAGGAATTCGAGTATATATACATCATCGTGTGTATGATTCTCAAAATAATCGAATCTGCCGTTGTTAGGGGTTACTGGCCCTCTATAGAAGAAATGACGTCGACCCACGTGACGCGGAGCTTCCCCGCTGGACGGCATTACAGGGACCAGCTCGGAGGCATTCTCGACAATGATTAGTCTCCACAGGATGGATTGATTTTGCATTTCCAGTATATAAGTCAGGGTTCAAGGTCTTCCCTGTCCTGCTATATTTTTCAGCTTTCAGCTCTGTGCAGACAACCCGAGAACACCCGTGTTTGACCGTATCCCCAAACTTCTCCGCACCATCTCCTAAGGCGAAGTAAAGGCTGTACACGGAAGTCGGCCTTTTTTTGGAACCTTCTTCGCATTTTGTATTTATAATCGGGCCGAGGGTATTAATTCAGATCATGGACAGACTTCTTCGTCCAGTATCACGGCAATTGCTTAGATCCAGAGCCCGTTATCCATTTACAATCCCACCCCCAGTTTACGCTAAGAGACTATACAGCATGGGCCATACAGTTCCGCAGGTGAGAGAGCCATTGTTGATCAATTGGAAATTTTATGAGAATTTGACTGACGATGATGGGCGCGTAGCTAAAAGACCAATCTCTCTTTATTGAGAAGGCATATGTCAATGGCGAATGGGTAGGGGCTCAGTCAGGGCAAACATTTGAAGTTCACGGTAAGACACTTGAAGTTCAGTAACAGCGGTGACGGTCTTTAATCTCTGTATTTCTTTTAGATCCTGCTACAGGAAAGCTCATCGGAACATGCCCTGAGTTCAATGCGGCCGACACCGAAAAGGCCATCCAGGCTGCCTCAGAGGCATTCCCTAAATTTCGCACAACATTGGCCCGCGAGCGTGCTCGCATGCTGCGCCGGTGGTACCAGTTGATGATCGACAATGCCGAGGATTTGGCAACGCTAATCACTTGGGAGAATGGAAAGCCTCTCGCGGACGCCAAGGGTGAGGTCAACTATGCCGCCGGTTTCTTTGAATGGTTCAGTGAGGAGGCGCCCCGAATTTATGGAGACACTATCCCTTCCTCAGTGGCAGGTAACAGAGTTATGACCCTCAAACAGCCAGTGGGTGTTTGCAGCTTGATCACCCCATGGAACTTCCCGGCAGCAATGATCACTCGGAAGGCTGGGCCAGCGTTGGCAGCAGGCTGCACTGTTGTGGTCAAGACTCCAGGAGAGACCCCATTCACTGCCAATGCGTTGGCAGAATTGGCGCACCGTGCCGGTATCCCTAAGGGCGTTTTTAATATCGTCACTTCCTTGAAGAACACACCAGAGGTGGGTGAAGCGCTGACTACCCACCCAGAAGTTCGCAAGGTTTCCTTCACCGGTTCGACCAATGTGGGCAGGCTCCTGATGAAGCAATCGTCTTCTACCATTAAGAAGGTGTCGTGGGAGCTTGGTGGAAATGCCCCCTTCATTGTCTTCGACGATGTTGAAGACCTTGATGCTGCAGTTGCTGGGGCAATTGCCTCTAAGTTCCGCAGCTCAGGCCAGACATGTGTTTGCGCCAACCGCATCTACGTGCAGAGAGGTGTCTATGACGAATTTGTGAAGCGTTTCGTTGAAAAGGTTAAAGGCTTCAAGATCGGGGCAGGGTTCGAGGAAGGTGTCACACATGGCCCTGTCATCCATGGACGCGCCATCGAGAAGGTCGATGAGCATGTCCGTGATGCCGAATCCAAGGGAGCTAAGGTCGCTGTTGGCGGCAATAAATTGACAGAATTGGGCCCTAACTTCTATGACATGACTGTTCTGACCGAAATGAACAAAGACATGTTGCTTGCCTCTGAAGAGACCTTTGGCCCTGTGGCTGGATTGTTCCCATTCGAAACTGAAAAGGAGGTTGTCGACTTGGCGAACAGTGCCGAGGTTGGCCTGGCTGGTTACTTCTTCAGCGGCAATGTCAAGCGCATCTTCCGGGTTGCAGAGGCCTTGGAGGTGGGAATGGTTGGTGTGAACACTGGCCTCATCAGCGATGTCGCTTCTCCGTAGGTACCACCGTGCTCTTCTGACAAGTCACCAGTGCTAATTGCTTCTAGGTTTGGTGGTGTTAAGCAGAGTGGATTCGGCCGTGAGGGCAGCAAGTACGGCATTGATGAATTCCTCACAATCAAGAGTGTCACCTTTGGCGGCATGGGTGGGCCTTTGCAGTCATAGAGAGGTATATATGACGAACAAAATGAATCCCGTTATGAACCCTCCTTATGCGCATAATCCTACCGGCACTGAAAGAGGCTCAGTGAGTCATGAGAATTGTACAACACACCTTGGTTGGTCTTATGGATAAAAGTCCAGCGAGCAAATACCAAAATTGGAAGGAAAATGAGAAGAAATGCTTAGCTCTAATATACATGCAAACAATACAAGCGCCCATATCCCAATCAAATAAAAGAAACCGTATATCCAGTATATGCACAAAAAGTATCTCTGCCTCCGGTATCAAGAGCTGTCACATCATGTCGTAAGGACGTCGTTTTCAGCTTCTTCCGATATCCATCGAACATGAATGCAGTAGATTGAAATGGTCGTACACTTCTCCCGATTTGCGTTTATTTTCCTTGACGCTGCTTGTGCTTAGGGTTTTTCGAGCTGGGTCTATATTAGCATATGGCACGTCCCTTAAATCACACGGCGGAGAGACTCACCAGATGATATAGACTCTGTTCTTTCTCCGAACGGGCTGTTATTCCAACATTAGCATTCCAATCTCATACAAAGCAGATATCCCACCCCGACTCCCCAAAAGAAGAGCTACGAGGACACAGAACAACCCAATCTCTCATACCTTGCAACCATCGCACAGCCGCTTCACCGACGAGCGGGTCTTCATTCCCCGAACCTGATCCAACTGTTTCACCGTCGACGCGACGCTAACATTGCCAGCCTGCTGCTTTCCGGAGCGCAAAGCCCGAAGACCATTGGTAAGAGACAGGGTCGTTAATTGCGAGAATGACCGTGCAAGGAAACCACCGGCCAGAGGCTTGCGGAGAAACTGGCGGAAGAGACCGGTCGAGGGAGCGATGAGGGAGCGGAAGGACACCATTGTTGTTGGTTGTTGGCGGGTTGGTTGGGAAAATCGGGGCCGCCGGTGTCGTCTGGGTGAGACCTCGCTGGTCTTGGGACTGGTTTATAAGGGCGGGTGGGGTTTGGAGATTTCTCTTGATATCCGCGTTGATGGTTTGATGATATTCGGAGCAAATGTGAGTCGGAGCTTTGGTTGCGCCGGTATTCCGGTATTTGTCGGTGTATTTGGGGGCTTTCATTGGTTGATCGTAGAGGCCAATCACAAGGCTTTGAAGTATACCGACGCATTCAATGGACTGAATGATCTTGCATTCAACCGTGCTTTTCTGATTATTCCCAGAGTCTTCTTTCTCTAATGCACTACTGTTGTCTATATAAATACCTTCCATCTCTCCTCATCTGACTGTTTGCCTTAACATATTCTCATCCTCAAGTGCCCAAGGCCATCATGAGCCTCCATTCGTGGTTAAACCCGGCGCCCTGAAAGAACATCTATATATATAAACCCCTCTTACATATTTCTTTCTTTGAACAACGACCATATACCTATTTGGCTGTTTCAGAGAAGCCAATGATGGATGACAAAAATGTTGGACTACCTAAACAGCCAAGCATGATGCATCCGACATCTGGCCTTTCCAACGTCACACACCAGCCCATCAAGGCCGAGAATCATAGTTCTATGGTCACATATACGTACCCTTTGGTGTACGGGGGTTATACTATATAGAGCCTAATACGCTCGAGGCCTTGTTGAAATTGTACCCCAGGACTACAGCTTTCATACGTCTTGCAGGCCACACGGGGGCTGGAATCCGAAATCAGGGCACCCGGGCTGGGAGGAAGGAGGCGAACCTTGCTTTACACAATAATTGAACTCCCTTCCAGCCTAGGTGGAGGCATTTCTAATCTTGCTCTGGCTCCACCGTTTGGCGTCATAGCCATGGGTGATGATGAGTCCATGGACACTTCGGCGGGCCTAAGATTCGCCTTAAACACATTAGTGTCTGGTGAAACCTGCACAGCACGGATCTACTGCTAATAAAATCCACGTTTAGAATGGCCGACTGGATCAGCCGTGCTGACGAGACGCATTGCGTGATGATTTACTGACTGTACGTCCTGCGACTGATGCTGCGATCAATGCCCTATCTATGCCGATCTTATTGTGGCGTCTCGAAGCTCTAGTCGCAAGTCTAAAGGCTGGAGCTCGCTTTCCTTATACTCGGACACTCAATGGAAAGGCTTTCGCCGACCATAGCCACTATACTGTGGGCAGTAAAAAAACCACGAAGGAAGCATCACACCAGACGAGAAGTTTGTTGGAGGACTCTCAAGGCTAGCGAGAGTCCTAGCGTTGGAAATGTGCGTAGTATGCAAACGCGGTTTGCTTAAAAAGTGTGCCATGTAATTGGAGACATGGTAGAGGCATTGGGCTACAAGGCCGATCTCATTATGGGACAGGTACTAGTCGACTAGGTTTCTGATGCTAACGGAAGCGACTGAGTGAAAACTTTAGCTGGTGATGTCCTTCGTTTGAGAATATGAATAAGTGTCTCACATCTCTCAGTATGAGTGGTACGGAGTTAAAGTGTACCACTAAGCTGTTGATGAGGAGGTAATATATAATAATTTATAGTTACTTGCTCGGCATGAAGCAGTACACCTTTTGTAAAGCCATCATGTAGAATAAGGGAGAACCAAGGTCGTGCGATACAAACAAGAAAAAGGAAAAAGAAGACCAAAAAAAGTCTTGCATTAACTTATGATATGAAAGGCCGTTTAACACCAGCTTAAGATCTATCGATTTTATGCTCCACCCGAACGCCAGACTGGAATTTCAATTGAAATGAGCCCTGATCAATTTTACAACACACAATTCGTAAAGAGTTAGCCCACTTGAGGAGTGGCTCAAGAACGAAGGAAGGTGTGGTAAGTGGACGAGTCGGTATGCTCGCTGAAAGGATAGCCCAGATCCTTTAGGAAGGCCTCCAGGTGGTCCTTCTCAGATGGTGGGCACTGAATGCCAGCAAGCACCTTTCCAACATCACCACCATAGTTACGGTAGTGGAACAAGGTTAGGTTCTGGCTGGGTCGGAGAGTGGTCAGGAATTTGGCCAGAGCACCAGGACGCTCCGGGAACTCAAACATGAACAACCGCTCATCATTCACGTCACAGCGTCCACCCACCAAGAAGCGGACGTGTCTCTTGGCAAGTTCGTCGTCGCTCAAGTCCTTCGCCTTCATACCACCCTTGTCCAGTTCTTCCATGATATGCGCCAGATCCTTTTGTCCAGTAGAGGCAGACAAGGAGATACCCATGAAGACATCGGCCGATTCGTCCCGAGCATAACGGTAGCTGAATGCGGTGACCGCGTGAGGGAGAATAACCTCGACTAGCTTGGCGAAAGAGCCAGGCCGTTCCGGGATGTTCACACTTAAAAGTGCCTCCTTCCGTTCACCCAGGGCAGCACGCTCAGCCACGAATCGTAATCTGTCGAAATCCATGTTCGCACCCGAAGTGATGGCAACCAGCTCCCGGTTAGGGTTAGGGTCGGGATACAAGGAAACATATTTCTTGAGACCAGCCAGGGCCAAGGCGCCTGCCGGCTCGATGATAGACCGGGTGTCCTCAAATGCATCCTTGATCGCGGCGCACGTCTCATCAGTAGAAACCTGGATGACTTCATCAATTACTTCACGAGCCAGTCGGTACGGTTCCTCTCCAACAGCCTTGACAGCAGCACCATCGGCAAACAGGCCCACTTCTTTGAGCAGCACACGAGACCCAGAATCCAAAGACTGGGCCATAGCATTCGCATCATGAGCTTCCACTCCAATTATCTTCACGTGGGGTGCAATGCGCTTAAGGTAGACTCCGATACCAGCAATCAATCCTCCTCCTCCAACAGCACAGAAGACAGCTTCCAGCTTCTCTAAGTTTGCCTGGCGCAATATTTCCATTCCGATGGTTCCTTGGCCGGCGATCACGTAAGGGTCATCGAAGGGAGGAATGCTCGTTAATCCGTGCTGCTTCTCTAAGCGGTGCGCTTCTGCCTTCGCAGCGTCGAAGTCGTCTCCATGGAGAATCACACTTCCACCGAGGCGAGCGACGTTCCGGTGCTTGATAGCCGGGGTGCCAGAGGGCATAACGATGGTTGCTGGGATCTTCAAGTGACGCGCGGAATACGCAACACCCTGCGCATGGTTACCTTTACAATATGTAAGCCACGTATTATATCTATTAGTGGCTTTGGGAATGTCTCACCTGCAGAGCATGCGACAACACCTTTCCAACTCTGCTCATGACTCAGATGTGCCATCTTGTTGTAAGCTCCGCGGAGCTTGAAACTGAACACAGGAAGCAAGTCCTCCCGTTTCAGAAGTACACGACATTCCAAGCGGTTGCTAAGGTTGACTGCGTGATGAAGGGGTGTCTCGGTGATGATGTCGTAAACGCGGGATGTTAGAATCAATCGGAGATACTGCACGGTGGCGGGTGAGTCAGAGATGAACTGTTTTTGCGTTTTACGGAGAATTTAGTTGGGTATCTCACATCTGGGTAGCCATTGGGAAGTAGAAAAGCATCTGGGATACCCCAATTGGGTAGTAATCCCAGCTGCTTTCGTTCTTCCTGTTCTGAGTCAGGCGTGGGCACTGTCGAGTACTCGGTCAAAGCTAGGTTGCTGAACTTCGATGAGACCGGCGTCGCAGCGCCACTTCTAGGAGTTTCTGCAGACATGATGCTGCCCACGTAGAGACAAGTCAGAAATTGATCCTGAGCAGCAAGATAAACCACACAGCCAAAGCGCGGACAAAGAACTGGAACCGAAGTTGCAGATGATGGGCAAAGGAACACTTATCTTGGCGGTGGGGAGATAAAATTCCGTGATCGGAGCAGATGAGGTTATGTCAGCAACCCTCATCCCCAGCCCTAAGTCCTTCCGGCCCCGCCGCGGAGTAGGAGTATATCTCCATCCATACTTTGATAGACATGTAGAGAACACTCTCTGGTGATGACGAAGGAAAATACACCGCGCTGACATGTCGCTAGCGTACGAAGCGATCGAAACAGAAGTTGCAGTGGCTCCTTTCGCCCAACTAGCCGGCGTCCCAGGCGCTGTATTAATATCTATATAACTGTCAGAGGGACTGGGGATCATACGGTCTCTGGCCCACCGGTGAACGAATCGATGTCTGTTATAACTCTGGTGATATATGTATAGGGGTCATACTGCTATCTTGCTCAATAGGTACATCTAACTAGGCCTATTTCCTATCGTTCACCTCTCGCAGTTCAATCTCCGCAGTATTGTGGTAGCCCATTCTTCAAGGTACCCTACGTATGGCATGGAGTAAGAACTAGAATATACAATGCAAGAAACAGGCATCTTCTGGGATACGAAAGCCGATTGAAGTCATCAAGTAGCTTCATTTCTTCATCCGTAGTCGTCTATTCAAATGGGTCCATCTCCGATATGCGATCAAGAGTAGATGTATCGTATGATGATGTATGGTACGGTATGAAAATTACTCAAGTCGCAAGGTTTGCGACGTCATGTTTCCTTTTCAGATAAAACAACCACTTTGATATCTTCTTCACCTGCCACTCAAGTGGGCAATCCAAAGAACGTCCAGATAAGGTGTGTACTGGGTACCTGAACCCTGGTTTTAACTCGGTTGACCATCTCAAAGAGTGCCACTTTGAAACTCATTCGGAGCATCAGACTTCCAAAGGATCACCACCTTTCCGGTTCTCCGCTTCGCAATATTCACATCCTCTAATCCCTTCTCAAATTTGTCTTTCTCCCACGCGATATCCTTACATTTAAAAAGACAAAAATGAGTAGCGACCCTGTTCCATCTTCATTTGAGGGCAGCCCGTACGTACCCGGACCACCCTCTATAATTCGCGCAAGGAGCGCAGGGAACGAGCATTAACTTGGATGGGTATCTAGTCAGTTCGAGGAGGAAACTTCCTTGCAGAAGTTCCGTAGACGTCTCAAGGAGGAACCCCTGATTCCGCTTGGTAAGGAATGATTCTTCCATGCTCCAATTTTACCTAAAAGGACCACGCTAATCCGACTTTGAATTGCAGGATGCGCAGCTACCAGTTATGCTCTCTACCGCGCCTACCGATCGATGAAGGCCGGTGACTCGGTCGAAATGAACCGGATGTTCCGTGCCCGTATCTATGCCCAGTTCTTCACCCTTATTGCCGTCGTTGTCGGAGGCATGTACTTCAAAACGGAGCGACAGCAGCGCAAAGAATTCGAGCAGATGGTGGAAGAGCGCAAGAGCCAGGAGAAGCGGGATGCCTGGCTGCGTGAGCTGGAGATCCGTGACAAAGAGGATAAGGACTGGCGGCAACGTCATGCGGCTATGGAAACCGCTGCCGCGGAGGCAGGAAAGAAGGCTGCTTCTAAGCCTGTTGCTGAGCATGATGCTGCTCGCTCCGCTATCGAGCGCTCTGAGGAGAAGTCCATTGGTGTGTTAGATGCAGTGAAGGAGTTGTTGTCGAGGAGGAACTAGGGCAAGGGTAACATTGTACGATCTCTTAGGTGGACGACTTTGAATTGAATTTGGGTATCATATTGTACATATATACATTCAGAACTTGTTATGCATAGGATATTCTCATCTCCAACACTTCATCTCCGAGGCTCCATATAGGCACACTATACATTGCATCTAGGCCCATCGCCCTGCATGTTGTGCACGTGCCGATGCATTCATTTAAAACGCATGGGCCTCAAGCTAATATTCAAAACCGGAATCTGGAAATAGTCACAGGCGAATTAGTGAGAGGCTTGCTCATCGATATACCGTCTCATCATCTCAAATTCCGATTTCCCTGTCTGTGCGCGGTTAGAAGCATGTCGGATCTATAAATGCGCAAAGCCATACCGAAAGCAAATACCGTATATGTTGCTAGCAAAGATTAGTTAGTCACAGGCCAAACTACCAAACAGCATATTGTGCATACCAAATCCGTTATATTACGATGACGCTCAAACTCTTGGCGAGCGTAGCTGCGCAATTCGTCCCGTGTCGACGATTTGGGGATTTCTTGGACAAGCCAGTCAGCAACTGATGCTAGTTCAGTGATAAACCGGACAATCTTACTATGTAATGCTCGAGTAACCTCCCTCCAGAACCCGAGGACTCGCTGTCTTTGGATGAACTACTTAAGATGTCAACAATGTACAAAGGAAATTGAAATCATATAGTCATGAGCTACTGACATGGTCCAAACTCATTGCCGGCTTCCTAAGCTTCGACGGCTGGCCGCGGGATACGGCAGCGAGCAAATTCAAAGATGGCCGCATTTTAGTGACTGTCTAGAGCATATAAGAAGGGCCAGTGAAAAGCAAGTAATAATAAATGATCCTATTGATCAACACATCCCACAAGTGATAGTTACATGGGTTCACGATGATAAATTGATACTAGATGAAGATCGGTGGCAAAATCCAAGGCGGTCAGGAAGGAGCAGTATTGTCATGAAATGCAATGAATGGATACATACCGTACCTGCCTGGATGAGCATTATGTTTTGATGGCCGTTGAGTGGCCAATCAACTGATCATCACGTGAGGCGTTCCTGGCTTCCCCGAACTTTTTTTCGGCGCCGACGAAAAGATCGCGACTCTTGGGATCCCCAAGCATCAGCATTTCCGTGTGGGTGGACAATAGTCATGAGGTGTCCTTCTCTTGCGCGGTTGCCATACCGTGCCGTTTCTGGCTTGCCCAGATCTGCCGTTCGTCTCCAGTCTCAGAACTTCCTTACCAGAAGATGCGCGTCGACGGCCGTTCTCCGTTCACCCACTGCTGCCCCGGCTTATCAGTCTATCCTGAACAGACACCTCCAGCAAAGGAGATATGCCTCAGGTACTGCCGCTGCTGTGTAAGTGCTTTCATTGGCATAAGTTTCTATCGTTACTTAGTTTTGACCCAATTGCTAACTATTCAATTCTTATTGTATAGTCTTGAAGCCGCTGCCTCCGACAACTTGTCTCAGGAGGCGATCATTGAGAACCTTGACCCTGTTGAGGCAGAACGGCTGTCCAGAGTCCGGAATATCGGTATTGCTGTAAGATAATTCGAGAACCTCCGTCAGATCCAACGCATTCTAACGTTCTTCCGTTATAGGCGCACATCGACAGCGGCAAGACTACATGTACCGAACGTGTCCTTTTCTACACCGGCCGTATCAAGGCAATTCACGAGGTTCGTGGAGGTGACAAGGTTGGCGCTAAGATGGACTCCATGGACTTGGAGCGTGAAAAGGGTATCACCATCCAATCCGCTGCTACATTCTGTGACTGGGTGAAGAAGGATGAGGATGGCAAGGAAACCAAGTACCATTTTAACTTGATCGATACACCTGGACATATCGATTTCACTATCGAAGTTGAAAGAGCCCTGCGTGTCCTCGATGGAGCGGTCATGATCCTGTGTGCTGTTTCAGGCGTCCAATCCCAGACCATTACCGTCGATCGACAGATGAGACGTTACAACGTGCCCAGAATCTCCTTCGTCAACAAGATGGACCGTATGGGAGCCAATCCGTTTAAGGCTGTCGACCAGATCAACAACAAGCTCAAGATCCCCGCCGCCGCGGTCCAGGTGCCTATCGGTGCTGAGGACGAGTTTGAGGGTGTGGTCGATTTGATCCGCATGAAGGCGATTTACAACAGGGGACCTAGCGGTGAGGAGCTTTTTGAGACGGAGGAAATCCCTGAGAAAGTCAAGAACATTGCAGAGGAAAGGCGGAGGAAGCTCATCGAAACTCTCGCTGACGTGGATGATGAGATTGCTGAGCTCTTTATTCTTGAAGAAGAGCCTACCGAGCAGCAGTTGAAGGCTGCAATCCGCCGCGCTACCATTGGCCTGAAGTTCACTCCAGTCTTCATGGGCTCTGCTTTGGCGAACAAGTCCGTGCAGCCTATGCTGGACGGTGTTGTTGACTACCTCCCCAACCCTGCGGAGGTGCAAAACCTTGCCCTTGACAAGAAGCGTGATGAGGCCTCGGTGAAACTTGTCCCCTACCAGTCCCTTCCAATGGTTGGCCTTGCTTTCAAGCTGGAAGAAAGCAACTTCGGCCAGTTGACATATATTCGTGTATACCAAGGAACCCTCCGTAAGGGTGCCAATGTCTTCAATGCCCGTAACGATAAGAAGATCAAGATTCCTCGCATTGTCCGCATGCATTCCAATGAGATGGAGGAAGTTAATGAGGTCGGTGCTGGTGAAATCTGCGCCGTCTTTGGTGTTGACTGTGCTTCTGGTGATACTTTCACTGATGGACAACTTGGCTATACCATGTCTTCTATGTTCGTTCCTGAGCCTGTCATCTCTCTTTCGATCAAGCCCAAGAACAACAAGGATGCTGCTAAGTTCTCGAAAGCTATGGCTCGTTTCCAGAGAGAAGATCCCACCTTCCGGGTGACCTACGATGTCGAGAGTGAACAGACTCTTATTTCCGGAATGGGAGAACTGCATCTTGATATTTACGTGGAGCGCATGCGTCGTGAATACAGTGTTGACTGTGAGACTGGCCCACCGCAGGTCGCATACCGCGAGACCCTCGGCAACCGGGTTGAGTTCGACCATCTGCTCAAGAAGCAATCGGGAGGTCCTGGAGACTACGCCCGTGTGGTTGGTTGGATGGAGCCAACCGGCAAGCTTGATGACAACGTCTTTGAGGAGCAAATTGTTGGTGGAAGTATCTCTGAGAAGTTCTTGTTCGCTTGTGAGAAGGGTTTCCATCTAGCTTGCGAGAGGGGACCTCTTATCGGCCACAAGGTGCTTGGTAGCAAGATGGTTATCAATGATGGTGCCACCCACATGACCGATTCCTCTGAAATGTCTTTCAAGAATGCCACCCAACAGGCCTTCCGTAAGGCATTCATGGAGAGCAACCCATCTGTTCTTGAGCCAATGATGAAGACTGTTGTGACTGCGCCCGCTGAGTTCCAGGGTGATGTCATCTCCCTTTTGAACAAGCGCAATGCCACCATCAACGATTCCGAAGTCGGCGTTGATGAGTTCACTGTGTACGCTGACTGCAGTCTGAACGGCATGTTCGGCTTCAGCAGCAACCTGCGTGCGGCCACTCAGGGTAAGGGTGAATACACCATGGAATTCAGCCACTACGAGAAGTGCCCTCCTCAGGTCCAGAAGGAACTGATCGCGAAGTACCTCAAGGCGCAGGCCGACCGCCACAAGAAATAAACCTCTTACGGCTAGACCTAGAGTTTCTGACATGTTTTACTACCGGAGTTGTTTTTGAGCGTCTCCTTATCCTATATTCCTCGGCCAGCTTACGTTCTTCAAGGAGTGCTCGGATGGAGGCGAGGTTTTCTTTTACCATCTTTTTCATTAATTGTGTCATGTATTATATACAATTTAGACCCTGTGGGCTTACGAAGATATTATTTTAAAAATCAATTTGGAGCGGGATTAAAACAATGTTCGTTATCTATTGTACTTTGGGTGGTTTTACTGGCTGTACATATATCTTTTTGGGTCTTTCCATCTCCTCTCACATACTTTCTGAATACAAGGCATGAATCATGTATTCTTATCTATATCTTCACAGCATTATATATAGGCAATGGATCCCATAGAAGACATGTTTCACTGTGTGGAGGTTACCAGGCTGGGGACTGGCGTTCTATAGCGCACCCTCACTGCTCGAAAGCCCTAAGCACAGCAAGAGCAGCAACGGAGAATGTCGCAACGCGATTATGACCTGTGTTAAGTTAGCCTCTACTCTCGTTCTGAAAGGGTAGCACGATATGGACATACCACCGTACGGCACACGCTCCCATCTAACACTTTTAACCACACCGGCGTTCTTGCTAGATCTGTTCTCCCAGATGAGCACTTCATTCTGACTTTTTGGGTCCTTCCTCTCGTGCACAATGCGCCCAGGAGCATCCTTATCGTTCTCCCCTGTCGCAGCCACCCAAACGCGACGTCCCTCGTACCATGGGATCTCTGCATCGTTATACGCATGCACAATGGTAAGATCCAGCTCCTTATCCGCATAACCAGCAGCCGAGTCGTTCTGAGCTGTCGGCCCAACTCCGGTTAACCGCGCCACTCGCGCGGCGGTATCCCAACGATCAATGACGTGGCTCTTGGTCCAGTTCTTCACACGAGGATAGCCAACAAGAGGGGAGAGGATCGGAGGCGTGAGACCCTTGAGACTGTAAGTATCAAGGAGACTTGGTACATTACTAAATGATGCGACGAGAATCACACCAGCGAAGGGTTCAGGGTCTTTGATGGCAGGCTGGATGGCAGTTGGGTCGGGAGATCCGAATGCAAAACGCTCAGCTACTGCTGCACTGACGGCTGTTCCGAGGCTCTGACCTGTGATGACGATTCGAGATGGGGGAATGTTCAATGTGCTGGAGGTGAGGAAGTTGAGCAGGGCGACTCCATCGGTGATTAGGCCTTCTTCTGTGGGGGATCCGGTGGATATGCCGAAGCCGCGGTAGTCCATGGCGAAGACATGGATTGGGTTGGAGGGTGTCGACAGGCCCAGAAGCATGCGATAGGTTTCCGGGCGTTGAGCCGAGCCGATGTGAGCGGCATTGCCATGGACTGGACGGAATGGTTTAGCTTATAAATTCTGGGCTTTTAATAGGGTAGACGTACAAGCGACTACGACCCTGGCATTAGGGTCATTTGCCAGCAGTTCGTAGGCGGGGGTTTTTGTATAGTCACCCGCTGGACCGGAGGGCTCATTTGCATTCAATTTCTCTTCGTGCTCCCGACAGAGGTGGGGAGGGAGCAGATGCCACGCGTAGAGGGTCTCATTATCAGGCGTCACCAGATTGAATGGCTGGACCTGTGTCTCTACTGACGTTAATGGACTTCTTGCACGGTTTGTCATCTAAAAGTATGAGGACGTAACATACTCAGAAAACCGAAAGATTCAACCTGGTTGACATCTTCCCAGAGAGCTGGATTGACCTTGTGAGCATAGAGGGCACTATACCAAGACTGTAAGCGACGGAAGCACTGCAAACTTGAAGGGAAAGTTTCAAAGAGCTTACAATCTTTGAACAGTTGGAAACGTCAAGGTAAAGATTATGCTCACGTAGACAAGACCGCCGGCAGCCAGCGACCAGTAGGCCTTTTTGAAGATGGACTGAAGTTCAACCATCGTTGCACTACTCCTTCATTGATGTTGTTGATAGTAGAAAATGTTATGTCAATTATCGGAATTAAGAGAGAGATAAGCTCTTATCGCACACCGCTTTCTTGACCGCCTTCTGAAAAACGCGATCTGATCGGTTTGGTATGAATAAGTCTGTTTGTTTGTTCATCATACATCAGGACATAATACAACAGCTAAAAGTACAATTATCGAATACCAAATCGCCGCTGATAGCAGAATTAAAACAGCCTGCTATGCGAACCTCAATGGTTTATAGACCCATCGGTACAAGTCCAGTAGGTGGACCATAAAAATCCTTCAGTTCCTCTTCCTCGTCTTCCTCAACGGGCTCCTCTCTGTTCTCAGTGTCTGATTCATCATCAACCGCTCTACCCTTAGAGAGCCGGCTGCGGTTTGCAGGGACTGGCGTTCCGCTTTTCTTCTTATCCTCTACATCATGCTCGTCGCCTGCTTCTTCGCGTGGTAGACGGAATGCAAGGAACCCATCGGGAGCGCGCTCTGCCCGGTCCATGATTTCATTCATGTACTTGCGCACTTCATCGGGAGGCTTCACCACTCGGGATAAAGGCTCGAGGACTTTAGCGTTGGGGCTGTGAATGCGGAATGTAACAGGTTGGTAGTACTCTTTCAAGTTGGAAGCCTTAGCCGCAGCTTCGGGTTTGTCTTTAGGTTGAGGCTTGTTCGACTCATCTTGACTTGGTGTGGTGGCTTGCGGGGCTTTTGGGTCAACTTGACCGCCAGCTGGCTTTTCCTCTTCGGTTGGGGTCGGTTTACTATCAGTAGCGGCAGTCTGACTGGTAAGAGGCTGCGCATTACTCTCCCCTTTCTCCTTCTCCTTGTCCTCTAACTTTTCGCCTTCTTTGCCTTTGCCTTTATCCTTCTCTTTATCTTTGTCTTTACCCTTGTCTCCCTTCTTCGATCTTGACGCCGACTTGCCTTTAGTTCGCGAGTTTGCCACCTCTGATGCTGTCTCTATAGGGAAGGGGGTATTCGGATCCACCTTTCTAACAAGTAAGAAAGATGCAAGAACAGTGTTCCCGTCTGGAAGCCACTCCAATATAGTATACTCTGGAAACAGGTAACGATCTCCAGAGCCAGCATGACCCGAAGTGCTACTTCCATACGGTGTTAAGGGCGATGTGAATTCGAAAACAACCGATTTGTAATTCAGTCTCGGGGGTGGTGGCGGGGGAGCTGGTCGATAGTAGGGAGCTGGAGATCCGTACTGCGGAGGCCGTGACTGAATCGCAGGCGGGTGGCCCTGATACGATGGCTGCTGATAAGGTGGGTATGGAGGCCCTGGTCGCGATCCAGCGGATTGGTTCTGCGGAGGTGCCATAGGCCGCACCGCAGGACTCTGTTGCTTAGCGTTTGCGGACGGTTCTGCAGTAGGCGAGAGCTGAGCCGCTGCAACTCCAGGCTCTTGTTTGACTTGTGGCGTTATACTGGGCTTCTGTGAAGGAGTTTGGGACTGGTTCGGTGCACTTGCGTTAGGGGTCTGAGGCGCAGAAACTACTGACGGCGGTGGTTTAGGTACATGGACCTCAACTCGTGGGTAAGGCTGCTCCTGTGACCGTTGTTGTGCTGGTTGTTGTGATGGCGTGCTAGGCTTCTTTTGTTGTTGATTCTGTTGCTGGCTTGGCTGCTGCAGAGGCTGTGGAGGCTGTGGAGGCTGTGGAGGCTTTTGGGATGGCGGTGGTGGTTGAGGTGTCTGTTGCGGTGTCCGGGGCGATGCCTGTGGCTGATTAGGTGTTGGTGGATGGGACTGCTGTTGCTGTTGCTGTTGCTGTCTTTGCTGTTGTTGCTCTCTTGCGCGAATAATTGCATTTAGCTCATCGATGTGAGCCTGGAAAGCACGAAGCTGTTCTTGAGACGCTTTGCTCGAGGCGACCACTCTCATCAACGCCTTCAGATCCGGGTCCGAGGCAGCTCGTGTAGCAAGCATCTGAATCACTGGGTCCGGACTAGGCTTTGGAGGCTGGGCCTGTGGATGCTGCGATGGTGACGGCCGTTGGGCCGATTGAGATGGACGTTGAGGAGGAGGTTGGTTGGGTGTTCTGGCATGGTGTGGAGGTGGTGGATGATTGCCCTGCTGATAGGTGGGCTGAGGGGACGCCGAGTGGGCGGGCGGATTTTGAGGGGGGTGTTGTCGTGCATGTTGAGGAGTAGGATAGGGTTGGTATTGCTGGAAATTATTAGGGTGACCGTAGTGAACCATCGGCCGCTGAGGGGGCGTGTATTGAATTGGCGGTGGCGCATTGGGGTCTTTGACGGTGTACAGCATAGCATCGAAAAGATGAGGACCGACAGCAATATTACAAGGGCCGACCTTTGACATAGATTCCTTGGGAGGGTTTTTACCCTCAATTTGCTCTCGTTTGGTCTTCTTTGGTTTCGTCCAGTATCGCACGAGGATGCCGTCGCTGAGCCATTTCTTTTTTGATCGTTCCAACGAAGCTAGGAGAACCGCACTATAACCAGGTCAGGCACCATCACCTTTTTTATCACATACACCTAGCTCCCAAAACCATACCTTTCCGCATATGACTGGTACTCCTTCGCGGACAGCGTCTCCAGCTGGGGTGATGGTACAGTTGGGAGACCCTCCCCATCTTTGATTTTTGTTGGCAGGGGATTTTCGACAACCTCGACAGGGGGAGGAGGCGGGGTTGGAGTCGGGGGCGCGGCAGCAGTCGAGGCCCGTTTCTTTGACGATGATGGTGTAGATTGTGATTGAGAGGGTGCTTCGGAGGCTCGTCTTTTCGACGCCGGTTCGCGGCGTTCGCGAGCGGAAAGCCTGCGTTTTTCGGCCATGAAGGCAATGAATAATGATTAAGAATGAGGGATGCAGTTATATAGGCCACAGTGAGAGATGAAAATCATCTCGACAAAATACCGTGGTGCCAAAAGCGTAAGTGAAGAAGAGGAAAGACGCGATTTATTTAAGTTGCGGAGAGAAAAGAAACGCGGGAGCGAAATTTGGGTCGATCACTTATCAATTTATGCGAGTCCAATGACCTTCCGGACTGGTTCGACATCATGCATTCAATTCATTCTAAACAACTAAATAAAATGCAAATCTAAAAGCAGACAGAGAAAATACAGCGGCCTTGTGCCACTATTTCCACTCCTGGAGGAACTTTAATTAATCTCAGAAATGCCTCGATAACTTGAAATAAATGTTTCTACTAGTACTACTAGATCGGTGGGAACAACATACATCGTGGAGGGTTTATCAGGTTGCGTGGGACAGCCCATAAGGGAAAGTATCAAGGCTATAGCTTAAACTAGGAGGATTTGTATAAGTGAAAGCTGTCCTCAAAAATAAAAACGAAATAAAAAATAGAAACTGAAATGTTATCTCGATCAGAAAAGTATCACGAGAAGGAGCAATTTGCCCGTTGTCCCATATTCACTCATCAAAAGACATGTATTCATTAACTAGACCCAATTCACTGCCCGCAGCATCACATATAATATACCTCCAGAACGCCTCCAGAATATAAAACCAATATCTCATTTATCATCAAATACTTCCTCGTCCGTGACTATCGCCAATTATCCCTGCTGTTTCTAGTAACCATCTAGCTCCTTCCATAGCTGAATCTCCTGCGCCGGCCTTTATATTCAGGCTTCGCCTTCTTTCTGCTTCCCTCGCCTCGAAGTCCCACTTCGCTTTTTGTAGTTCGATGGCACTCTTCTCGGAGGAAGGAACAACAGGATCAGGGACAAACCCCCATAGCTCAAGGTTGTAAATGTCAATGTGCGTTTTGGTTGGTTTGTCCGAAGTTGAGCTGGTACCGGCAGGGAGGAAGACACCATTATGCCCAAATGGGGCTACATGAAATTCTGCCGTCTCAAGACTCGTATCTATCGTTAGGCTTCCCGCGCCCAACGGTGAGGGGGGTAGGCGTTGGCTCCGGGATGTCGGCGGTATTCGACAGCCAAGCGAAATACCCGAGTGATTAGAAAAATACGCTGCGGGAGTGTCGGGATTCTGTATTGAAGATGATGGGTTTCCGGGCAGAAGTATGTGTTTTGGCGACAGTTGGAAGAGGCAAGGAAGGGTAGACGTCTCCAAAAGTCGAGAACTGTGGGTCGACGACCCGGATTTCCAGGGTTGTGGCAGATATGCTCCTAGTGTGACCATACGCTCACCAGACGGCTCAGAAACGGCGCCTTCGAGAAGCAATAATGTGCCTGACTGCCATGTAAGAACATTGTGAGAGAACGAAGTAAGAGATGAGCCATGCGCTGCCGTGGAGAAGATGGGATGCAGACGCAAGTTGTCACGGAGAAGGTTCTCGCTGCCGTTGGTGGACGGAAGGAAGAATGACAGGTGTGACACAATGCTTGGGTTCAATATCGCAGATTCGAAGCTACCCGGGAGCGTAATTGATGTAGGCGATGGCAAGGGAGTCTCTGGTGCCTCATCTGTAGGCTCTGTTGAGTCGCTTTGACCACGCTTCTGGGACAGGTTCAGATTCTTGCTGAAAAGAAGATGCTCGAATAGTGATGTCAAAGGATCAAATAGATATGGCAACGATGTATTAATGGTTTTAGCAAAAGCTTTATAGGTAATGCCTCCCGACTCTTCCTGGGGGAATGCTGCTAGGATATCGTCGGCTTGCTTCCTTACAGTTCGCATACGCCTATCATTCAAGTCGGACGTATATGTCTTGACTGGTTCTAGGGGCTTTAGAGGTGAGATCACAAGCAGTAGCATCAGAAGGCGACGAAATGTGGCAGTGGATATCCGAGCTTCATACACTGCCTTATCAATGCGAAAGTCGTGCCTGAACACTTCAATCGCGTCTAAAGACTCCAAAGCCGCAAGCGCAAGATCGTCGTCATCATCTTCGTAGTCATCGTTTGTAGGCTCGTCCACAGAAAATCCAGGCGCATGGGGCCTAGTAGCGGCAGAATCGTCCTTATCTTGCTTAGAATTCTCATCGTGGGCCGGCTGGTCAACGTCTTTCCTTCCTACATCAGCAAGGCTCCCAAACAGCAGCCTAATCCTGTCCTTCCGCGCTCGTCTTAAGACTTTCCCATATCTCTCTGTTAGCAAGACAACCACTTTAACCATCGCCTCGAATGTCAGTACGCTCGGAGCCAAAGTGTTCTGGAAAGGGAAGGCCCCCAGATACGACACCATACGGAAGATCACCGGACCAGCATCCAGTGGACATTCGGCATCACTGCTATCTGGTATAGCAAGAAAGTCGGACAAGATCTTTTCATTCCAATACTTCAAGTCCCCTTGTCCCGTCGCACGGGTAAAGAAGTTGTCCTTGAAGTGGGTTAATTCTAAAGGGGTGAAGCATTTGGTCGCGAAGCGTTCAGCAAGCATGTGACTCAGTTCCTCTACTCGATGTTAGAACTGGTTAGGCGACCAGGAAAGTGACAAAATATCCTCTTTATTCGGTCCATAGGAACACATCAAAACATCAAGGGGCTGCTAACCTGGCGAGGAGGCCTGGCCAAGTTCAGTCGACTGGCTTAACCCCATTTTGCAAAAGAAACAGGTGGCGGTGTGCTCAATGGCATCTGACTGACAGATTTAGAGGGATTCTTAGAAGTGGCCTGCTGCTTATGTATCATTTGTCGATCACAATACAAAACGTTTTCGGCTTATCGGCCTGGTGCTACTGTACAAGGGCCCTTAGGTATGTCGGGAAAAAGAATGTGGTGCTAGCAGGCCAAGACTGTCACACTGAGCTGAGACCTTGGATACGTAATAAATACCTTGACGGCCAGTAGTATCCATTGAAGCTAAAGAGGCAGAAAGGCTGCTTTGTTGATCCAAGAGACGTTGCGAGAGTCTAGCCCATTCATCGGGTGACGACGTCACGGGCCTTGGGCCTTGGCGCCTGGGGCATTAGGCTATTTTAGGTAGCTGACGTTTCTATAGTTGGAGTCCACCCAATTGACGTTTCTCCATTACCTAAAGTTCCGTTCCTACCTTGCTCGGCGACTAGCAGAATCTCACGATAATGGGGTCATACGAGAAGACTATCATAACAGGGAAACTGGGGTCTGATTCATGGCTTCTTGCTCAATCTCTCGTCCAAGGGTAAATACATTTTGAGGCAGAGAATATGACGAGCGTTCAGATTTTACAGCATAACGACACCAACACCTCCCATCCTTTTCTCGTCCGGCAGGTTCTTCTCGTTAACACCTCCAGGGATAGGGGCTGTTCTGTAGTTGTAAAGATAAAAGTGAAGCTGGCCATCACCTGCACCAAACTTCAGCTGCTCCAAGAAGAGAGGGTTGTCCTGCAGGGTAAGGGCGTTGAACACATCGAAGTGGGCCTAGAGAACATGGTAAGCTATAAGGAATATACTACACCAAATCAAGTGCTGGATTTGTACCTTCTTGGCCTGGATCAAGGCATCGTTCATCAGGAGTAGAAGACGCTCTTTCAAGGCCTTTAGATCCCCTGTGAATGCGGTCTCGGTGGCATAGTAATACAGGTAAGCAGCGCGCACTTCCTTATGCTTCGGGTGCTGAATGACCGTAGATGGGAGGTTGTAGAACGAGAAGAAGTCGGTAATCTTGTGTGTCTCAGGATCTTCTACCACATATGACCAGACAACTTGCTCCTTTCCTTCACCGTCCTTGTGTACTAGCCAATGCTCGATTTCCTCTCTTGTAAAAGCCTGGTTCATATCAAAGCGCTTCAGATACCGCTCGAGCAGGTCATGAACGGCGTCAATGTCCTTGGTTCCCATGGGACGCAATCCAGGCGTAGATGTAGTGCTGGGAAGATGATTCTTGGTGATCTGACGGGCTTTGGTAGAGCCATGAGGAAGGGGCGAGAAGCCGACCTCATAAAGCTTCAACCAGTCCAACGGACGGTGATAGTAGCGGCAGGAGCTGACAGGCGTAGGCAAAACCACACCGGCAGTATAGATGGCTTGGTAGATTCCATTCAGATAGCAGCGACGGGTGATCTCTTTGATGAGAACGGGAGTCAAACGCTTAGACCGCAGTTTCTTATGGATACAGAGGAAGTTGATTTCCGTCACCTTAAGCTTCTGATCGCGAACACGGATCTCGGTAGGCACACCGCAAATAGATGCGACAAGCTTCCTAGACTTGGTAGCGCGAACACCCACATGCCATTCCTTTCTCCAACCGGGAGACATCAGAGCCCTATGATGTTCGCAAGCGTTAGTTTACAGTAATCTACCTTATTTTATGATAAGATATTTATGCCAATGCTAATAACGACGTACCAATGCAAAAATGACTGGGAGTATCTAAAGCGGAACATGGCGTTATCGTCCTCCACGTAATGGTATGTCAACAAGTCCCACAATTCCTGCAGCTCAGTCTCGTTGGTCAAATCAAGAGTTGTCCACTCGAAGCCTTCGATGAGTTGATCGGGCTCCTTCGACACCTTCTCGGGATCGATCATCTTAATGGGACCTCCGCTAGCATTACTGGCCTCATCGAAACGGGGTACGGGTTGCGTTTGCCAGAACCTGTACGAAGCCATGTCTTTCTGGTTCTTCCCACCGACCGATAGACCAGTCAGCAGCTCGGAGATGGTCATGTTGCGCAATGCCTCCGCAGCTTCTTTCTTGTCCATTGCGGCCAGCTCGTTCTTCAGCGCCGGGTTATTCTCCAACAGCTTCTCCGCCATCTTGGGGGTGATTGTCGCATCCTTGGGCTTTTGTTCAGAGCTACCTGCTTGTGTGTCTTCAGCCTGGGGCGCTTTGCCCTTGGTATCCTTGGGGTCAGACATCACGGCGGGGGAAGTGATGAGGAGGGGGTAAGATTTAAGCGGTTTGAGTGCGGAAGGTTTTCAGGTCCGCCGCCCCACGTCACGTCAATTTCGCGGGGTCAAGCTTAATAAATAAAGAGTAGTAATCATAAATTAACGGGCTGATAAGTACGGAGTAAACATTCACTCACCCAAACTACATTGAATACTCTTGGTGACTGATGGAGCTAAATCCACTTGGCGCTTGTTTACTTCTTCTTTTCTGGCAATTGGTGTTTGACGTAGAGCGCAATTAGATTTCTATTCTAGTACTGCATATCGTCGTATAGGCGACAGCCATGTATGTGTGTGTGACCTCTTACCTCGGCAAATCAATACATACACTGAGACAAAAGAGTCCAATTGGTTTTTTCCACTATTCTCCAGGCTATCCTGTATTTGCTAAGTCAATAAATGAACTGAATTCGAGGTTTGTTGAATCCCAAGATAAACGCCTCTCCAAAATCTATACCATCCCACATGCTAACATGAAAAGGACTAGCAGCCCTTCTGGGTATCATTGAGTATGTTGTTGAGAACATGGCATAGACGAGTATTGATGTCCAGATGCCCAATTTTACGTGCTAGCGAATCGCAAAAATAAGAAAATTTCACAGACGTATCCCCTCATTGTGGGCCAGGCTTGGTCTCGATTACATCCAGGAAACCGCCAACAAGATGTAAACTGCCCGTGACAAAGGTCATGATGGGTGTTTCATCAATATCTGAACGTTCTCGTTCCTTCGCGGCCAAGTCTCGGGTGAAGTCAACAGCTTCTTCTATGGTGCTATACACCTTGACATCGGCACGTGGATCAAGCGAGCGCCATTTCTCTGCAAGGCTGTTCTGGACCTGTAATTTTTCCACCTCAGATGCGCTTGTGTTCATGCTTACGAGGTCGGGTCGATAACCTGCTGCTTTATAGGTTACATTGGTACAGAAAATCGCGTGAGTAAAAGGCTGCTCGGACCCAAGAGCTGCAGCGAGGGTGTCATAGAGGGCTTGGGCGAGGGCATTGCTATCACGAGTTTGCTGATTGAAGATCAAGACGCGCAGCCTTTTATTTGCCACCGCACCAGATGAGGAATTCGCATGTATTTGGGAGGTGAACCATTGACCAGCCAGCTTGATACTCTCTAGAGTATGACCACCGTCGATGAACCAGGTGACATTCTTTTCATGCCGGGTCTCACAGCGCCCACCTAACCGAGCCAATTCCAATCCCTTGCGGAATTTAGCAGGCAGAGGCTTCTTCATAAAATCATCTGGAATGTCTTCGAGCCCGGTTTTCTTAAGAAACTCGGCGGCCGTTGCGATCGCTAGAGCTGCGTTTGTGCGTTGGAAATCACCGGCCAACCCAAGCTTGACATTGCTACCACTGGTTAGCTCCGGATGACCTGCAATGATTTCTAATTGAGTTCCCTTATCCGCTGCACGGTCGTATAGAACCTTTTCGGCACTAGCAGCCTGGGGAGCACTGAAGCCTTTGACTCCAGGCTTTATAATACCACCCTTATGCCAGGCAATCTCTTCAATCGTTGTTCCCAGCATAGCAGTATGGTCAATGCCTAAGCTAGTGATCGCAGTCGCGGCAGGCCGCTCGAGTATGTTCGTGCAGTCGTACTCTCCACCGATGCCACACTCTATCACTGCAGCATCTACACCTTCACTCAGATACGTATGAAATGCCATAAGAGTCAGGTATCGGAAATACTGCGGCTTCGTTCGTAGTTCTTCCGGGTTCTCGCCGGCCACCCGAGCCGCTTCTTCAAGCCGGTCCCAGACTTCGAAGAAGTACCGGGCAAATTTTTCTTCGGAGAGCGGTGCACCGTTAATTTGAATGCGCTCTCGGGCAAATCGTAAGTGAGGAGATGTATAGAGGCCGATGTTTTTAAGACATGGCGTGGAATCTTTTGAGTCTGAGGGCACCGGGGAAGTGTATTGAGATAGGATGGAGGAGATGAAAGCGGACGTCGAACCCTTGCCCTTGGTACCAGCAACGTGTACAGGATTAAGACGGTTCAGATCGGAAGGCTATAGAGAGGGAAAAAAGTTAGACTGCAGTCAGCTACCAACTGCACAGCCCTAAATTAACCACTACAACAGAGTGGAAGCGCAAGATTCACATTGCCCGGGGAAGAGGGTTGCGAACCTGGTATCCAATGCGTCGGAGCCACTCAATGGTCTCCGGGAGAGACCTTAGATTCATTTGCCGCCGGTCTCCCGACTCCCTCAGCTGTTGTACAACTGCGAAGTTTGTCTGCAGCGAATTCAATGCTGCAATTGCAGCCTGTATTCATCTCGTTAGTGTCCAGGGATCAATTGCTTAGAAGCCTCGGCATACCTCATAGCTGCGGGACATTCTGGCCGGATGGGATGAAAACCGACGGGTATAATTATAATTATAGAGAGTGTGTATGCGAAAACCCCTCATGAAGATAGAAGAAGAAGAAATGTATGACGTTGACAATCCTAAGTCACGGGGGATTCGTCGCATTTCCCCAGATCCATGTATTCTCTCCTTAGTCAGCTTTTGGTCAGGTGATGGTCAAGTCGAGAGGAGAAAGATACAACCCTGGGCCTCGTCATAGATTCGGTAGGGAAATAGTGGCGGAACACCTCCCCCATTCCATACTTGGGTTATTGAACCGCCTAAGGTAATATTAATGGCTTCCTCACTCTTAAAGGTCCCATTTGAATATGTATTTCTATGACTTCAGTAATACGGCGACTTCTAGCATCATCACTGTCCGCGATGCAAAGCTTTAAAAAGTACATGCAGAGAGCAGTCTTGCAAGGTGAAACGAACAAGAGGAATAAGGCAAAGAACGTTGCAGAGAGAAAAGGCAGAACAGGGTAAGAACAAAAATAAATCTATATGGTCAAGAGAAAGCCGTGCGATTAAGGCCGGGAGGGTTACTTGCAAATATATGAATTCACGAAAAAAAGAAAACAAGGAGAGACTAGAAGATAGCGTATATAGAGGTGGTACTTTTTACAACCCGCAACATCGAAGTAGGTAAAGGACGAAAGTGTGTACCGGACACGTACCATTTAGTATGTAAAAGAACTCGGCACTGACAGCAGCCTGAGTAAGAAATTATTCAATCCTAGTTTTCCCTTCCTCTAGAAAGCCAAGTCGAGCATTGCTATAGCCCCTTTGGTGCCTTCTGGAAGGAAGAAATTGCCCAACGATAGGATCGGATCGGGCCTTGATCATCGCATCCTGATATCCTTCGGATCCAGCAGCTGGTGTATTCAATTTGGGCCAGTTCACCTGCAATCTATTAGCATGGGGCAAATATATAATCATTCTTCCAGGAACTTACGTAAAGCATCCCGTGCCCAAGTATAAAGCGCGCGCACCAGGCAGTGACTGCCAGCCAGAATATGACGAACAGACGCAAAGGCCATACGGCAGCATCCGGCAAACGCCTCGTAAATATGGAAATTAAAACCATGAAGACACCAGCAGCAAGGATATAAGGGATGGATTGGATAATGAGAGGTCGGCGGTCTAGGAAAAGCTGAAGGTTGCCAAGGGTGGAATTTGGAGGAAGGTAGGTGCCCAAGAAGACATCAAACCCATCCTGCCGGGGGCCATCCAAGAGGTTATTTTTCACGTATCGCGTGATGGAATTGTTCAAATCTTGCAGCATGCCGGCACGAGTACGCTTGCCAGTACGGGTGAAATCTGTCTTCAGTGCTCCGGTGCCCGAGTACGATTTAGAGACGACGTCTGCATTATCGGCCCAGATGTTACGGAACAGATCCTCAAACTCCCGGTCATCATTTGCAGCTTCACCTTGACGTAGGACCCCAGCGTCAGTGAGCTGGCGTGTTACAGCCCAGCGTCCAAGCATACTCTGCACTACATTCGTCCGATCCAAGCAGTCCATGCAGTTGGTACGAACAACGCTGGTTTGTGAAGATCGTGTATCCAGCTGTCCACCAGGCAGGCCAGGATCCTCTACACCACGGAAATAGCCGCCTCGTGTAAGACCATCAATTAAGCGATCCATCAGCAATTCCGCGCGGTGCCATTGCAGCCCCTTTGTTTCGTTGTGGAAATCGAAGTAAATGTAGTGGAGACGGTCCAATTCCTTTTGCCTTTGATCTGGCTCCAGGGCATGTATCTTCTCGGATGATACTGCGTCGACCTCGGTATTTTCGGTCGATGGAGAGACCAAAATGCGTACGAGCTGCTCATATGCATCCTTGACTCGCTCCTCCCTCCCTTTCTGGTTTACAAGGTTGACCAAGTAGTTTTCTCCATACAACCGGATCTGCTCAGCAAAATGCTTTCGTGCGGCATCGACGGCTGTTTCCACCCCACGAACCTGAAGTTTGGGGGTATACTTGAGGTTGTTGACCTCGGCCCAATAGACGGGAACACTCCCGCGAGTCTGCACATAAGCCATGACCTGGAGGTCTCGACCCGAATCTCCGGTTTTTTCTTTCATGGACTGCCCTCCAGCAAACCCCGATAACCCACCAGTCGCATCATTCAGGATCACAATCTGCTCGGTTTCGTTGTAATTCGAAACGTGACCTTGTTCATCGATACCGCGTGAGAAGTATCTTGTTCCAGCGCGGTGTCTAGATCTTCTCGTAATGAGAGCAAACGTGAACGTAGTCGACTTAACTTTTGCCGGAGTGATGCGTAACATTCCATACATTACGGGGAGAATATAAGGGTCAACCCCGGGCTGGGGTCCATAGCGTACACTCGTTGTATCGTGCCCTCCAAGGCTAAAGTCTATGAGATCCGATTGAATGAAGCGGTTCCAAAAGAACCGATCATCGGCTCGCTTCCACATTGGAAGGCTAGCATCGCTTTGCGACTGACGCTGGAAACTGTTGGTGAGGTCCAATACATAAGAAAAATACATCGGCCCGGTGCGGAGGAGGTCTTTTAGCAGCGCCAAATACGTGTCCTCATCATGGTCATGTAGCGGGCGCTCACGAAGGGGTAAGAACTCAGTTGCTGCTACTTTGTAGACCATATGTCCGCGAAGTCGACCCATAGGCAGCGCTTTAGTGATCACGATGATATATTTGTCTGCAAGAGTCAAGCATTAGAGTCAAGCCACTAGCCGAGGTTCGCAAATCAGGCATACCCAGCTTCAACTTGATCATACCCAGTATACCGGCGATACTGGAAATGCGCTTAGCACCAGGAAGGGTGCCATCATGCAGTCGTAAGTCGCCTGTTGGGCGATCAACGACAAGCGTGGGAGCATTCGGTGAAGAGGGCGAGGTAAAAGCGTAATGAGAGGAGGAGGCGTGGAGGTTGATATCGCGGAACGGAAGGAGAGTAGTAGCCATTGTTGGCGACAGCTCACTATCTAAACAGGGGGGGTAATGAGAGATGATAGATAACAATACCGAAGAAGTAGATAGGAAGGAATATGAAAACTAAATAAAGAACGTGGGGTGGGTGGATGTAATATCACCGCATGGCTAAAACTCGGCAAGGAAAGAAAAGAAGGTTCAGGCAGAGAGATGGATTGTCAGGAGCAGGAATGACGATCTCTCAGGAAGCCTAGGGTGTTGTGTCTTGTCACTCTGAACGCAGCATGTGGTGATAATAATACCTGCCAATTGCCGCCAGCATAGGTCAAGCCAAGCCGCCACACCGCCCCGCAGAACGGCCAGTCGGCTTGGGCCAGGTGTGGCTGAATCCCTTCGTCATCTACCTTACCTTTACCAGCCCAGGCCGCCATTAAACCTCCTCCCAGTATCCGATCCCGTCTTCAGTCCACCTCCCCCGTCTAAAGAAATCTTCCCACCTCTAGCGCTTTTTGTTCTCACGATTCACCTCTGTGCGATTTCTACTTCCCGGCGCTCTACATAAAACGTTGCTCTTCCGACCATAGAAATCATGGCCTCCAGAGCCGCAGCAGGCGCCCGTCCTGGTGCCAGATTCGCTCAGTTCAAACTTGTCTTGCTTGGTTAGCCATTTCGATAAATACCCTCCTACTACATTATAAGTTATAGAGTAACTGACACATCGTCTCCCCCACTTTACAGGAGAATCTGCTGTTGGAAAGGTTAGCCTATTCGCTTCCACTATTTTGACGGTCGCTGACGTCTTTCATTACAGAGTTCGCTAGTATTGAGATTTGTCAAGGTAGGTCTAGAGCTGATGAGTCCATTCTGATATCCTAGATATCCGGTCTTAGCTGGGGGTTGCGATGTCGCTTACTTGTCATAGGATCAATTCGATGACTACCGGGAGTCGACAATCGGCGCTGCTTTCTTAACACAAACCATTTCTCTGGACGAAAGCACGACGGTCAAGTTCGAAATATGGGATACCGCTGGCCAGGAGAGATACAAATCGCTAGCTCCGATGTACTACAGAAACGCCAACTGCGCAGTGGTTGTTTATGATATCACACAAGCTGTACGACCCCGGTCATGTGTCTCGGTTTTTGTTATTTGACCCAACGAAATACTAACGTAGCAATCGTCGTATAGTCGTCGCTGGATAAGGCCAAGTCGTGGGTGAAAGAGCTACAACGTCAAGCCAACGAAAACATTGTCATCGCCCTTGCGGGTAATAAGCTCGACCTTGTCACAGAAAACCCAGACAAGAGGGCTATCCCAACCGCAGATGCCGAGGCCTATGCACGTGAGGCTGGTTTGCTTTTCTTCGAGACATCAGCGAAGACTTCCTCAAACGTACGGGAACTTTTTACAGCAATTGCGAAGAAACTTCCTCTCGATCAAGCCGGACCTCGAAACTTGCGCACAAACCCCCGTCCGGGTGTGGACTTGCGCCCAGAGGCCCCTGGCACCCAGGGCGCCAACTCCTGCCAATGCTAAATCTAATCGCAAGCTATCACCCTTGTCTCGTTGTATCTCATATTCGCATTCTTTCCTCGCCCGTCTTTTCAATTATTTTTAGATACAGAAGGTGCACGTCTTCAAGGTTAACTATGAGTCGCCACGCCGGGTGACTCTATGGATCACCACCAAACTTTAGCCAGAATGCCTAATTCTCTATCGGTGTCATGATGATCATGGATATGGCCCACTGGGATTTTGTGAGATTTCAGTCGTCGTTGAGTGGCCGAACACGATGGCTTCCCTGATCTATGTCACCATTTCTCTTTCACTTTTTTCGGCCTTGATATTCGACTGTGTAGCTACTAAGTGAGAAGTCGGATATCGTGCAAGGGTCTAATTGGATCTGGCTTTCTAGACATTATGCAGCAGGACTGTGCCTGCGCTTTGTGTTTTTCCCTTTATTATTTGTTTCAGCTTTATTGTTCCCGGCGTCTGTATCCATGTCTTCCTGTTGGGCTGAATTCATGCTACATCTCTTCCCCTTATTCCGGTCGTCGTGAAATCGTCCGTATGCTATTCCTATATAATAACTTTCTCTTCAAATTCTTTATGGGAAGTTCATAACCATGTGCCATCCTTTTTCTTCATATCAATCGTTACGTAGCAGGTTGAAGCATGAAGTAGGTCTTTATATGGAATAGCTGGAGAACATTCTGCCGCGGGCAACTCCTGTGGGCGGTGCGAAGATTCCCGAGGTCACCAGCCACAGGTTCTGCGGCGGTGCACGATCGGAGCGGTTCGTAAAAGCATCATCCCAATTCCGGTCCGCGTTTTCACTCTCGCCAACATCACCCCTTCAACAAAACCCGCCTTCAGCGTTTACTTCACAGTAGTGCGGCTCGTCATGCTGCGCTCTTCTGTTGCACCGGGTCGGCAGCTGCTGTTGTCTTCCGTTCGCCAACGGACGGCCTCGCAATGGCTGTCTAGAGCTGGGGCAAGTAGCCGGCTCTCTGGTCAGGTATGACGATGCCATGTGCCTTCTTGCCTTTTACGACACCAACTGACTTGCATTTTTTTTATCCATACAGAGATTCTTTGCCGATGCTAAGCCTCCTACCGGCGCCCCTACCCCTGTCTCCCCATCGTCCGAAACATCCATCCCCCCCGAGACTGTTCCTAAGTCATCGCCTAGTGAGCAAGGTTCGATTCCTATCGTCAATTGAATACATCGACTCCTCCGATGCTAAAGTATGCGCAGATTCTCAGACTCCTCCACCGCCCCCACCCGCCCCGGTTCGTAAAACGGGACGTTTCCGAAGATTCCTTCTCTACCTGATTCTCACATCTGGTTTCGCCTACGGTGGAGGTGTCTTCCTTGCCTTGAAGTCTGACAACTTCCACGACTTCTTCACGGAATACATCCCATATGGTGAAGAGGCTGTTCTTTACTTCGAGGAACGTGACTTCTATCGTCGTTTCCCGAACACTCTGAAGGGCCACGCCCGCATCTCTGGACACACGGATGAGAGTAAGAAGGTTACAATCCCAAGAGAGAGTGGTCTTACCTCGAAGGCTGCAGAGGAGCAGGGCTCTGGAAGCGATCTTTCCCAAAAAGGCCCCCATATGAGTGCTGTCAAGGCTGACGAAGCCCAAATCAAAACCGAGAGTGCTAAGCCTGAACATAAGACCGCCGCCGTTGAGAAGGCTAAGAGTGACAAAGCTGCCAAGGACCAGGCACCCAAGAGCAGTGATAAGAAAGCTGAGGAACCTAGACAACCAGCACTGCCTGCCGTGACAACCTTGGAATTCGCTCAGGTCAATGAGGGAGACGAAGCCATTGTGCAAGAGTTGGTGAAGACTTTCAACGACATTATCACTGTTATTAGTGCCGATGAGAACTCTGGCAAGTACTCTACGCCTGTCGCCAAAGCCAAGGAAGAGCTCCAGAAGATTGGGGAGAAGATTATCGCAGTCAGAGAAGAAGCCCGTCGCGCAGCGCAGGAGGAGATCACCAAAGCCCATGCCACCTTCGACGAGTCTGCTCGCGAGCTTATTCGCCGATTTGAGGAGTCGCGCGCGGCTGATGCTGCTCAATTCCGGGAAGAGTTTGAGTCGGAGCGGGAGAAATTGGCTTTTGCTTATCAAGAGAAGATCCAGACGGAGCTTCAGAGAGCTCAAGAAGTTGCTGAACAGCGCCTCCAGAATGAATTGGTTGAACAAGCCATTGAACTCAATCGGAAGTACCTCCACGAGGTGAAGGATCTCGTCGAGCGAGAGCGTGAGGGCCGTCTTGGCAAGCTTAACGAACTGACCGCCAACGTTAGCGAGCTGGAAAAGCTTACTAGCAGTTGGAAGGATGTGATTGATACCAACCTGAAGACCCAGCAGCTTCAAGTCGCCGTGGATGCAGTCCGCTCCGTCCTTGAGCGCTCTTCTGCCCCCCGTCCGTTTGTTCGAGAGCTCGTTGCTGTGAAGGAACTGGCTGCCGATGATCCTGTGGTTGAAGCTGCCATTGCATCTATCAACCCTACAGCATATCAGCGTGGTATTCCCTCTAAGTCTCAGATCATTGAACGTTTCCGCCGTGTCGCCGATGAGGTTCGCAAGGCAAGCCTTCTGCCTGAGGATGCGGGCATTGCTAGCCACGCTGCCAGCCTCGTCTTGAGCAAGGTCATGTTCAAGAAGGACCCTGTCGCCCACAGCGATGATGTTGAGAGTGTACTTGTTCGGACCGAAAGCCTCTTGGAAGAGGGCGACCTTGATGCCGCTGCACGTGAGATGAACAGCTTGAAGGGGTGGGCCAAGATTTTGAGCAAGGATTGGCTTGGAGATGTGCGCAGAGTCCTGGAAGTGAAGCAAGCTCTGGAGGTATGGTTCCTAAACACAAAGTCGCTCCTCTAACTATTCCAAGCTAACTTATTGGTTTTACAGGTTATTGAGACTGAGGCTCGTCTTCAGTGCTTGAGAGTCGAATAGATCAATAAAGAACATCAATTCCTTGTTTCCTGTAATTTTTTTCTTGCCTCCTACCCACAGCACCTGTACCTCTAGTTGTTCTCTTGCGTCGTTAGACCTCAATGCTAGAACCTTCCCGTTGTATCCTTACTATATTGTCTACAGGATTGTACGCAACGATGTTTGTCAAGTTTCTATCTGCATGTCAGACATGTTGAGACTACTATAGAGTAGTAATATTGACGAGTGAAGAGGGCATGCGTGGGTAGTAATGGGTGCTACTCTACCCTGAATCCATGATATTCCACCATGCCTCCTCCCCAACAGCATAATTGAATAGAGCTAGAGATTTCTGGTTGCGCGCTTTTATAAGTGTCCTGTTGCGGGAAGAACGTGTGAGAGAAATATGAAGCAACTTCCATATCACTAACGTTCAGCCATGCTCGAAAGTATTGCAAAAAGGAATCGAATCTAGGTAATACTGCCAAGTGCAGTGAGATCCAGAGCATGGAAAACGAGCTAGCTGCCTGAGGCACTTATCGCAGTGGACGCACTATACCCGTTACAGGAATCCGTCGTCACGGCCGGGAAAGGTATGGGGTATATCCTGTACAATCCCGTACAACTTACTTAAAAGTGATCGTCACTATTTACCTCGACTATGAAAGGGGCCTTCAAATATTTCAACTTCATCGTGTCGCCAGATTTCCTCCCATAGAATATGATAGACCATCGATATTGACCTTGATGGTCCTCATGAGTCCTTCGATCACCGTCACATACCCCCTTTTCTATCGGCCGGGACCGAACAACACTCCGCTTTGGCTCTGATGTCGCAGAGGACCGATGCATCGCCCACGCCACCAAATCCTCTCCCCAAAGTGGACGAGAAACCGCTTAGATCTAGCTCGTGGCGCTCTTCTCGTCGACTTGAATCCAACGACAAACCTGATCGGCGAAGGAGTTTGCGAATGAGCGAAGGACGAGACAGTGGGGAGCTGGAAGGCAGCACACTCGGGAGCAGCTCCCGCGACGGGGATAAGGGAGGCCGAGGATCTCGACGAACACACAGCTCAGGAGGTTTCTTACTGGACTCTTCATTCTTGCCCAGATCAAGTAGTCTCAGGCATAGTTATCATCGCGCCCATCACTCGGAATCGGAGCGAAAGGAGAAGCGTGGAACACCCCCCGATTCGGAGATTGTGGTACCCAAGAAGCGATCGCGATTCCCTTGGAGCCGTCAAAAAGAGTCGACGAAGGAATCTCCAGCAGCGCCCCCGGGGAGAGAAGCTTCTCAAGAAACCCCTGGTCCGTCACATTCGCAACAAGATGCAGAACCGCATCGGTCCCAAACCACGGAAGTGGGAAGCGAGACTCCCCTAGGGCTTGATAGGGACTCATTACAGATCGTCAATCTAGCATTGAACTTGAGCGAATCCAGGAGAGTAAGTGCCCATGGTCGAGTGCCTTCTGGCCGCGTTGCAGGGGGAAGGTGGACCGCGTCGGCAGGTCAACCTTCCGTTTCATCGAGTGGAAAGGGTGCACCTATTGCACTGGGCAGTCATAATGATAGCCCTTATCCACGCCGCAGCTTTACTCAGATGACCGTCGATGATCACTCGAAGCTTTCGGGGGCCTCACATGTGGATCAAGCCGTACATGCACCATCTTCGGTCTTGAACCTGCTGCCCGATTCCGCCAATTCAAACTCCCTACCACACGTATTCTCAGACGGCACGCTTGCTCGAGCTGATAAGGCCCGGCGCCATTTCGAGCTCTTCTCCGAATATCTCCGATTGCTTCCTTCGCTTTCTCCCCTTAAATCGCACGAGGCACACACAGACCCAGATTCCACTCCAGCGGGTACTGGCGACACCCCTCCAGGTCGCTCGTACAACCCTCTTCAATCAATCCGAAACCGCAAAGTTAGATTCCGCGAGCGATGTCCCATTGATACGGATGCAGAAGGCTGGACCAATGTCGGAAAAGTTCATGAGTGGGTTGACTCGATCGAGAGCCAGTTCAATCAAGAAGACCGTAGCTCTTTCGAATGCTTGAAGCTCCCACCTTTCCACCAAGGCTCGAAAGACCTGTCACATAAAGAGCCGGAGGGTGATGAGATTATAGGAGCCTCTCCTTCCTCCAGTCTGAGGCGAACCAGCCGTGCAAGCAGCGTCAAGGCTCGCAGACCAAAATCTGATTGGATGATCTCACCGCCAGAACTTTTGGCTGATATCGCATGGGTTGAAGATATACAAAATAAAAGCAAGATTATCGATAAAGATGGAAATAATCTATACCCCGATCCCGCAATGTTGATTCCATCCGATGCCCTCAAAACCAAAACCAGAAACATTCAAGAAGAGCCTCCATCCAGGCGGGAGTCAGTAGACACAGACCAGCCGACCTCACGCACTTCTTTATCGGACGCCCACCCTGGACTGACACCTGAGTTCAAACGGATTGGACGGGGGAGACGGCGGCATAGATTTCAAGGCCCCTCTCATATCGTTCGCAGCAGTGGTGGAAGACACAAATTACGAAGGCGTTCAAGCAGCTCTTCGAGTGCGTCAAGCCGGGGTGACAAGCAATATTGGAAATACCAGGGAGAGAGCGTGGTATCCCCTAGGAGGTCTACTTCCCTACGGCCCGAACCATCAAGAACAACAGGATATATTGCCCCACCAGATGAGGAGAGCTCTCTAGATATGAAAGCTATGTCGCCACAGAGGTCTAATTTCCAACGATCTTGGAAAGCTTCTGACCGTACTAAATCCCAAGAACAGAGGGAGTCTATATCCTCAGTGCCAAGTGTGGATGACCGCTATGACCGTCTGACATCCTCTGTGACAGCCGATGGAAGGGTGCCGCTTACTCCTATCCAATCCACTTTCTTTCCGAGTATTGCATCAAATTTATCGCCCCCATCAAGCCGGTCACCATCCCCGTCGAAAGGACGGTTCCCCCGTGCGATTATTGCCCGCCGGGAGAGAAGCAAGAGTAATTCGCGAGCTAAAGATGCTGTGGACAATAGCTCCCTAGAATCAGAGGTATTACGTAGCAACAGTTTATCGGAATACTCAGAGGGTTTGCCTCACGCTGGCAGACTGGACCCGAGCCCACTTCCAGATCAAACTCCCCCTACGCATCAGGATGGCCGGATAAAGTCGAGCCAGCAAGCATGGAAAGGGCTCGCACAACATGAGTCCAAACTTCGTGGAATCTTCAAAGGCCCTGGTAAGATCGCCGAAAAGGTTGGTAATGAAGTGTCAAAAATGGGTGGTCTCATTCTAAAGAAAGACTCCTTGGCCCATTCGCGACAATCTTCTTTTGAATCACACGTCACATCTGACGATGAGATTGCCCTAACCGATGCCGAAGAATCGAAAGGTGATAAGACCACTAATACCAAGGCACCACTACGCCGCCTCCCCACCTTTTCTGAAGACTACAGTCTGGCGGCTCGTAGGGAACCAGAAAAAGCAGCTGGGAAAGATTACCTATCCGCGCCATTGCCCTTTACTTCTCCCTCCCGTCAGAGCGATCAATCCGAGGGCCATAGAAGATCTGATTTGGGCAGTCCCCAAAAGACTTCTTCAGAGTCAGAGATGAAGAGCGCGAGAGAGACTGGACGAGACGAGGCTCTATCGCCATCTCCGCAGAAGAGGCGCGATGTCCGCAAGAAACCCGGGAAGGTTGCGACTTTTGGCCCTGAGCTACATACCATCCGAGAACAGATCAAGAAAGGCCGAATTAAGGATCCATCTGTGCCATACAGTCTCACTCGGCCCCCGATCACAGGCCTTGCACAAGCAAAGGCATCACATGAACCGTCCTCTCATGAAAGTCGTTCCACGCCCTCCAGCCAATCCAGAAGCTGGAGTATCTCTGAGCGCAGTGTTTCTACCTCGATGGAATCCGGAGTCCCGGCAAAAAGAGAAGTCGAACGTACCCGTGCGCTCCTTCTCTCTTCAGGTATCAAGGCGCGAGAGATCACTCGTCGCGCTCATACTGTACGGAGTCCTCCGCCTGAGTTTCTTCGACGCGCGATTGGCCCTGACACGCCAGTTCCGGAGGTGCCTCGGTCGCATGAGTTCGATCTCGCCGTTCAAGCTTTGGTGAAGAGGTTTGAGAACTCAGAGGAGCTCTTCCAGCGATCGATGGATGGTTATCCTGGTGATAAATTGTCAGCTCTGAGTTGTCACCTTGGCGCACTTGAAGATCTAGTCAACAATTCTCTCAACCCACGTGTGCGGGCTGCCGCACAAGACGCAGAAGATTTGAGCATTCAGCTCAATACTACCAGCACCCTCGCAGTGAAACAGCTCAGCGACACCCTCGACAAAGGCATTCGGAGGCGCCATCGCCGGCTACGCTGGATACGACGTACCGGATTTGTGATGCTCGAATGGGCCCTTGTTGGAATATTGTGGTGGGTATGGTTGATCGTCATGGCTTTCAAACTGTTACGGGGTATTTTCCGAGGAGCAATCTCTGGCGTTAGATGGGTACTCTGGCTGTGATGGGTCTTCGTACTGGTTTGAGGGTTTTTCTTTTTCTTTTTATCTTACTATCTTCATTTTTTCAAGCCATCTCTATATACCCCTTTTCTTAAGACTGCTTTGCTCGTTGTGACTGCAAGTGATACCTGATACACGTTGTTCCTTTCTCACGGCATATTTTAGTATATATTTACTTTGTTTAATTCAACGACTGTTATAAGTAAACCCCTGGTAGGTATTCATAGAATATGCTCCCATTCTGTGTATTGATGGTCTCATCCCTTGACCGGCGGTAAGACAACAACAGTCTTTCACTTCAATAGATTGTCAGGTTTCGACAGATGTAAAACCATCTGGAGCCAAATCCCGAATTGTTCATTTTCTGTCTCGACAAAGACCGAAATCTAGTACAAAAGCAATGCCGAGACGGTATCACCCGCATCGCTTTCATACTTGCAAGGCACTATCACATAGACAATAAAGCCACTCCGAAACATTCGTTCAAGATCAACCGAACAGATCATTTTATTACAATACTAAAGAACCATTTTCCTTGCCAAAGGCCTTTCATAGATCTGAGACGACGACTCAACCCTCACCATGAGATTCAATAGATCATTTGATATTTGCATCATGTCTATACGTTGGTTCTGCTAAGATATATAGCTTGGCTATGGCACATCACTACCGTGCTACTCAACCGGGCGCACTACTATCTTGGTATATCAGCTTCAAGTAGTATCATCTACATCTTTTCGAACAGTCATTTTCATGATGGTGTCCTGTAGCAAGGTATTTTCGCTGATACTGTGCAATGGGACAAGAAAAAAGCAAAATCAACCTGATAAGTCAGTGTCGTCAGAGACATCAGTGGAGTCCGTGAGCGTAACCGAGACATTTGCATTCCCCCAAGGGCCGATCAATGCCGAAAGACAGAGAGTAGCTGGTCAAGAGATGGCGAAGGTACGCTGGCCATTCTACAATTCCGGTGCGGAGTTTGAAGAAGTGAATAGCAAATACTTTGAACCCGACGAAGAGCAGGAACAACAGCCGAGAATATATATGTCTTCGAAGCCAGTAAAAATCCAGTGCCCACCTGTACATGCCCGGAAAGGCCTTGAGAGCAGGGTCTGTGAAAGCTAGTGCAGAACAATCCAAGCAGAGGTACAGGGAAATTAGGAATCCATCGTTGTTTGGCTACTGAGACTACCTTTTGTCATTCTAAATCACATGGCAGTTTTTCTTACTTTGTTTCCGCTGTCTTGATAACCGTTGCTTGTGGGTAGCCCTTTCGTGCCTTCTTTTGATGAGGGCAAATTGATACCATCAATGGATATATGGATAGCTGGTAATCTCTGTATGATTAGAGATTTATATGAATGTAAAATAGAATTTGCGGGTGGCTGGCGGCACTGTTATGTATTGTAGTGGGCAGGGAGCTACTTATCAACGACGTATAATTGCCCTCGTTAAATATTTATATCTTGTCAACTTGACCACACCTGGCTTCTAAGCTTTCCAGATATACTCGTTCTCTCTCTCTCCCTCTCTCTCTCTCTTACCTTCAATAAAACACCGGTTTACCACAGAAGAAAAAGATGCACTCCATCCACTGTCAAACAAGTGGCATCGGCTTGTTCTAAGAATAGGTCCGTGTTAGAGGGGACCCCACCGATGCAGCAATATTATGATAGGCTGAGGCCAATAGTGTTGTGGAAAGTGGTGTTCTCGTTATAAGGCTTAGAGGAATATTTGAATTCTTCATTTAATTTGAGACAAACATGAGCATCGGAGGAGCTACGGCGGTTCCCTCTACTCCGACTCACGTCCGAACACAGATATGCCGATCGAAGCAAGGGGGGTTGCTTTCAAAAGTGGGATTACCAGCTCTCCCCTTCCACTATAGTCTACAAGTACCACATCAAGCACTCTCCTCGTGCTACCGGTATGCCCTAGTCGATATAGCGCACCGAAAACCTCTGGTACTGTTCTTCCAAGAAATGAGATGATCTGTCGTACACACCTGATCACACATAAGCTGAACAGGAAAATTACAAGAAAAAAAAAAGAAACAAGAAACAAGACTGGGGGAGTTGCGGTGTAGGCCAAGCCATGAATATCTGCCCTAAAGTGATTTGCACCATCGGAATCTAGAAATGGAAAAAGCTGATAGAATACAGCCTACTATTTTCACACCTTCGGTGATCTCAAAAGTTGGATATACCATATAAGGAAGGACAAATGGCCAATGTTACTTCAAGGATGACGGTCGTGGAGACTGGTCGAGGTCTGTTCTACTGATAGTGGTTGAACAAGTCGTCATGGAGATTGACTGATCGAAGGGACTACAGGGCACGTGACCGCCGATGTGCCCCTCCGGGTGGATTCGCGATGGAGCTCCCGTGAGGAGCTCCGGGGTGCAATACAGTAGCTCGTACCGACTCCCGTCTGTACTCAAACCCCAACTGACCTGTCCGTAATACATTTCAGAGGGACCACCAGACCAACCAATGATAGAGCACGGAATATAATCTATAACAACACGGAACCGTTTTTATACCCGAGGCGCAGGCAAGATATCAGCTTCGATACTTGATGCAGGCCTGGATGAAAGGGGTTACCTCTCGTGATAAAGTTCATTACGTGCTGCATGATATGCATCGATTCCTGACCCAACGTCTACGGAAACTCAAATGAAGACAGAAAATGAGAGAAACAGCCCGGATCCATGATGGTCTGCCTAAAATCCGGACTCGGACCTGATGCTCAGAAGCTCTGTGATTGGCAATGAGGGATATATTTCCACAATCTGTGATCAGAACATCCGGTCGAAGGTTAAATCGTCTTCTATTTATTTCATCTTATTTTATTTTGATTTTGAATTTGAATTTTTGGGAGGGGATGCCCATGGATCCAGGCTAATCCCACCAACCGGGAGGATCAAGGGCCGTCGAGACCTGCAGGGGCGAAGCTGGAACAACAGGAACCGACATGGATGGACCAAGCATGATACGATACAGGATGTGACGCCGCGGTGGCCACCGGCGGTAAACTGACGGGACGGTATGGATACGGTTCAGATTTGTTCGGGAGATGCCGTAAGCACCCCCACGAGAACCAGCCTTGACTCAATCATCAGTCATCAATCCTTCTTCAGCTTGGGCGACCGAATAAAAAAAAAGCCTCTCATCTTTGCTCGACTCTCGTCCTCCATCGCTCCCCCCCATCATTCCCCAATTGTCCTTTCAGGTGAGTATTTTTTCCCCCTTTGAGGATGCTGTGATCATCCTTGCCGACGCTCAGTCTCGTCCTGATCTGGAACAATTCCCTACCCCTCCCCGCGGCCGATTTCTGCCTGACGGTGTGAGCCCTTTGCCCTAAGTGCGCTTCCACCGAACGCCCCGGTCGTCCAGCAAGAAAAAAACTCTGCACCCTACGGACTTCTTCCCCTTTTCCTCTCCCCGCGTCATTAAATCTCTCACTCAGGGTGAGGGTCAGAGCTTCATTTTCAAACTTGCTGACCGCTGGTTCTGGTCCTGTTACATCAGGTCCCCATTTTCTAGGCCGACTCTGTTCCGCCTATTACCTGACTTTCCGTCGCACCCACGACTGGCCTTTGGAATCACCTCAGTTCCAAAGGCTCTAGCTCACCACGGCTCCCGGAGCCTCGTTCGTACGTTTCCGTCAAATTGTCTATCCTCGACGTCCCCGCGGCACTCTTAACAACATTCCACCTCCTACTGGTTTCTCCCCGTGTGTTCTCGTCCGGCGCGCCATTTATTAACCCGTTGACGCCCTCCCAATTCATCCCCTCGCCCTCTGAGCTGCCGCATAGGACTTCTCTGAAGGTTCTTCCTCTTGAGGGGGAAGGGTCTAGGAGGCTTGGTCCAGTCAACTACGGTTGCGAAAGTTTTCGCCCTCCTTAACACGCAGTCGCGTAACTCACCGTTTTTTTAATCATCTTCTTTTTCACCTTTGTGCATCGTCGCAGCGCACATGGTTATGGCACCGACTGCGTGTATCCCTGCTGAGATATGCATGACTAAACATAGTCAAGACAAATCCGACTTGGATTATAATCATAATTTAAGTCAAATCAGCAACAATGGAGGGGACGACCTCTCGCAATCCAGGTTGGCGGCCAAGGATCTCGTCATGGACGTTTTGAAGAAGCGCGCCGACGAGGTCAACACCGACCGTTGCGCCCCTGGAGACGAGGATGCGTTCTATGTGGCGGACATGGGCGAGGTTTACCGACAGCATCTACGCTGGAAAATGAACTTGAGCCGCGTCAGGCCTTTCTATGGTAGGTTTGCACGCGTTTGGAGTTTGAACGTGCAAGGCTAACACGCGTCTTAGCGGTCAAGTGCAATCCGGACCCGGAGGTTCTTCGCCTGATGGCCAAGCTTGGCAACGGCTTCGACTGTGCATCGAAGGCCGAGATCGACATGGCTCTTGACACGGGCATTGACCCCAGCCGCATCATTTACGCGCAGCCCTGCAAGACCAAGTCTTACCTGCGTTACGCCGCTCAGATGGGCGTGAAGCAGATGACCTTCGACAATGCCGACGAGCTGTACAAGATCAAGGCCTGCTTCCCCGATGCGGAGCTCTATCTGCGCATCCTGACCGATGACTCCACCAGCTTGTGCCGCCTGAGCATGAAGTTCGGTGCGTCTTTGGACGTCGCCCAGCAACTTCTGGAATTGGCTCACCAGCTCGAGCTGAAGGTCGTTGGCGTTAGTTTCCACGTCGGCTCGGGCGCGGAAGACCCGACGGCTTTTATCAAGGCGGTCCAGGATGCCCGGATGATATTTGACCAGGCTGCTGAAATTGGTCACGAACTGCACACCTTGGATGTCGGTGGCGGCTTCAGCGGGGACACTTTTGAAAAGTTTGCTGGTGTCCTGAGTGAGGCATTGGACACGTATTTCCCGCCTCATATCCGTATCATCGCGGAGCCTGGCCGCTACTACGTGGCGACCGCCTTCACCCTGGCTGCCAACGTGATCGCCCGTCGCGACGTGCGAGACCCTGAGGACCCGGCCAACGATGCATACATGATCTATCTGAACGATGGGGTCTACGGAAACTTCTCCAATATCATCTTTGACCACCAGCATCCGGTGGCCCAGATTCTGACTTGTGCGAATGCCTCGAATGCTGCGACTTCGGCTGGCATCGCCTACTCGATCTGGGGGCCCACCTGTGATGGCATCGACGTTATCAGCCAACGGATCACCTTGCCTGGTCTGTTGGATGTCGGTGACTGGCTTTTCTTCGAGGAGATGGGGGCGTATACCAAGTGTAGCGCCACCCGTTTCAACGGCTTCTCCGACAATCACGAGGTGATTTACATCTCGAGCGAAGCCGGTGCTTCTGCTCTCCTCGAGTACTAGTCCTTTCTATGTTTTTGGCTCTGTACCTACAACAGTTTTGTTATGGGTTGTTGATGTGGAGGACAGTGCAGAGCTGTTTCTTGGAAACTTGTTATGTTGTCCTTGTTTTGCAGTTTTGGTTTACATTGTGTTTGACGAAGTAGATTTCGTGATTTGAATTGAGTTTTTTATAGTGGATAGACCCTTTGCCCTTCCTTCTAGCTTTTGGATCTGCATAGATTTGGTGGTTCATCAATGCCTTGGATAAAGACGAAGCGCGCATCATTTCGTGTCTATTTTATCCAGATAGATATCTATCTCTTGTCTGTTCGTAACTTGTGGCCTATCTATGATGCCCGTTCATGATCACCACCCCCAGATACATGTACATCACTCATCCCAATTCCATACCATTATGTTCAATGACAGTCGTCAACATCGCGGAAGCCAGCTCCACTTCAAAAATAAAAAGAGAGGAAGCCACTACAGTCGTCTAGACCAGTCGCTCAACAACCAGCTCGGCTCCTTCATTTCCCTCTCCGATTTGGACCAAGCCACCGGCCTCCAGCTTCTTCTTCCACTTTCCAGACTCGTACCGGGCCAAAATGAATGTAATGCGAGCAGCCTCGCCTGGATCAGCCGTTTCTGCAACAACTTCCGAGGGTGTGAAGGTCCAACGACCAAAGGCCCAGTTGAGGATATAATGTCTAGTCGTTCCGGCCTGGGACGCAGCGGGTCTGGGTTCGGCCAGGGCATCCGACGATTCAGCCGGGGGCGATTGTGTAGAGCAACGCATGATACCTTTGATCCGGTAGACTTCATCCTTGGGCGCAGAGAGCAGCAACTGCTCCAGGGCAGACACATCAACGGTCTGCTCAGGCTGGGCGGACTTCAACGTGACCGACAGCACCTCAACCTCGGACTGATGACCATGCTTATGTCCATGACCATGCTCATGATCATGGTGATGATGCCCGTCGGTAAGTCCAGCGCCATCATCCTTCGCAAACAAAGCCCCATCAATCCCCAGCAACACATCCTTGTCCACCTTCCCCTTGTCCGACTTCACGTACGGAGTCTGCACCTCCAGATCTCCCACGCGGTCCAGGCAAACATCGAACCGTCTCTCCGACACCTTCTCCCACTTGTTGAAAATGATCAAATCCGTGTACTTCGCCTGCAACTTCGCCGTATACGATGTATCCTCGTAGCCCTCCCAGTTCTCGACGTCGATCACACTGATCACCCCGTCCAGCACAAAGCTGCCCGGCTGTTCGCGCTCCAGCCGGTTCACCTCCATCGCCAACGTCGCGGGGAATGCGCTCCCGCTGGTCTCGATCACGATGCGATCCGGTTTGACCTCCTCGCGGAGCTGGTTCAGCGCATCGCTGAGCTGGCCGACGAGGTTGCAGCAGATGCACCCGTTCAGGAGTTCGCGGACCCCGGAGATGGATTGTGTCGAGGCGAGCTGGGAGTCGATCGCCACGTCGCCGAATTCATTCTTCAGAAGCGCCAGACGGTAGTTCTGCGGGAGTTGCGGGATGAGGTTCAGGAGGAGTGTGGTTTTTCCGGAGCCCAGGAAGCCGGTCACGATAGTGATGGGGATCGGGGACATTTTCGCTTTATATACCGTATGGGTCGGTTGGGAATCGTCGGGGTTCTTGTCTATGGATCTATTTTTTTTTTTTGGGTGGGTATGTATATGCGATGCGAAAAACAAGTCTATAAGATCTATAACATCCGCCGTAAAGACTGTGAACAGAAAGCAGCCAATATATGGGTCGATCGGGAAGAATGGATTGATTCCGATAAAAAGCGGGCGGAGGGGCAATGCCGCGGGCGCCGCTATTCCCGATTGGTAAAAGCCCTAACATAGTTATACTCTTGCTTTGACTGATTGGCATTACTAGCCACCAGGCTTGGTTTTTTGAATGAGATAAATATTCAATTTGTTCTAACAATATGAATCCAAACATTAATTCACTATCCATCTGGTCATCTTACAAGGTTTCCATATAGCACCCCAGAGCAACTATGCGGTCTAGTTATAGTATAAGCGTTGAATTAAATGTTAGATCCCAACCCACACAGCGTTACTAGGTAGGCCTAGAGTCCAAGCTCTCTTTCCTGCATGATATATACTCGGTAGGCCAATCAGTTTACTATATCAACATTCTATACTGAGCCCAAGAGCTTCGACAAAGTCTCAAACAACGCCCGTCGCTTGTTGAGAACCTCGTAGAACGTCTTCTCATCGGCAACACTGCCAACCACCACCTGATCCTTACCAGCCTGGAATCCTGCGAATGCCTCATCGATGAACTGATCCAACGGCATACCGACCTTCCGCCCGACTTCTGGTGTCATGTAATCGTGGAGCTCACCTATGACCAAGTTAGTCCAGAGCGAAAAAACGAAGCAATGACCGGAACTGACTCTGCACAGCGGGCGGAGACAACTCAATCACCTTGACATTGGTCGACTTGAGCTGCTCCCTGAAACAAAGAACGAATGCATTCAGCGCTGCTTTCGCTGCCGAATAAGCCGGCATGGGGCAAGCGGGGACAATCGCGAGGTTTGTCCCGGTACTGTAGATATTAAATCAGCCCTGTTCGTATATTACACGCCCACGATATATATAGACACAATCACATGAAAGAAAAGAAAAGAAAAGAAACTCACAAGATGAAGCTAACAGGCTCCGTCTTCGCCGTAAGATACGGCAAGAAAGCATGAGCAAGAGCCACCACACTCGTGAAATCGACATGGACTTCGTTGAGGAACTCATCCAGCTTGAATGTCTCCTGGCTCGTCAGATTGTGGCGACGTTGCACGCCTGCATTGAGAAAGACACAGTCGATATCTGGGTGCTGGGCGAACGCTTCTTTGGCGAACTGAGTCGCTTGCTCGGTCTTGCTGATGTCGAAGGCGATCGCACTCGCTCTGTCTTCGCCGTGTTGGCGCACGAACGAGTCCAGTCGATCTTGACGTCTTCCTACGGCTGTTACTTTGGCGCCGCTTGCGATGAGCCGGTCGGCCATTGCTTTGCCGATGCCTGAGGTCGCGCCGATGAGGAGGAAGTGTTTGTATGAGAAAGACATCTTGAATGTGGCTATTGGGATGGATGTTCTGTTTGGTGTTTATGCCTGAAATGGTGGGCTTTGTTGTTATTACTGTTGAAGCTAAATAGGTACATTCAGAGAGGTAGCCTCTCCAATATTTATATCACATCTTGTACAGTTGACAAAGTATTCTAATATGGTGTTCAGTGTGTGGTCCGGGGAGATTCAAGCAAACCCGGATATAGAACAGGAAGACTCGATCTCCGGCCCCGGAGACCGACAAAGAAGAAAACAATATACACCCATTCTGCCACCCCCCACCGCCTGCTTCGGCTTAAGGACTTATCGCCGACGCGAAGTCAATCCCATTGCGCGTGCATTACTTCACTGTTCCACGGCACGGTTGGACAAAATGGAGAACAAAGAACAGAATATGGCTGCCTTGGGTGTGGGTTGATTTGTTTCCTAAGCGGGCAACCCATGTGGGCTGCTTGGCCCAGCCTTGTAGGGCTGGACTCCAATGATATCATTCCTCCCCGTTGATGTCATCGGCGGGAAACGATGAGGGTTCAAGTAGATCATAATAGCCTCTTGTGTAGTTTTCGCAGAACTCGTCGATCAGAGATAAACTTTTAGCTGTCGATTTTTAAGTGGCTGCGATTTTGGTCATGGAGCCAACTGTGAACCCTACAGCTGTAGACCGTACTGCGTCTACTACTACTACTACCAACACTGCTGCGATTCAAGGACAAGCCTGTGATGCGCCGCGTAATGATTCTTCAGCGGCTTCGGAGAGTCCACTCTCAGATGTTACGAATAGTATCGCCAGTGTCGCGGGGAATTCGATCAACGAGGCTAAAAACAAGCTCGCGACTGTCGCCTCCGATGAATCGGTTCAGAGTGTGTGGGAGCAGGTTCGCTCGATGGCTACCGGAAGAAATGATGAGACTCAAGGTAAGTTCGTTCATTCCCTTACCAGTATTACTTTGTTGGACTAACATCATGTTGAAGTCGATACCTCACCCAGCCAGGACGAGATCGACCTTATCGATAATATGGACAACGAGAAGATTGCCGAGTTCCTCCGAGAAAAGAATAGAAGCGATGCTCGCCTACCAAAGAGAAGATAGAGGCTTGTATGTCACGTTTATGAGTAACGCCAATCTTGCAAAAGAACCTCATTGAAAGACAAAGACCAAACTATGAAGTAAAATGTACACCCATGTGGATAAGATATTGCTCCCTGAACTCCCACGGTTCCACGCGACTCTACAAAACCGCTTTGAATCCCCTGTCCGAACCGCGATCCAGGCCCAAAAAGTCTGCCACTTGGCCGAGATGATCAATGCCCCAGAAACCCTCCGTCTCGCCCTTGACATTGGTGCACTCAAACCATGGAATGCCAAAAGCACCGGATTTAAACGCTTGATCGGTGTTCGCCTTCAAGCGCTCCTTGACCTCTGCATGGCCCATCTGCGAATTGAGAATCAGCATGTTGACAATCTACCAGCAAAGTAGAGTCCGGAATCCACGAACCGCTTGCAGAATTTCCTGAGCCCCATCCTTCCCAAAGACACTCTCTAGCACCGGAGTAAAGCCTTCGACCTGTCCGATCTTAGCATTCCCCTGCACCCAGAACGAATGATAGAGGGCCTCGATAGTCGGAACAAGCTTCTCCGGCGCCTTCACCGAGACGGCACAGAGCGCGCGTTCGGTCGCCAAAGTCATCGGCGGGAAGCCTTCCGGGGTGCTCTCAACCATGGGAACGGAGAAGTATCGCGCCCAACGGAGCCGTTCCTTTCCGATCCAAGCATCTTTGTCTGAATTAAAGGCAATGTTAGCCATGGTATGGACCAGGTAGATAGTATCAGAGAATCTCTCTCACTCTTAATATTCACGGGAGGCGTATTGCCGCAGGCGTTCATCAATCCTCCCAGGAAGATCGGGACATAGGTGATATTGCATTTGGCGAAGACGGGGGAATTCTTCGAACGGGTCAGCCGGCTCGTCCAAATGTAAACTTATTTGTAAATGGATCTTGGGATTTATATTCTGGTCATAATGGCACACATACTCTCAATACATGGAATGCGATATACCCGAACGGGCTAACGATATCCAAATATAATGTGATCCGGGGTGCAGCCATGGGGGTCTAATTTGGTATCGTTCAAGCACGCCTTGGAAACTTGATATGGTTGAATGAGATGAAGTGAACCGTCTGAAGCTCCCGCTCGACTTGCTGCTCCCCGCACTTTTATACCCTCGTGTCATTGGCTGGTGGGTGATCTGCCAGTTCCTTATGCCGAGGCTCGGATTTGGAACGCTTTCCATCGGTCACATTAGGCTGACCTCTGATCTATGATCTATGATCAATGGCCAACGAGCCTGATCTAAATAGTTTTAGGGTATACGTCTGCCATGGTTACAGGTGTCAATTGGTATGACGGTCCTTAGTCCAAGGATTTGAGGGGTTCTTAGGTATATATTTTGTGGAAGGAGCCTTGATATCCCTGTTGGCAATATAGACCTCTTGATAAGAATCACTGTAATATTCGAATGCACCTTCCTGGAAATCTACCAGTGGTTGTCTCCATGCAAAGGAAGCTGCGAACAAGCCATGGCCTTGCTTCAGATCCATATGAAAAAAGCACGCTTAATGCCTTCACCCATTCAAACTACAAGTTCATACAGCGCAGGCGTCATATTTATTGCATATCTTCTCCCCGTGTGACTTATTTTAGTATAGACTATGGCTGCATCCGCAAACATGTCCCGCTCTGACACGGCCTCATGGGCGGACAAGAACCGAATGCCCGTCGGTGCGCACTACGCGGATACGTCAAGTTCAGATTCCTCGGAAAATTTACTCGCAGATTTGAGTGACTGGTCGGACCAAGAATACCTGCAGGACTCTGTGACAAAAAAGCGTCGGCATGGCGTTTATTTTCATCGGCCTCCGGTTTGGGTCTCCAGTTCCTCTCAGACGGAGGACCAGGCTAGGGCTTTTGCAGACTGCAAGATGTGTCATAAATCTGGGGAAGAGTGCATTTGCGATAGTGATAGTCTTCGCGAGACTCTGGACGCCTTGTATAAGGAACGAGGGTCTAACACTTGGTCAATGAGCCATGGCCACGGACTCTTCTGTAAAGTGACAGCTGCCACGGCAGATGCCCTTGCTGATATCGATGCTAGCGTGTCAGGATCAGCGGGTGTTCCTCTTCTAGTGAGTGACATTATCGTACTCGTGACACGTATGCCGTACTGATTGATTGCATTCAAAGGTAGACTGGGATGGCCACAAGTCGAAGTGGCGCAACTCAACTTCAATCACTGCGAGCAGCTGGCTGGATCGCCCCTTATCTTCAGACGAGCCTTTGCGGAATATTCCCTCATCAGGGTGTTCCTATCGCCAAGTAAAGCCAGGTCTTTGCACGCGCTTAAAATTCCAGAAGGACATACGGCTCGATGCCGGGGAGAGATGGGCTCTACAAGAGGGGTCACTGGTGATTTGCATCGATCCCACGTATACCTTGCTTGACCACGAACGACGATCGGACGAATTCGAGATCGTAGAGGGTGATGTCTACGTTGTTTGTCGCATATATGCAGACCTGTGGGCTCTCTGTGTCAAGGCTTCGTTCATACCCTCGTGTGAACCATCTCCTGGAATAACGAACGACTCTATCCGTCTGGGCTTCCTGCCTCTCTGTGCAGTGACATTGGCAGCGAACTTTAGTGCCTTTTCCAGGCGGTGTTCCTGGCTTGCTCGTACTGACGCAGACGAGTCGATGTATCCTGGGAATGGGTTGCCCGTCATGCCTCCGTCTCGTTCGCACAGCCTCACAGCTAGCAAGCAAATTTTCAAAGGGAACAAGCATCACCTCATGTTACCTGGTATAGCCTATGATACCTTTCAAAACACTTCCTTAAGCAGTGACTCGGATTTCATCCCTCTGGACTCTACCCTTGAGCAAGTTCTGTCCCGGGTAGGGAGCCAGAAGCGTCGGCCAGTCCGCTCAGAAGGTCGTTTTTCCTTACACAAAATTTGGAACAATGTCAAGGCGTCAGGTATCTGGAAGCACGATCAAAGCAAAGGATCACTGTCGTATACGCCTAATAGCCGGAGTTCGAAAATCTGGGCGTCAGAAAGGGGCCGACACTATCTAGGTAAAAAGCGAAGGGATAGCTTCTCACCAACTGAGAAGTTGATGTGTCTGATTGGAACGTCTTGATGGTAGCCATCGAAATACCTGAATAACCATGGAGCTTGACGACTTGGATAGATTTGGGGAAATTATGGCATCATGGAACTAAGTCCTAGTCTCAGGTTGTGGAGTACGTGTAGTTGTGGAAAGACTAATGGGACTTTGTGTTGATAAAACGATGACTTTTCAAAGAAGTCCGAACACTATCGACGGTAATTTACGTCTGTCGTAAACGATTTCTCCTTGCCATGATAAATCTATACCTGGGCGCCCAAACACGGAAGGCCGATGTGCAAGTGCATGTACGCAAATTCGACGTAGATATATGCAGTTACAAGAGTGCTGCATGTTACTGAGCAGCGATCACTACCCCATGGTTAGCCATTAGATGTATCATAATATGACGAGAACGCATTATCCCTGCGGCCAATTACAGCAGAGCGGAAAGGACCCGAAGAGAAACGAGAAAGCAGAGTCAGGATACGAAACATACTGTTATTTCGTATCTGCAAGTGCGAGGGCGAAAGAGGACTTCTCATATCATTTTGCGCCAAGAGAATTGTTAATGAGCCGGGAGGTCTTTCACGTCGCGATGGACTTTGGATGTCTTGTCTTGTTTCCATAGCAATACAGTTCAATCTGGTCAGACTGGTCATGTTGTGAGGGCAATTGCATACTATGATGATGCAGGTTGGAGAGTCCTGATGACTCCATCAAGTCAAAGAAAACGGTCTCACTCTCATGTCGTCTTTTCAGTGCCACAAGAACGATAGCATCCGGTGACGACTGAACGAGACGGTCCAGGACCGAGATTAGTGCAGGTAAGCTGTCGGCATTGTAGGTACAGTCTGATACAAGGACGAGGTCGATAGAGCCGTTACAAAGGTCTTCTGGGAGCACTTCGTCCCAGTCCAACGTTCGATACTCAAGGTTAGAGGATGGCGTTGGTTTGGCAACCGCTATGTTTTTCGCTACAATTTCTTCAACCTCTGGCAGGTCTGTGAGTAGGACGGAGCATTGGGGAAGTATTTGCGCTAATGCTATCCCGACAATGCCGCATCCTGATCCTAATTCGATGACACGAAGAGGAGCATTGCGTTCTGCTTGTAGTAGTTTTGAAAGTAGTGGTACTGTGATTGCTGAGTCTCCGGCAGCTAACTGCTGGAGACACATCACCGATGCAATGGCTGCATCCCTAATTTCTAGTCTTAGAGCCACGGGTATGCTATCGGAATGGAGAGGCCTTACCAGATATGACGGGCAATGCTATTTCCGGTTTCTTCCCATATTCTAAGGTCTAGGCGACCTTTCGGCCCAAAGCGTCTTTCGACGAGTTTTTCGGCTACCAAAGACTCTGACCCACCAAAAGGTGCACTCCATCCGGAAATCACCAGAGGAACACCAGGGTTTCCTAGTAGATTGTCTGGAGAAGGCGGATGGTGCTTTCCACGATCAGCTGCAGCGACACTAAGAACAATGGCATGCTGGGAAAGCTGTGGATGGAAAGGTCCCAATAATATAGCCAGTTCCCGTTTGCCAGCTTTCCAACTCAATGGCTCCTGATGTAGAACCTTTTCTGACTCCTTGAGAGTCAATGATACGACTAAATCCACGTCCTGGGCTAGAAACGCATCTCCCAAGTCCGTGGTGATGCAGATCAGCGCCGAAATAGACAAGGACCCCGCTTTCTGCTTCTGGACCCTTGGGGTTTTGAGAAAACGAATATAATAGACCATGATGACGGGAAATATATAGATTGAAACTATCTGGGGGAAAACCGAGGGCTAGACTCTGTGTACTATCTTTGAAAGAGGCACGTGGTCCGCTGACTAAGGCGAGGGTGATGACATCGTGGAGATCGGAGTTGTGTTCCTCAGGCTCCATCTTGACCCCAGGATCACCTCATCTCGCCTACTTTTAATAGAATTTCTCTGAAGCTTGCCGACAGGCATCGGTGGCAGCAAAATACCCCACTGGCTATTTCGATAGTTCAATGGGGCGTCTTAGGTGACGTTGGAGTGGCTTGTGCACACCGCACCTAAAGTCGTTGCGTGACGGTTATCAACGTCCCCATCCCCCAACCGCCATCCAAGATGATGCGACCCAGAGACCCCCGTGTCCGCCAGACTATCAACCAGATCTCCCATAACCTTGAAACTGCAAATGAAACGGCCCAAGAAGGGCTGTATACCTTCTCCCACCACTACATCCTACCATGCTTCGCGACGATTGGGAACTGCATTTACGCATGCACCTCACCTTGCCTCCCAAGCCGGGAAGACCAGCTTCGTCGTCGGCGAAGGGGTCGCGCCGAGGCAATTTTTGACTTCTATGATGATTGGGACAACGATGATGCCGATGACAGTTTACTGGGGTGGGGTACTGATGAGCTCGATCGCTTATTAGCGGGCAGTGGGTTGTCGCGTGGAGGTTCTGAACAGCCCCGCAGACAACGAAAGATGAGTTATGGCACGCGGCGGGCAAGGAGAAAAAGTACCGTGTTGGTTCCAGATGACCGGAATGATCCGACAGTTATTCCAAGCTCATCGTTTCTCGGTTTCCTGGAACGATTCCCATGGAGGTTCGGGGCCCGAGGTTTAAAATACCAACCCTCCGTGGCTGACCTTCAAGAGCATCCTACCGGATTGCGGATGCATGCGCATGAAGACGAGCCTCTGATGGAGGCAGAGGAGGAGATTCAAGGACCGAGCTCCAATGGCAAGGCCGGAAGGTATCGCAGCTCAACCCAGTCGTCACGAGAAACTGCAAATTCTCTGAGTTCGCGTGGTGATCTGTTCCCTAGTGACGAGGAAGAAGATGCAGTACCGTTGGATGATGAGTTTGCTATGGCGTTGGGCAGCCGTCGAGGAACTGGTTTGGAGTCGGAAGATCAATTCAGTGATAAGCCTGCGAGTATGAGGTCTGTATCAGGCTCGTTTAGCTTGGCGTCGAAAGAATCGAAGAAGCGAAAGAAGCGAAGCAGCCGACTACGATCTCCTCAAAATTCTTATATTGATGTCGCACAGGATATCACCGCTCCTTCAATAGTTGATCTACACAAGGAGGAGGAACAAGCAGAACGCCAGGAAGAATTAGAGATCATAAGGAAACGACTTGCTGCGCGACAATTGGCTTCAAGCCGCGGCCTGAGTCAAGCGAGAGACCAGGTATGCGAGTGTCGCCCGCTTCTACGTTATAACAGCGAAAGCTAACAAGACGAACGTCTAGTCCACTCCACAACCCCTTGTACTTCCCTCTCCAACCGTCTCTAGGGAGACTTCCCGCCCTGAACTTTCTGTTAACACCCCCCACGAATCTGCAGGAGAAAGTGAACTCTCCACTGGAAGAATGTCTGGCGATTTTTCACAGACGGAACCATTCCCGCCTCTACCGCTGACATCACCGGCAGCAAGTGAAGGCCTGGAGCCTGAAGACCAGCCGGAATCAGCAGAAATCAACAGAGAAGATCGCCCGAATCATTGACCTGACAGCAACTAATAGTCAAAGTAAGGAACTACACCAGCATCTAAGCCAAGTGGATCTTTGGCACCAGAGCTCATGTACAGGTAAAGCAAGGTGCAGTGGCATCTTGTGCTATGTGGCAGCCATATAGCTTTGTACAGTATAACGACTGATGAAATGGCATATCTATACCCGATACGATCAAAAAGGAATGAAACGTGCTAGACCCTTATGCTTTTACATCAAAGCTAGTAGCCTGTAGCTTCAACAAAGAGGTGTCTGTTTTCAATAGAAAGATAGTTCATGATCTATGCTCAACACGGTTGTACTAGATCCAACAAATAAATCATAGCAAATAGTGATCATTGCCCGCTGCTTTCCCATGGCCGAATGCTGGATTAAACCTTGACATTCGCATACGAGCCAGCTGTTCTGTGGAGCCCCACTGTTTGTTAGAGTCAAAGCTACTGGGGCTGGTGGCGGTCAGGCCATCGGTGTACCGTGCTGATGACATTGTTGAATGCTGTGAGAGCTCAGCCTGTGTCGAACCGACTGAAGGCCCTTCGAAAAGCCAGGACGGGTTTGCGAGTGACATTATCTCTTGATCAAATATTGTCCACGAATGCTCCAAGTTGGATGGTGGTAAAGGTAGCTCATTGCTCATATCAGGGGGAGTGTGCATGCTCTGCATGCTGGACTGAATCCGATCCGCAAGCACTCTATGAATGCTAGGTACCGAAGGATCGCTTCGCTCTAGGCTGTTGATATGTGTTTGGATAAGACCCAGATCTAGAAAGGATGAGTATGTTAAAGGGCCTTGCTTGAGAAAACAATATCTCCATACCATCTTGGCGTATCATACCATCCTCCACACCCCGCAAGAGGAGCATCGCGGCCCATGTTATCATCTGTATCATTTAGTCTTCACTTGTGGCCTAATATTGCGCGGGTGTACGCACTATGAGGTCCCAGTTAGACCATATACTAGCATCATCTTGGCGGAGTCGTAGCACGGTTCGTGCTGATACTAGCAATTCATGCCTTTCTGATGGAGTAATGTTTGTGGAGCTCATGTCAAATCCGCGGGCTGGATGATAGATCGACAGCACGTATAGTTTGTGAAGGTGGTATTGTAAAAGAATGAGTATTCCTTGACGGTCTGATGGAGAGGGTTCTTCAATAACAACGTTAGCACAATTCCACTGAAGACCAAATCAATCTAGGCCTACGAGATGTCCCATTGTATCGGACAAGCCAGTCATCAAGTCTCCGTGCCCAGAGTCGGATAACCCTCGAGTCTTCCTCCGTGAAGGGTGTACGGACATGACTTATGGTGTCGATTCCAGTGGAGCTAACGAAGGACCATATAGTAGGTAGGCCCCGTCCCACGAAATGACTGAGTCCCTGGTGCATAATCTGTGTTAGACCCCGATATGCATCCCCCTCGTGGCTGTTTAATTGTTGGAGAGCTGGAGTAGGTGGTTGCCTAGGTAGGAGAGGATGACACATGTGCATGGACGCATGCTCGATATCAATCACCTAAGGTAATTAACATTACCCCTAAGCGCCACAGGTCATGTAGTTTTACCTGAATACCAGAAAGTAGACCACACCAGTCTTGAGACAAGTCATTCAAGTCAGTTGGGCAACTGTCTAGCAAGAGTCGGTAGGCAATTGCTATCCACTTGTCAGTGGTCTCAATGTAGGCCTCAGATACCAGACTAGCCATTATAAGGCCCAGGATATTCTGGAACGTCTTGTCTTCATCTTTACAGCTTTGATGATTCTGACCTGCAGGATGTGATCTAAATCTGCCGAGGACATTTGGTAGAGGAGTTGGGATAACCAGTTCAGTGATTGCATCACAAGTGGCTACAAAATACTCACCTGCCAATGATGCGAGTTCCTTAATTGGGTTATGGAGTGCAGATATGTAGAGCACGGAAGCAAGCAACAGGGGCGAAGGGGATGAGAAAGCTCTGTGGTCTTTTAGAAAGTGCAATAGTGGTAGATTATTGAGAAATCTATGCTTTTATGAGCTTCTGCCATTCGAAAGAATGAGGGCGACGAAGCAACATACGTTTCCCATAGACTCTTAACTGTGGGGTAGGACCAAAGACTACTATCTTGTGGTGGGCGAGATATGAGTCTCAGATGTCTGACAGCTTTCGAGAGTTCGGAATTTGGCACATTGGTCTCTTCGTCTTGATCCGAATCAAGCCCAATTGCCCCTGCGGCATATCTTCCTTTATGAATACCTAGAATGGCTTCAATTCGGTCCAGCCGATTGAGAACTGACCCTGCAGTTGGATCAGACTGTGCCGAGTGAGGCAAGAAAGTTGGGCATTGTCCACCCTCCGCTAATGACACAATCTCATGGGCAGGGGCAGCCTGAAATCAGTAAGCATAATACAACCCTAGATCACTCTCGGAATTAGTGCCAACATTAGACCTAGGCTTGAATACACAAGCGGCGTTTGCGTGGCGACATCGACGACATGGAGGAGTCCCATCGACCTCGCATTTCATCTTGAAGCCTGTCAACACATTGTTCGCACGACGAAGGTATCTTACTAGCGCCTAACCTTCAACCTGCGGCAGTTGACTATACACTGTCAGGATCTTGGCAAGTGTTGCTTACATGCAACATAACGGGTCCACCTACCACATGCTTTGGTAGGCTTGGGGCCCAGCACAATTGCATCGCTTTTCTTCATAATGATGGGCACGGTGGCATGGCATGGCATTGCATCCTTCTCTAATATTTGGCCTGGTGAATAGAGGTCATTGAGATCATTATCTAGGATAAAACTGCACAGCCCAAGATAGCCACAAGAGACAAAGATAAAGAAGGACTAAGCAGTAGACCACGAGATCTACATGACCACGTGAGAGGCACCACAACAATAAATGGGGGCCGTCATCCGTCAGATCCTTGGATTATATTTTGGTGAGTGAACAATTAAATTATCGCCGTGGTCTTACGCTCACTCACGGGAAGTATCATGTTCCTATGTAGTACAAGAAAGGCCGCCTTTTCGGTTACCTCAGACATGCAAGGAGCAGAGAAGACTGTTCCTTTTTCCTTGGATTATTACAACCACGACTATAACTTCGATACGGCTTCCAATGCCACGGCACAGACACAGGTAACACACAACTCGCTTTCAATGGAGATACCAACAGGTGCCATTCGTCCACAAGGTGTGTAATACTCTACCTGATATGTTCTCACGTTTTTAGTCCGCCCTGCGTAGGCTGACAGAGATTTCAGGGAGGGTCTGAAAAACGGAGATCAGAAGTGTACCGTTAAGGGGTTCACATTCCGTTTGATCTTGCGCTTGATTATTGCCTTTTCCTGCCCATCAATAGGACAAGGAAAACAGCCATCTACCGACCATGGAAATGAAGATCGGTAATGGAGAAGGTGTTTCTGCTCTGGAGACGCGCGTTCATGGTGTGTTGGTTGTGCATGGTAGTACATATGCACTGACCAAAGAGAGGGAGAGAAAAAAAAAGGCGAGTGGGGATATGAGGTATAGTACAAAGCCAAAGTCTATATACACATAAACACAAAGGTCATATAAAAATACAGGGATATATGATACAAGTGCTCATCCAATATTCAAGTCATGAAGAGTTGATACTTTCCAACGTCTAGGCGGTAGTAGAGGCGTCCTCGGGATATGCTTCAGCTTCACCAGCGTTCATGGAAAGCTTCCGCACCTCCCAATCCTCTGCCCAATCCTTTTTCTCGCCCAAAAGGCACACAGATTGCCGGGGGCCGTCCACCAAGAAAGTCTGTGCAACCTCATTAACATCCCTCGCAGTGACATCGAGGAGCTGCTCTCTCCAGCGCTGATCCATTTCATGCGTGACGCCACTCATGAAATATCTGGATCCTTCCTCATCAACACTCATCGGGGCGTCCAGGCCTTGGAAGATACCTAGTTTGGCCTCGTTTAATTCCCGCTCAGACCAAGAACGGTCACGGGCGAAAATGCCGCTGTTCTGGAACACCTTCAGAGTATTGAGGGGGTTCGGGTCCCGATAACTGGTCAAGGCAAAAATACCCTTGACCGGACCGTTGCTGGCTGCGGCACCATACGCACCTCCTTTCTCCCGAATCTCCGGGTGAAGATAGTTATGTGTAAGGAGTTGAGAGAGCACGCTAAGTGGTGCACTGGATTTGTGAACGAACGGGACCGTTTGCATAGCTAGCCCCGAGTAGTAAACCTTGTAAGGCATATCATAAAATGCTTTACTAGAAATTTGCTGCGTTGAACCGGCATCCACAGATGTAGGTGAGCGGATCTGGGGCAAGCCAGCCAGCCATTTCTGCAAAACGCCTTCATTCTGATGTGCGCTGCTCGGTTCACACACCATGCGAACACGGATACTAGATGATTTGGAGATGGCGAAAGATTGGATCAAGCGAAGTTTCTCAATCAATTCTGCCAGCCGTTCGGGTGAGGTCTCAGCATCGCGCAGGAGATTAGCAGTGGCCTGGAGCTGTGCCAGACCAGATTGCTGCTCCTGTACCCAAAAGCTGCGAGAAAGACTTGCTGCTGCAGTATTAAGAGCAAAACGATGACCTGATGCGGCAACACTATCCAGTGCGCCATTTGTAGTCAGTCGCAATAATTCCTGGATCATAGCTGGCGCATAGGCACTAGTAAAGTCCGTCTCCGTGATAAGAGTGGTCAGAATTTCTAACATGTCGGGAATATTTTGATCCAAAGCGAAACCAGAGAACTGAAGCCCCTCGTTAAACTTGCCTAGTTCAGTTGGAGACGAAGTGTGGAATGTGGACGATGAAACCCCGCCGGTCTTCAGCTTAATCAGGTCTTCCCATTGTTCCATGGTTTTATTGGCAGTGCCCAAACGCATAACGCAATCGTTGAACAAGGGCATGAGCAGTCGAAGGTCATCCGGGAGGTCTTCAAAGGCATTCAATGCTTGGAAATACGTCAGGCCATTGGTGGGGGCCTCGCGCCAGACAACATCGATATCGTCGACCTTCGACTCCCGCACCGGCTTGCGCTCTTTCTCTCGAGAAATGTCCTCAACACGCAGGGAAGGTAAGCATCCGAGGTCAGCATTTTGTGCCTCCTCTTGCGTCTTGAGCAACTGCAACTCCTGCTCCCGGAGAGTAGATATAGCTTTCTCCATAGATCCATGTTGCTCAACAAGTTGACTGAGCTTATTTTCCTTCCGAACCATTTCCTGCTGGTCTAACTCTTGGTGATATGTAGGCGTGCCAACCATGGTAAATGTCAGGCAACTCTCGTTCATCAAGTACTTCTGCATCAATGACTCCAGATAGCCCCCTTGCTGGTATCTCTTTTTGAATTCGTTGATAACCTCATTCCAAGCGAGCTCCTTCATTGGGTTTACACCGTTGAACCATGAGGAAATAGTCTTCTCCATCACACCAATACCGAAGTTTGCCGTTTTGTGTCTCAGCGCGAGTTCTAACTGGTGGAGGAAGCCTTGAACCTTCTCGTCACTGAACCCAGCAGAAAGACTGTCCTGATACACCTTCTGAATAGCTTCTTTGACCTTTGGAGAATCCTCCTCGCCAACGCCAGTGAGGCCGACAGAGAAGATAGGTACTCTGCCAGAGGTATCAAGGCCAGTGTTAGGAGTAAATGACGAGCCCAAGCCGCTCTCGATCAATGCGCGGTACATCGGAGAGCCATAGCCATCTAGCAGCAAGGAGGACAAGATGCCGGCTGAGAACGTCTCAACAACGTCGCTTGTGTCTCCTAGATACCAGGAAGTTGAGGTCTTATATTGTTTGTCTGCGTCGGCGAATGTATCAATAGGTCCTGGAACAGTTATGTTTGAAGGGCCGTGGCCAAGGTCAATGGGAAGCTTGACAGAGGTGTCAGCCTCTCCCTTCCCAAAACCGTCCAACACATCACCAATCTGCTTCAAATGGGCACTGAGAGGCATATCACCGTAGGTCAAGAATTTGGCGTTACTAGGATGATAGTTTCGCTTAGAAAACTCAACCAGTTGCTTGTGTGTCAAGTCTGTGATGTACTGGGGATCTCCTCCAGAGTTATTAAGCGCCGGGAAGATGCTCTCCCTATACTTAATATAATAAAGGTAGTTTGCGTCTGATATCTGGCCTTTCATTTCGTTATAAACGACGCCTTTGAACAAGACATCCTCCGGCTTCCCGTCCTGGGTGTTGCCAGCGCGGGGGTCTTCCGGTCCCAGTCGCCATCCTTCCTGTCTGAAATCTTCTTCCTTGAGCAGCGGGTGAAGTGTGGCATCCAGGTAGACCGATAGAAGGTTTTGGAAGTCTTGCTGATTCGTTGTCGCGAATGGGTAAGTAGTATGGTCAGCGGAGGTGAAAGCATTCATGAAATTCGAGAGAGACCGGGGGAGCATCTTAAAGAAGGGATCGCGGACGGGATATCTATTGAAATATTTCGTATAAGCATATGATCTGTTGGACAGCAGGGAAACGCCTGTTCAAAGCATCTTCCATAAGGCTTGGTCTGAGCTTGAGCTAGGAAATTCTTACTTTTCGCTACCGCATAGCGTAGTATGTTCCAAAATATGGGGAACGCCTGTGGCATCGGGAGGATTGGTCTTGAATCCCACCCCAAACACATTGTTCTTGTCTTCCCTCGCCACATGAAGATAATCTGCATCTGTTTTGTCATGCTTTAACCGGACCGCGGTGAGGTGTAGCTCTGGAACGTGCTTCTTCTCCTGAACGGTGAAACCATGAAGTTGTTCTCCCACATTAGGGTAGCTCTCGAGGTTAGTTACTGTCGATGCAGCTCTCCGAAATTGATTCCACCGAAGTGAAGGGTTGTTGGACCTTAGCCAGCGTCCATAGCTAGGTTGCCGCAACACAGGCACTCGGCTTTTGCCTGCCCCCAGAGAAGAACGCAACATCACGCTGCACAATGTGAAATAAGACAAGGAAAAACTAGGGACACTACTAATAGAGCTGCGGAGTTTTTTTGAGGTACGCTCTGCCCTTGGTATGGTTCTTCGCCCGGCAAGAAAGTCCGCTGCCGGTTGTAAGGTACGAAGGCAATGGATCGGAAGAACCACTCGCACGGCGGCCGGACGGACCGGGAGGAAGTGTAAAACCTCAGGCACGCGACGAAATGGAGGTAGACACTTTTCAAATGGTCCAGGGACTTATTTGAATGACCGTCCAAGGATGTGTAATTGGGTTTGGGCAATTGGCGAGAAGGAAAGTGTGGCAGTTGGAGAGTTGGAGAACTGAAATGGATTGATATTAATCATTGGTTGCCAAGAGAAGTTTTCGAATCGGGGTTAGTGCTGGTCAAGTGCGCAACATCCCCCCTCTTACCACTCACTGGCTTCCATTCGATCCTCTCTTCCCCGGCAAAAGATTCTCGAAAGACCTGCCGCTACCTCGTCGATCCCCGCAAGCCTGCTTGCTGCACTTTCACGGCATACGCTGCTGCTTGCCCTCCGCTCGTGTGTTTTTTCCCGAGACTCTGCAGAACTTGGATTGCGTAGGATCTTGGTGATCCATTACCTCCGAGTTCTGCAAGTCTAGCAGAAGGCTACCAGGGTTCTCTCCGCTAGTGCTCCGCCTGAACTCGAGCGTCACTCTCGAAACCGTCGAGACCTTTTCTATCAGGGTAGGATTGGGAAGTACCAACGAACGTTGCGGTTTTGCCCTAGTGCCACCGATTGGTTACGCCCGCCTCGCTCACCGTCCCGTCTGCGCATTTTTCAATTTCGTGGATTGGCCACGCGACCACCGCCGACGAAGCCAAAAACCGCACAAGTTACACTCGCCTTATCCACCTGGTAACAGCCGACCATGTCATCTGCAGCCATGTCGAAAAAGAACAAAGGGAAGAAAGTGGCCGATCCCAATGAGACTTCCAAACTCCTTGCCGCAAAGATCTCGCAGCTGGAGCAGGATGCTGCTGGCGAGAAGGACCAAGAAGCGGAAATTGGTGCGTGATCTGCCTCTGGGGCTTGGTTCCGCAAACGAGATATTTGTCGACTCGGTTTTCTTTTTGGGTGTGGAGGATAGGTACTAACTGACTACAGAGCGTGAAGTTAAGAAAGCTACACGAGACTTGAACCAGCTCCTCAGCAATATCGAATCCCCAATGACCCGCCTTGAAACCGTACATAAAAAGTACACCGAACTGCTGGCCGACATGAAAAAGCTGGATCGCGACTATTCCAAAAGCAAGAAGCGGGCTGATCAACTACAAAAGGATCAAGACAAGGGGAAGTCGGAACTGAATAAGACTGTGACTATGAAGGATAAACTGGAGAAGCTGTGCAGGGAGCTCACGAAAGAAAACAAGAAGGTCAAGGTGGGTTGCTCTTACTCGCAATGATTCCGATGCGGAGAATTGATGGCCTTTGCTCCACAGGACGAGAACAAGAAGTTGGAGGATACCGAAAAGAAAGCGCGACTGATCGTGAATGAACGTCTTGATTCTCTTCTGTATGATATTCAAGACGTTATGGCTGCCAAGGGCAATCCTCGAAGCGAAAAGGTTGATATTGACCTGGACGAAGCGTAAGTACTATAATCCGGCAAGGCGATTTCTGTTGCTGAGGGTTTCGTGTTTTAGGCTACGTGCCAAGATTAAGACCATTGGCGAGAAATTCGAAACGCGAGAAGTGCATTACAAGTCACTCTTGCGCAGCAAGGACGCGGAGATACAGAGCCTCACTGCTAAGTACGAAGAGCAACGCCGTGCTGCCGAGAACGAGGCCGCTCGCTGCCGGGCTTTGAGTTCACAAGTTTCTACATTTTCACATACCGAGGCCGAGTTACGCAGCCAGCTCAACATCTACGTGGAGAAGTTCAAGCAGGTATGGATCGAGATCGATGACCCGATTCGACTCTGGTTTTGATCGACTGGTAATAATAATATCGCAGGTGGAGGATACGTTGAACAACAGCAACGAATTGTTTCTGACTTTTCGCAAAGAAATGGAAGAAATGTCAAAAAAGACCAAACGCTTGGAAAAGGAAAACCTCACGCTCACCCGTAAACACGATCAGACGAACCGCAATATACTCGAGATGGCCGAAGAACGTACCAGGAACCACGAAGAACTTGAGAAGTGGCGGAAGAAGAGCCATCACCTCGAGGCGCTTTGCCGCCGAATGCAAGCTCAAGGTCGTGGACAAGGTCTTGCGGCCGATCTAGATGGCGACGACGAGGGAACTGAGAGTGAATACGACGAAGACTACGAGGATGAGGAAGATGATGAAGGCATCAGTGATGATGAGTACGAAGACAGCACGGACCGGGACATGAACGGAGACCGCAACATACCACCACAGCAGCCCGAGAAGCCTGTTTTTGGACCGCCGCCACCACCGAGCCTCTTGGAGGCCCGAGCCAATGGGAACAAGGCTGTGCTCAATGGATGTCACTGACGATCGTCCTGTTTTCCCGGTTTTGTCTGCTTTTTTGTCGAGTCTGGTTTTCTTGGACCTATTGCCGACCTTGGATTGTCAGGGCGCTCTCTGTCTAACTTGGCAATGTCCCAATCTGACTGAGTGCTATTACTACATCTACATTCGGCAATTGGCCCTGTTAAGCTGAATTGGCTTCTAAAGGGAGATGCGCACTGGCAGGCTGTCGTGTGTTGTGCTGGGCTACGTTCCGTGTCGCATCTCTATGTATGCAAATTTTGGGGCAATAAGGCTTCTTGCATGAGGATTGTCGCTTGTCATTGCTCTCTCATGCTACTAGTTAGCTTTAGAAAGGCAGTAAAGCATGATCTTTCAAGTTTTGTTCCCTTCGTTCTGTACTTGTATGTACATGTGAAAACATGAATGTCTAAACGTTATCATTATGTTACTATGAAATCCATTTCAACGTTACCCAACAGGGTAGCATCATATCTGAGATACATCACACTCAAAGTTTGCTAGCAGATCCTGCCTTGATATATGTCCCTCCTGTTCTCAGCACCTCCACGGCCTGCTGGACCATTTCCCGTACGATGTCACCAGCGGGCTTAATCTCCTTGATAATACCCGAGACATCACCCATCAGGTAAGGAATCTCAATGTCCTCCTTATCCTTGTTGAAATCATGTTCAATAGGGACGATTCCCTTAGCGGTCAGCTGGGCAATTTCCTCCGGTCGTTTTTCCCAGTCCTTGATGTAATCGTTGGGCAGCATACGCAGCGGCCGACCGGAAAGGACCAGGGTCCGCTTGGTCTCTCCAAATTGAGCCCCAACGACCGCCTCCTTGTGCAACTGACTAGCGCTACTTTCCTTCGAGGCAACGAACCTGGTGCCGACCCAGACACCGACAGCGCCCAGCATCAGTGATGCGGCCAAACTGCGCCCATCGTTGATGCCACCCGCAGCCACGACCAGGGCAGGTTGACCCGTCAGCGGGCTCTTGTACTTCTTCGCCACGTCGACGACTGCCGGGACAAGCACGGAGAAAGGGATTTCTCCTGTATGACCACCTCCTTCGCCACCCTGGGCGCATACGATGTCCACGCCCAGCTTGAGGGCCTTCTCGGCGTGCTTGGGTGCTCCGACCATGTTCATGATCAAGATGCCGGCGTCATGTAGTCTCTTGATGACACGCTCGGGGGGCACACCCACGGCGGAGACGAAGAGCTTGGCGCCATGGGAAATTACGACGTCAATGAGCTGGTCCAGCTGGCCGTTGGTGTAGTCGTGGTTTGTAGCTCGGGCTCCTCCGCCAATTTGAGGCAAGGCCAGATCAACGCCAAAGGGGAGAGAAGGGTCCCGTAGGGAAGCCTTGAGTTCCGTCAACATCTCCGAAAGTTGCTCGGGCGTGTATCCTAGACCGCCGACTGTTCCCAAACCACCTGCGTTAGAAACAGCGGCTGCCAGAGGGGCTCCAGAGGCACGCGCCATTCCTGCCAGCAGGACGGGGTGCTGGATCTTCAGCAGTGAGCAGAGGGGGGTTTGAAGAGACATTGTAGTAGCTGGAGTAGAAGAATATTATCCAAGAGCAGAGTACAACAAGGTACGTGGTATAATTGAGATGCTATATAAACTTCAGTCAGCTATAGGGGTTTAAGAATCACTGTCCAAGATCACAGTTGGCAGCTCTTACCGTCCGGTACTCTCGAGCCGCGGTAGTTAGAAGTCTGGCCGATGGTTACTTGTGCCAGCAATGGGCCAATGGGGTTATTTAGGGGGCACTGTTCAGGAGCGATATGAAATGTGAACAGCTTGGGGCCTGCTGCACGAATGCGGGGAAGCGGAGTCCATCAAGCTGATGATCGACGTCCGAACCGAGGCTTCGGCTCTCTCTTTGTTCCATAGCCCTCACCAGTGTCACCACATGAACCTATTCTTAGTTATGCTCATTATACGCAGCTGTATAATATTTCACAAACTTGGTTTTCTCTTCAGTCAGAACTATGAATTCTTCTCACAAGCCTTATACAGTTATTCATTAAGAACAATCGACTTTATGATCGCCGATGCTATTCAAGCTTGGCTCCAGGATTCAAGAGTCACTGAAGAATAGAGTGTTCAATAGTAGGTCAAAGACAGTGACAAGGGTCTTAGAGGATGGTGCCAACAGATGGCAGACAAGACAGGAGATAGACTACCAGCTAGAGCAAGAACCCCCACCCCTTAGAGTTGCAACACGGTTAGGACAACGGAGAGGAGTAGGCTGGCCGGGGTTAAACCAACATCTCGACCAGCTGTTGCCGCCTGTGTGCTCTCCATCGTCGCCTGTGTCTTGGTTACGGTTCCAGTCAAGATGGCAAAGTTGCCTTGCGCGTTACTTCAGATCTAGAATCAGTGACTGTATCATTCGATGAGGCTGCGCACATCGAAACTTACGTTGTCACAGGTGGTGCGCCGCTGAGTTCAGCTGGCTCGCGCGATAGACCTTGAGCTGCTGTTTTGCTTGTCACTGTGCTATCCACCACGGGCCTGGTCTCCGTTGGCTGAGCATTATTGGCAATAGGTCCAGGTGGCGGCTGATAGTAGCCCACTGCTCCTTCGGGTGCAGTTCCAAGCGACCCTGGTAGGCTTCGCTGAAACAAACGATATGACATGTTGCTCACGAATGCATTCAACTGAAAAGTGGCAAGGACATATGGCAGCAGGCCGAGAACCATGAAGCTGCCTATCAGGCTGTTCTGTGACATCCTCATATTCAGAGAAATGGGTATATGCAACACTGCTGAAGGTGTCTTTGGCTTTTTTTGAGACGGCTTAGAGAGCCCCTATAATCCACTATAGTTCAGCCTCTGGAGATTGAAGAGTTAATATGAAACTGTTGTTATCTTAACAGGTGAAGTATGCGGCATGGATGGGAGAGTCATATTATAGTTGGAAAAGGTGCCCCTTCCATTTCCTGCCATGTTCCTGCCTCGTTTCCAGAATATCAGGACAGGAAAAGGAAAGAACATGACCAATCAAGTGAATACCGTAGTACGTCAACAGAGGAAATGACCGATCGAGAAGTGAGTCAAAGTTGATGAAGGAATGCGGCATGTGGAATGGACAACAGCCCTGTGGCTTGAGCTATCCCTTGCAACTGGAAATTGTTCCTGTGACAACTTACCTATTGCAGTCTACTGAATACATGCATATTAATCTACCTCACTTCTTGGATTCTGCACGACAGTTCTTAGCGGCATGGGCATGTTTTAGTGGTTCTGCCAGCGCAGAATGTGCACACTTCATATCCAGAACAAAAGTCCAAGACATCCAAATGAGTGTTCAAAGATCATGAAGGGATCAGTATAAATTACAGTTCCCCCTTGGGAGTCTAAAGTTCGTATCCCTTATCAAGACGCAGCATTTCGGCCCGCGGGAGCTCGTTGTCAAGGCCGAAAACTGAACCTCCAAGCTAATTATTTGCCATGTCTCCTCCATTTAGGGTTAAAGTAGCCCTTCCGTTCACTGTCGCCTGGAACTGTTGACAGTAACTCAACATTGCTATTCATTACTCTAGGATGTCTGACTACTAAAAGACATCGGGTTGACTTTTCCTTGCGCTGCTCCAATCCGGTAGCAGTATGCTCTTTCTAAGTAGCACAGTGTTGCGTTATAGCTCAATTAAAAGATTTGAATAGCTTAAAAGATGGTGGAAGCACATATAGTAAGTTAGTAGGGCATCCAGCGGCGTTGGCCAAAAGCGGTACTGTAATTACGCCGCCCGCGGAACGCCAAAAGACGCGTGATTCGTGTTGGACTTCAGTTGTAAGACTGAGCAAATTAGCACTCCTCATCCACAACACATCTTACTTTTTTCGGTTTGATATATACTCCTTGATTAAACCATCCCGGCTTTCCTACGACAAAGGAGCAACTTCACAACATGGCGTCTGGCAGTGCGGAAAACCGATTTCTGCGCCCTCCAAGGTGTGCCCATTCTGCGCGCCCAGCTATATGGTCAATCAGTGACTGACATTCACTCTCCTCTTAATCGCAGCGACGAAGAATATGCACCAGTCTATCGCTCTTCCTCCAGCTATAACCCTCTTCATACCTTCCAATTGCCTTCTGGCCAGGAAAGGCACTATCAACAACAATATGGCGATATGTACTTCTTGCGACTGGCCAAGTTAAAACCGGCAGTGGAGGAAATTGCGGTAGAGACATGGGAAGGGTTCAGTGTAAGAATTGCCCGCTGGGTTTGCGATAGTATGGGGCGCATCTTGCGCGCAATCGCACCATATGGACCGAGCAAAGAGGTCAATCTCCGGCGAATGTTTACTAACACATTGGAACCGCTAAACAGATCGCTGGGGAGCATGCTCGTCGCGTGGAAAGAGTGCTCGATGTACGACAAGGAGAGCTTTGCTGGGTTGCAGGCACGATCTACATGGACTTGCCATTGAAACCCAATATTTTGGATGACCTGACGAAAGAGGCAAGTCGGCAATTGTTTTCTTCCCCATACACTTGTACATGCTAATGCTATGGCAGAACTTTACATCAGCCCCTCCCCCTCGCCCGACTTACCTTGATCCTGCCCACCCCGAATTGACACAAATCATGCTAGAAGACGAGTCCGGTCGCCTGCGGTTGACCGGAAACATGCTTAGATCCTCCCAACTGGCTACAGGAGCTATAGTTGCCGTGCTAGGAACTGAGAACTCGAATGGAGACTTTGAGGTTATCGATGTAAAGGTCCCTGACCTAGCTCGCCAACCCCGTCGGTGGGAGAGGGACGAACAGCAGTCTGCCCAGAAAGGAACTGGCAAAAGCAAAATTGCTTTTGTCAGCGGTCTTGGGATTACGGGAACTTCGAGCGACACATTATCGCTGGAGATCTTAACAGACTATCTCCTTGGCTACACAGGTTCCCAATCATCAGCGAATGACGAGAGCGCACCCCCAGATGCTTCTGCAATTACGAGGCTGGTCATTGCGGGAAATTCTCTCGGTGCAAGCATGACTACCGACCCTAACGAACATGCAGCTGCTTCCAAGAAGAAAAGTGGGCCAAAGAAATATGGTTATGACGCGTCGGCGTACAATGCTTCTCCAATTACCCAGTTCGATAACTTCCTCGCCGAGATTCTACCCACCATACCTGTTACCCTTATGGCAGGCGCAAGCGACCCAGCCAATTTCTCACTGCCCCAACAGGGTATCCACCGAGCTATGTTTCCGCGATCTCGGGCGTATTGCTCTGGACCCCCGGCTGCTGGAGAAACGCCAGAGCCAGGATGGTTCGATAGCGTCACGAATCCATGGGAAGGCGACATAGAGGGATGGCGTCTATGGGGTTCGAGCGGCCAGAATGTCGACGACGTCCTTCGCTATCTAGATTTTGCGAATTCGAGTGGTACTGCTGATGCCAGTGGGGATGCCGAGGCTAGGGTTAAAATCATGGAGGCCATGTTGCGTTGGAGGTGTGGCGTTCCCACCGCACCTGATACAATCTGTGAGTTCTCTCTTCCCACGTCAATTTCTTGAAATGAAGTAGTAGCTGATTGTCACAGGGTCCTATCCATTCCAAACACACGATCCTTTCGTGATGGAGGCGTGTCCGCATATCTTCTTCGCTGGTAACCAGCCACAGTTCAAGACTGCGGTAATAGAAGGCGACGCTCCCTTGAAGCTGAATGGAGCCGACACAGAAATGACCGGTACGGATGATACCACACCTGGCCCACGAGTCCGTCTGTTATCCATTCCGACGTTCAAGGAAACCGGCGAACTGGTACTAGTTGATACCGAGACGCTGGAGGTAGAAGTTGTGAAATTCGGCACATACGCCGGACAGCAGGAACAGCAATGAGTTGTATGTGAAACTAGGCACCAATGGTTCATGAGATGCCCACAAGACCTTGACATAGCCATAATATAGAACCAACCAGTATTTCCCCATATAATGCGTGGACCTGTGATATTGATGCTGAAATGACCGCTATTTCGGCCGTTTACAGGCAACATATCCACCCCCAATCAAGCTCCATGCGGTTCTCGCCATATTATCATCGATCACTCACAAGAAAAAAAAAAGAAGAAGAAGAAGAAATCCATTTGCACAGGTCGAAAATCCTCTCCGACACGATACATCGAAGGGAAGCGAAAAGAACAGTATCAGAGAATGATAAATAAATGGCCCAAAATGCCAAGACGCGCATATCAAAAATAAAAAAAGTTCATTTAAGGAATTGAATTTAATTCTCCCCAATCCTCCCAACCTGCCCCACGAATAGAAGTACAATCTAGACCAATTCTACGGATCCCCACACATCCACTGTAATATAGACATCGTATCCGGAGCACATAAGCCAGACACGCTAAAAATGCTGTTAAATGCCAAAACTGGTACGCCCGCTTGGATCCCCCCCCCCCCCACAGTCACCAAGTACGTACGTTAACTGATCCGTATAGCTATTTCTACCTCTACAGTACTTCTCGTGCCCTACTCGAAATGGCACGTGCCCCGCTACCACGAATGGATGAAAGATGAAGTATGTTTTCCCCTTCGATCGTCTCATCTCCTCATACGCAAGGATAGAACACTCACCAACACTAGGAAATCCAAGAAGCAACCGCCTCAGAACCACTGTCGCTGGAAGAGGAATACGCCATGCAACAAAGCTGGCGCCAAGATGCAGACAAGCTAACCTTCATCGTGTGCCAGCCCTCCCCCACAGGGACGGGCGGCTCCCCACTCCGCGACGACGATGACAGCTCGGCGCGGATGATCGGGGACGTGAACCTCTTCCTGCGCGTCGACGACGGCGAGGAAGGGGATGCGGACCCCCAGATCATCGGCGAGGTCGAGCTCATGATCGCGGAGAAGAGCAACCAGCGCAAGGGGTTCGGTAAGGCCACACTACTCTCGTTTCTGCGCTACATCGCGGATCACGAAGGGGAGATCCTGGAGGAGTTTGTTCGAGGGGACCAGGCTGCTGCCAAGGCTCTAGGGAAGGCTGGCGTTAGTGGGTGGAGGCTGTCGTGTCTGAGTGTTAAGATTGGGCAGGGGAATGGGCGCAGCTTGGGCCTGTTTGAGGGCGCGGGGTTTCGGAAGGTGTCGGACGAAGCGAATTATTTTGGCGAGTTCGAGCTCAGACGGATGGATTTGAGTCGAGACAGTGTGGATCAGGGTCTGGAGAGGGCGGGGGTCGAGGGATATGTTGAGATGGAGTATCATCGGCGTGCGTAGTGGGCATTGGATTCTGGGACACACACACACAACAACACCTTGTCTGATCGATGTGGTTTGATTCGATGGATGGATATTAAATCGTATCCCGTTTTTAGCGTCAACTGTGGATTTCCATCGCCCGATCCAATGAAACCATCCATGACTCGCATTGGTACCTGGCATATTAGGTGGGAATTGGGAATATCCAAGCGCCTTTTTCTCTGCGATAGTGGTCTAGGGTTTGGAATCCTGAAGCAACCTCACATGGGGGGTCGTGATCCCTCTCCCCCCCCCTCCCCGGCTAAATCTGACCCTCCCTGAGCCCATGTTACGCTCCTTCGAGGCACTGACGTGTGTGTGCGCCCTGATAATAAAACTCCCAACTAATGGCCTTTTATAGCGCAGGGAGCTCGTCTTCTGCCCATACCACTAGGCTGATCCCTCCCCTCCCCTCGTAAAGCATTCCTTTTGGCCCCCCTTTTCCAAACACCCCGGCTTCCAAACATCCCAATTACTACTACTACTACTACTCAACCCAGCATACTCCCAACATGAGATACCTAACACGATGGCGCTCCAGGCGCAAGGCTCCCATTGTAACCGAAAAATACCAGGCCCCGGCCCCGGGCGACATCAACCAGGCAACACAGCCAGATATCCACTTCTCCGGCTCCCCGGCCGTCCACGCAACGTGGTTCAATGTCCATGACCATTCGGATTTCCGAAACATCAGCGTCCGTTTACCCGCCTCAATTGATAAGATCACAATCGCTATCGGCAATCATGTCCGAGATGGGGTGTACAGCATTGTCAGCATGAGCGCCAGCGCGTACTCGATCACGGTTGTGTGTTCGACGGAGAAGTCACAGGCGGAGGTCGCGGAGTGGGTGCAGAGGATGAAGGACGAGCTGGGGAAGGATGCGGTGATTCCGCCGGAGGAACTGATTTTGCTACGAGAATGGGAGGAGAAATGGGGCGTGGTGGAAGAGCTGTCAACCATGGAGGATGAACTAGATACGGATATCGAACATGATCATCGAGGTGAGTAGACGATGTCCTTACGCTCTCTTCTATATATACTCTTATATTGACCAATGGACTTTCCTTGTAAGTGTTGAGTGCTGTACCAAGCTCGGCAGCGTTATGAGGTTCAAGTTGGGAGATAGGCTTTGATTGATGTATACCCTGATATGATTGTTTATTCGGTACGATGCGCATGCCGTCAGTTTGTGTTTTTGTTTTTTAGCCTTTAGTATAACTACCATTCAATGCGAAGGGATGTAACCAATATTCACATTCGAAGAGTAATACAGCTATGAGACAGAATGTATGACCACTGCTAATAGATCGCCAGGTAGTAGAGACGGAACCGCCTCTACGTAGTTCCCCACGAGGTGTTACTACTCATGAAAACTGCCCGCGGACATCGTATTCAACCCTCCAATTTAGGCGCTGAAGACCTCAGGGCCAGGGATGGGGTAACCGCCGCTGAGGTCACTGTAGATGTCGAACAGGATACCAGGGTCAGTATCCTTGTAAAGGGCCTCACCGGCGGTACCGGCCGGTGTGGCGTCTCCGCCGCCAGTGACCTTGATATTGATGCACTGGGGGTAGTTCTGAGCACCATCCTTCTGACCGCCAGAGTGAAGGCCGATGATCTCGTGGCGGAGGACATAGTTGCCCTCTTGGATGGATGTTGGGATGGTCACGGTCCAGCTGTTGTTGTTACTGATCAAGTCATCCGAAGCCCACTGGCCCGGAGGGCTGCTGCCGTCAATGAGACCCTGAGCCTCAATCTTGAAGAACTCCAGGGTGGTCTTGTCCACTGCGGAGCAGTCGCCACCGCAGGGGGCGAGGTAGTTGAGGACAGGGCCGTGGTGGCTCTCAGGCCACTCGGTCCACTGCAGTTCAATTTCGCCACCAGCAGCAACTTCCGCAGTCAAAGCACCTGGCGCTCCGTCCTTATGACAGATGATATCGGGGGACGCGTATCCAGTGCCGTCCACAAATCCGAGGTCGGTGGCAGAGGTGGACCAGCCGATGGTGTCTGGGGCATCTTCCATGTAGGCGTACTTGTCTACAAGGTAGCCGCCATAACTATGGGTAGGTGTTAGCCTCCATCACAACATTTCTATGAACCTAGAACATACTATTGGCCATCAATGACGATTCCAGATAGATAACCGTGGCCGGCGACGAGAGAGGCGGAGGCCAGAAGGCCAGTAAGCGACGCGATCTTGGACATAGCCATTGTGATGGGATGATTCAATAGAACTAAAGGATATCAAATCCGTGGCCAGTGACTGAAAGACCTGCTCGATCAAAGGCGAGAAGAAAGAATGGAAGAGAATGTGTCTGGAGACGAAACGAATAGACAGTTCCTGACGTCTCACTGCCTTTTTATAATGCTCTCCATGCATACCAGGTCCAGCCAGGCTCCTCTTTCCCTGTCCCTAGCCGGGAGGGGGATGCTCCACCCTTGTGACTATGGGCTACCTGCGACACCTGAGCCAGCGGATGATATTATCCGGGATTACTTCGGGGGCAGGTAGATATGCTTCGATCTTCACAGATGCCAATACAGAGACCAATAGAAGATCTTGGCGGCACTGCTAATTAAACTGAGGATCAGTCATTCTACACCTTGCAGCGCTGCATAATTCGACGCTCATGCATCTTCCTGTGGGCTATGCTGGATACCGAACGCATTGCCGTGATTATACATCTCCCAATTCTGCCAAAATTGAACAAGGTCCGCCATGAAGATCCACAAATGACCTTCAAGCACTCTTGAAGAGGCAACAGCCCTACCATGTGACACTAGGTCTGTCGTGCGTCCGCCCAATAGCTTTCCTTAAGACGGTATGCCTGCTGGGCAGTTAATACCGGAGTTGATCGACCCTCGGGTTGACGGACCGATGGCTATTATGCCATGGATTCAGGTACGCGAGACGGCCAGGGCCTCCATGATTCAGGAAAGGTATCGTGCTATGGATCGAATCTTCAGCCCAGCGAGATGAGAGGGGTCTCCGTGATCCATATAGCATAAAGATCATCTACAAGAAACTTGCCGTGACTTGAATGGAAATGATTAGCGCTGAGAGACCAGCTCTAATTCCTGATTCGAGGAGAGTTCTGCACCATCATTCTGGCCTCCAAATTGCCGGCATGGCAGTTCGACTTGGCATATAAACCAGCCTGGCAGACCTCGCGCATGACAGATCCGAGCGGAATTTTTCTATCATTCGGGATTGGGTCAAGAAAGGGTGTCTATGAGAAAGCGGACGACGATCATTGTAGTCTGTGACGGCAGAAGTTGGAGGAAAGTCGACAAGTGTTTCACTAAAAGGCCCGCCAAGCCCTAAACCACAATATAGCCGGTCTTCCGCATGCATGAATCATACTATTTCAATGTCCAATTTATCCACGCTTTTTTATGTGGTCGTTTGCTGAAGCGATCGTCGTCGGTAGTTTTATATATAACTCCCAAGAGAAACGGAATCCCTGGGCACTGCATGTCTCAAATCTAGCCAGTGGTCGACACATCGAGCAGTTTCAGAAAGCCTTACAAAGATCAAGCCCACTGCAACGTCTACATTCTACCCAAGAATCTCCATGGTGAATTGCAAGTTGGACGGGGTGCACGGCATTTCAACTGTTTTTCTCTTCATTAGATAGTAGAACCAGGGAGCTCCGACCAAGCATCCTCTGGAAATTGATTTAGATATGTAGGTCGTCTGGCCGGTGAAAAGTGCCGTTCCGGACTTATGATCACAGCATCCGACAGACGCAGGGACTTCCAATCCTCCCGTATATCAAACAGGTCAGACCGTTTCATCCCAGTGCCGGCCCACACAAGCATCCATGCCAATGCCAAATCCCATTCGACAGTCGACTTATGCTTCGGCAACCGTCCTCCGAGCCCACCTCTCCCTACTTCAAATCATTGAAGGTATTTACAGAGCCTTCTTCTTCTCACCCTTGGAGACATCGACGACCTTGAGGGCTGTTGTAGTATATTCGTCAGCATGGAGTTCTACGTAGTGATGGCCGCGTCGTCATGGTTCATGTCATGTGCCGGAACCTCCACCCAAGGTATGCAAACCGGTGGGGCGAGCAAGATTGAAATCCGAATAGCGACCGAGTGGTTTCAAATGAGACTGGAAGGCAACGCACCTGGGGGCAAGCTCTGCTTGAGCTTGTCGGCCTTGTCGGAGTCCTTCAGGGCAAGGGTGTAGACGAAGCGCTGGCAGCGGACCTTGAACTTGACCTGCTGGGTCTTGCGGTTGCGCTTGATGCGGGCAGCTAGTCGCAAAATCATCCGTTAGCACCATTGTTCCAACCACAACACTCGTCACCCATCGATCACCGGCCGGAGCTCGTCGGAGAGCTCCAAGGCCAACCCAAAACCGCCGAGCGTCTAAGCGGGCGTGGAGAACGTACAGGAGGCATCCTTGCGGCGGCAGATCTCAATGAACTGCTTGATGTCGGAGATTTCACGAGGCATGGTGGGCGGTGATTGGGGACGTAAGTCGGGATGGTCGAGCAAAAAGTCGGGACGAGTGAAGGACAATCGCGATCTCGAAGTCTCGACTTGCGGGCGTCCGGACGGTGAGGCGCTAACGTTGTGTGGGAATTGTTAGGGTTGCCGCCCCGGAAGCCCTCATTTACGTGCGCCACCTCTCTGTGGCGTGTCAACTTCCTACATTGGGTTAACCCACCAGAGTGGCGGTGCAAGCTAGGCGGCAACTATACTGTATGCAGACAGGTAGTATAAAGTACCTGGTACTGAGGCATCACGTCACAAGCTTGATCAAAACTGACATCTGTCATTTTCACATCTTATACAAATCACCATTTTTATTGTGTTCGTATATCCAGACATAATAACTAAGCCAAAATGCCGACTGCCCTAGATCGAGCAATGCACTCTAAGGTTTGTACAGTAGATAACCTCGGATGATGTTCACAAATCAGCTGACAGGCATCTAGAATCTTTTTCTAGGTATTTATCGCTAGTGGCAAAGCAATGAAGACAACCGCTAAAGTCGAATCATTCAGGTTTTGCTGGCATGGTTACTGCTGCAGCGGCCTGGGCCATATGGGGTAGCGATATATTCCCTGCAGAACCAGACCCAACCGGAGGCAAGCATCAAAGATCGTTGATAAAGCGTTAGAGGCTAACGTTGTGAAAAGACCCTGAAACTTGGACTGCCGAAGAGATGAAAAGGTGGCTCCGTAACGTATGTGCTTTCTTCACTTTGTGAAAATCCAAACCCCTCCCTATTCACCCTCATATGTGTATCCTTAATTGACTCTGCCGGCAACTCCTAGAGGGGGCTTATGCCAAATGAAGAAGCTACACGTGAAGAGCTTCTGGAACGAGTCAAAGCAAACCTTCGTATACCGCCGAGGTCCAGAACATGATAATGCTGTTATGATGTGTTGTGATTTGCGCATTCCAAAGTTAATATTCCATCCGTGCACTCCATCAGGTGCTTTCAGTGTTTCTCTTGAGTTTTTGTCGTGTTGTTGATTGAAGGATTTTGTCGATTTGTACTCATACCCCGATAATAATACCCCCCATTGTATCCTTGAGAGGTCTGGTGATTGAGGGATAGACCCTAAAGATGCACTTCTCTTTGTGAACGCGAATTGTTCCCTCAAACAACCAGCCGGAACGTCTGAGATTCAATAAGCCATTCTCGCTTGCGTTTGCCCTTGGGGCCATCGGCCGAAGGGTTTGGCACTAGCACGAAGGTTTCGCTGAACCCACGCTGTGGAAGATCGCGAGACTCTCCAAATCGCACGTATCCGCTGACTAGCACCAAAATCGATTTGTCCTTGAGAGTGGTTTCGTTCGGAGCTTTAAGCCCAGTCGCTGTAGGCGTGGGATATGTTGGGTTGATGATTTGGCAATCGAACGACTGCACTTCGTAATGCGCCGGCGGCATCTGATTGACAAATATTTCTTGAACCGCTTTGCCATCGGCGACAACATTGCCGTTGAATAGAATCATGGAGATAGTTTGGTTGTAAAACGATGATATCGTACCGCGGTTGGACTGAAGGGCGGGGTAGAATGACTGCACAAATTCCGTGGCCGCTAGAGGTAGAATACAGATTAATCAAGTGTGCCAGAGAGAAAGCAGTCTGATGCAGGGGAAATATACCATCCGTAGACACTTTAGTGAGCGCATCTTCACTTGCGGGGGCCATTGTGAAAGAATCAACTTGAAGTACTAGGCGTTGTACCTGTTGACGCCTGCGCGATCCAGATCGATAGGAAAATAGACAGCCAAAATAGTATATGCAGTGGGTGACTATATCGTGGAAAACAAGAATAGATTTAGAGTATTAGTACGTCCGTAGAGAAGTAGAGAAAGGTGGTGGAGAAGAGAAAGAGAAGAAGTACAGGCGGCAGAAAAAAAGGTACGGGAGCTTAGGCCACCCGGAGATTAGCCTCTCCAACTCCGATAAATCACCCATCAAAAGCAGTCTAGAATTTGGAGTCATCCTCCTCCTCACTCCGCATCCAGTTAGCAATGGCTCTTCCCAGAGCACGGTTTCGTGCCCTTTCATGGGCCAACCAATTTCTGGCATATAAAAGTCCAACTTGGCAGTGTACTACCTGCAAAACCCTTCGCCCGACTTCAATTATCGCTCCGCGCAGATTCGCGACAGCACCTTCCGGAGAGCACAAGAAACCGTACTATGTGACGACACCTATTTTCTACGTGAATGCCGGCAAGTCTATCTAATTTCCACTTATCAAGGGCTATTTCTAACTATATATATATATCGCCTCAGCCCCTCATGTCGGTCATCTCTATACAATGGTAATTGCCGACATCCTGAAGCGATGGCGAACGCTCTGCGGAGACACAGGCGCTCAACTATTGACCGGTACCGATGAACATGGCATGAAGGTAGAAGGAATACTCTGAATCGAAAACATTTCGTGGTGTTGACTGTACGGTACAGATTCAGCAAGCCGCCCTAGCCGCGGAAATGGATACTCAGGCCTTCTGCGATATGAACTACAAAACCTTTGAGGTCGGTCCTGCATTCGCAGTTTAGTAGTATTACCTTGGTTACTGACATCCTGGATAGGATCTAGCCAAGGCGGCACATATGGATTACGATTACTTCATCCGGACGACGGAGGCGGCGCACAAGAAGTCCGTACAGTATTTCTGGGTAAGTGATGGACGGCCCTGCTAAGCGGTCCATAGTAGAACTAAATGATGATAGGAAATGCTGAATCACAGAGGCTACATTTACACCTCTAAGCATGAAGGGTGGTATTCCGTTAGTGATGAAACATTCTATCCTCCGTCGCAGGTACAGAACTCGCTAGATCCTACCACTGGAAGAAAGAGAATGGTATTAGCCTACAGCACTACAACGTTTGCAATGAACCACGAGCTGATCTAGCAATGCAGGTTTCCGTCGAGACAGGGAAAGAAGTCGAATGGTCCTCGGAAACAAACTATCACTTCCGCCTGTCTGCTTTTCAGGAGCGTCTGTTGGACCTATACAAGACAGGCTTTATTACACCATCAAATTACACGACTGAAATCGTCAAATCGGTGTCTTCAGGGCTCCAAGACTTGTCGATTTCCAGACCTGTGGAGCGGCTAACTTGGGGCATCCCTGTCCCTGGTGATGATACACAGACCATCTATGTATGGCTGGACGCACTTGTCAATTATTTGACCAAGGCGGGCTACCCTTTCCCCCCCGGTCAAGAAGGCCGCCTTGGGTGGCCCGCAGATGTGCATGTCGTTGGCAAGGATATCGTTCGGTAGGCATAGGTCTCTGTAGAAGCACTGTGAGCACGATACTGATGAGCGTACAGCTTCCACTGTGTATACTGGCCGGCGTTCCTCATGGCACTTGATCTCCCCCTTCCTCGTAATGTCCTCGTTCATGGACACTGGACAATCAACCATGAGAAAATGTCCAAGTCCACGGGGAATGTTGTGAACCCCTTCTTTTCTTTGGACCGGTTCGGTGTTGACACAATGCGTTTCTTCCTTGCCTACCAGGGCGGCTTGGCGGGAGACGCCGATTATGACAACTCCTACATCATCCGTGACTACAAGAAGCTGCTCCAATCGGGTATCGGAAACCTAGTGCTCCGAGCAATCGGCTCCTCGAAGGGGAAACTCCATTCTTACGTTGTCAGCGGGACATCGGGCGAACTTCCGGCCGCAAACGAGCAAGATTTGCAATTTGAACAGTTGCTCAAGGAAACCCCCGTTAAAGTGGGGGAACATATGGAGAGCCTTAACCCTCGTGCCGCTTTGCAAACCATCATGGTGTTAATCGAGCAGGTAAGATAAGCCACTATGCGTAGTTGCGACCTATTCCTGCTGACACTCGTGTTCAGGGTAACAAGTACATCCATCTCTCGGAGCCGTGGAAGGATGCTATCAAAGCTCAACGAGTTTTATTCAATGTCGCCGAATCCCTCCGGATCGCCGGCATTCTCCTACAGCCCTTTATGCCCAGCAAGTCTAAGGAGCTTCTAGATGTTCTCCGCGTCGATAGTACCCGTCCCTCCAAACGGGCATTCTCGGCAGCAGTACTGGGGTCCGATGCAGAATATGGGGAAGGCATTAAGAAGACCGTCTTGTTCCCCCCTCTTATCGTGGAGCAATAAGCGTCACAAGGACGTACGGATTGATAACAAGAAAAACCACGGAAGCCAATCATAAAAGTAGATTAAAACACCATTTGGCGACCTGATTGGCACTATTCTCCACTGACGCAAGGGTCAGGGAAACGTCGCGAAGCTTTTCCCGATTTTGCTCGATGAAGCTGGCGTGCAAGGTTTCCTTTTCCTCACGCTCGACCCCATGAGCAGGGTTTATGTTATGTCATGGCCAATCGATGGTTTTGCTCGATTCCACAAGGTTATCAGCGGAAAAGGCCCAGATCCACGACGCTGGGAGTGATAGATATCGGGGCGGAAAACTCGGGTCTTTCCCGCGGCAAACCTCCTATGGTGGTATCGGAAAGACATCCGCTTGTATATCAGAGAGACTTTGGTGTTTGATACGGTGTATAATAATATAATGGAAGGGTTGGTATTTTGCTGTGCTTGCTTATCTCTCATTCCTTGTCTGATTCCCCTTCTGCTACCACCCATTGTTCCGTGATACATCCCAATTATACTCCTATACTTCTTTAACTCTCCTCTGTGGCAACTGTATACAATCAACTTATCTCTCATATCCTTCAAGACATCCTGAACACATATTCTCAACCTACACTAGCCTAAACCCCGAATACCGATCCTCTATCATGGGTAGCATCGCCTTGGAGGAAGCCCAAACCTCCTTCAAGACACCATGGGTGCAAACCCCATTGGTGGAGTCTGCCTCTCTTTCTCGTGCCGCGGGATGTAGGATATTCCTGAAGCTGGAGAACGTCCAGCCCAGCGGTTCATTCAAGTCCCGGGCCATGGGCAATCAGATCCTGTCACACCTCATCAAGCCAGAAAACGCCAACCGACCCGTCCACTTCTACGCCTCATCAGGCGGAAATGCCGGCCTTGCTGCCGTCTGCGCAGCCCGCAGCCTGGGATATCCCTGCACGGTGGTCGTGCCCCTATCGACGAAGCCCCTGATGGTGCAGAAGCTACGGCTGGCCGGCGCCGCGGACGTAATCCAGCACGGAGACACGTTCCTAGCAGCCGGCGAGTACATGCGGGAAGTGATCATGAAGAACAAGGACGACAACGAGAGCGAAGACGTGGCCAAGATCGCTCTACACCCGTTCGATAACGAGCCCATCTGGGAAGGAAACAGCACTCTCATTGACGAGCTGGCCACCCAGCTCCCTGCCCCCGCCGGTGAAGACGAGGAAGCCACCCACCGTGGCCGCCCACTCCCCGTGGACGCCATCATCTGCAGCGTGGGCGGCGGCGGCCTGCTGAACGGCTTGGTCATGGGCATCGAGCGACACCGTCAGCTCCAGAAGATGAGCCTCAGTTATGCTTCCAACCCCCTCTCCCACTCCCAGCCCAACCCTATCAACCTCCTCGCCATCGAAACCCTCGGCACCGATTCCCTGGCTGCCGCTGTCGCGAAGAAGTCCCTCGTCTCCCTCCCCAAAATCACCTCCCAGGCTACTTCTCTGGGCGCTATCCGTGTCTCCGAACGCACTTTCCAATATGCTATCGCCCCGCCGCAGGGTATTGCGGTGCATAGTGCTGTGCTTTCGGACGCGGATGCAGCACGGGGTGTGCTGCGTCTTGCTGATGATCACCGGACGCTTGTTGAGCTTGCATGCGGCGTCTGTGTTGAGGCTGCCGTCGGTGACGCGGCGAGAGCTCGGTCATCGGCATCCTCCGACGCTGCCCTCACATCTGGATTGAAGAAGCGGAAGAGGGAGGACGGCGACTACCCTTCCCATCGGGATGAAGGCTACGGGGATGATAGGTCCTCAGCGACTGAGAACGAGACGGAGTCGGACGCAGGCAGTGAAATCCAGTCCAAGCTCAAGCAGCTTGTGCCTGGCTTGAACGCCGACAGCCGAGTGGTGATCATTGTGTGTGGTGGAAGTAATATTACGATTGATATGGCGGCGGAGTATAAAAAGCTGCTTAATGAAGGCTGGGGAAACGAGTAATGGGTTCTTAATTTTTTTGTGCTTATTGGCCGGCCATTGCGTTCTTGTTATGTTAATGTTCTCTGTCATGATGGTGTTTAGATTGGCGTTTTTTTAGATTGACTATGATTTAATGATTTAGCGTTTCAAAATCAGATACACTTCTTCAGCATGCACATCATTCCCATAGTAGAAGTTGATGGTATTTACGCGGCGCCTCATGCCGAAGTGGGGATCTCTTGGCTCCATGTTGCAGGGGCAATCATATGAATCCGATAATCCCAGTAATTCTTGCGGATAGGATCATACTTCTCCTTCAGTAAGGTAAACATCTGCACGGCCTCGGCGGTGGCTTGTTCGCCTTCTTCGCCATATATGTCCGCCAACCATTCTAGAGCATGACTGCTCTTGACCTCGATATCCACCACCTTGCCGTCCTCGACCTTTTCCTGGACAAACTTCTTCGCGAAGTCCTTCCACTCCGAGAGCGGCCGGCCGGACGCCCGCAGCACGCCGCGGGCATATCCCCACGGGCTGCGATTTTCAGGGGCTTTAATGACCTTGGCCTTGGTGTACTCCAGTTCCGCGTCGACAAGGTCCTCATCAACCACGGCTAACCTGCCCTTCTCGGGCGGGGGCGCGGTGCTATTCGGCATCCCGCCGTCGGGCTCGTCACTGCGTGGACCAAAGCGGAGCATGAAACGATGATTCCAGGCGGAATTGTTCCTCACGTCTTGTGACAGGAGGAGGTCGACGTCCTGGATCTCTCGGGGCTCGTCCCACAGTCTAAAGTGCCGCACAAGCCAGTGGCGGTAGGTCCAGACATGATAGTTTTTGGCATCTTGCTTGAACATCTCCATCAGGAAGTCCAGCTCCTTGGGCGGGAGTGTCGGGAAGTTTTCCCTGGATGACATCAGGACTTGTCGGTGGTGCCTATGGGTCAATTGTTAGAGACCATCTTAGCTTCCCAATGATTTCTGCGGGTTACTGCATACCATATTTGGTAGTTCTTAAGGTACTTCAATGACATTTGGTTCAGCCATTCAAACTCTTCATTGAGGTCTTTTTTGAGAGCAAAAAGATTCTTAACGCGGTAAATCCTAAACATTGGTCGTCAGTGATCGGCATGTATATGGAAGTACGGCAGGGAATCATTTGCACGTACCAAACAGTGTAGTGAGCCGGATTCATGGCGATTACATCGTCGGTGAGTTTCAGGGCCCTGTCGGACAGTTCATTGGCAGCCATCACTGCTCTTAAGTACGAGGTAGCCTCGAGGTATTCATCTGAGTAGGCAATAGTCGCCAGAGGAAGGGTCCCTGTTTCCGAGCCATCGTTGAGCGGGATCGGCTTAATGGAGGCCCATGTCGGGTCTGAGGCGTATTTTCCAGACATTTCTGGATCGGAGGTGTTTTCTTTGGCAGGGTGAAGAGCCCGGGAAACGTTGATATTATCCAATGACTGTTACTGGAGAAAGATTTAGGCAAGATATACAGCGACAACCCGATCAAACAGCATCGACTCAATGTTCCACCTCTCTGGGTGAACAACGGTGCAGATAGCAGGATTATAATAATATTAAAACCGTTTTCTTCCCTGACTTGAGGATTGTCGGGAGCCTGGAGAATGGACTTTCGAATGGGAAATCAATGGATGAATGGATTGAGCTATGGTGGGGCTGCGCCGGCCTCAGGCATCCCACCAGAACAATAGGGCCTGGACAATGGGAACCATCGACGCAATGGCAACCCTGATTCCTTCCATTCACCCTTTTCTACAAGGCCACGACTATTCCAATGGACTCCCCTCCGTGAGTCTGTCTGTGAATCTCTCCAGGATGCTCTGCCTGAGGTGTCCACGACGCACACATGACTTCCACGATGAGTCTCCAAATGCCCCAAAAGAGGCAAAGTACCCGGGCCGGTTCCTATTGGTTCCAGTGTATCGAAACTGATAACAGCCAAAATTTCCCCGCACAAGAGGATTATTTCTCCCCGGGAAACATTCATCGCTAACTCGACATCATGATGTCGAGACTCTCTTCGGCACTCTCCGGAACCTGCTGTGAAAGAATCGGGTGACAATGCGACGTGTCAAGAAATCACGCAACGGCTGTGCCAGGTGTAAAAGCAAACGGGTATGCGCTCACAGTCAACATCTCCTCCGCATCCGCTGATCTCCTCATGCGATACATCCATGGGACAGTGAAGGCTAAAAAGGGACCTTCAAAGAAGAAATGTTAACGCACTTGTCTGGTCCCAATAGGTCAAATGTGGGGAAGAGAAGCCTCACTGCAGTCGATGCACTCGCTTGGGCGTGAAATGTCCCGGGTACGCCCAGTCTCTGCGCTGGGTGACCAAGTATCCATCCGCTACTGAGGAAGACGATAGCAATGCTCAACTGAATAGGTCACCGCTGGGCCCCGGCCATTCTCCAGCCCCGGGGCCGTCGACCGCCTCCCCCCGACCATCGCAATTCCCCGAGGCCGTAGTGGAGTCCCCATTGGTCAAGGGCGATGCGAGTCAGACAACCACACACGAGAATCCGGAGCCAAGGGGATTGGGATTAGACGAAAGCAATGCATTGAATGAGAGTCTATGGGGTCTCCCAGAACCGGGTTCACTCCCAGAATTAGCAGATTTGGGGCCGTCCCCATCTTCAGCATCAGCCTCGGTGGGTGGACATGAGCGAGCGAGCTCGATATTTGATCTTGATACCCCAAATGAACCGGGAAACCCATTGAACTTGTTTGCTTCGAGAGCGCCTGAATCTCACCATGAGCTGCCCAGCTTTTTCGGCTTCTCTCCATCGGCCATCGTACGGAAATACCCTCCATCAAACCCACAGCCACCCCAGCGCGACCTTACGTCAATTCCTCAACCCTTGAATAATCCGTCCTGGACCCTCATTGAGTACTATTTTAAAGAGGTAGCCGCTTTATTCTCCAGCTATGACAGTCAGATGAACCCGTTTCGGTCAACTGTGTCCCGTCTTTGGGGCTCCTCGTTGGCCATGTGTAAGACCATGCAGAGTATGGCAGCGGCCACGCTGGTGAATGATTTCCCGCAGTTTGGCCCATTGGGACGTAAGCTACGTAATGAGGCTGTCGATATCATTGCCAAAGAGACTGTCTTAGATGATAAGTCAGTATTAGCTTTACTCATGCTCGGCCAGACGGCCAGCTGGCATGATTCCAAAGATCTAGGGATCTCATTCTTCAATCTACTTCGGAATCACCTGGAGACCAGGCCCTTAGAGATTGCCAACTCGGAGCGTGGCAATAACCATCAGTTCTTCCAGGAGGCTCTGGTATACTGGGAAATGCTGCTGTCGTTTGTTGCAGATGACACAGCAGTCCTGTCCGGCAATACAGCTGCAGACCCAGGCGGACCGCTGGTCTTGCAGCGGATACCACATCCATGGACCGGCATCGCCCGCGATACCCAGTCTACTGTTCAGGAAGTAGGAAGAGTCGTGCGTTGCGAGAGAAAGCGCATCCGTGCCAGAGCATTTACCTCGCAGGCCGATATCGCCCAGGCCCAGAAGGCCATTGAGAAAGCGCGAGAGCTAGAAGAACGACTGCTCGAACTGGCACATCCGGCTGAAGCCGAAATAGTTAGCCCCGGAGATGACGAGACGCCGGTGTGGCACCTGTTAACCATGGCGGAAGTGTACCGCTGTACAGGCCTCATGCAACTGTATCGCGTCTTCCCGGACCTCCTTCGCCGTCGACTAAGCTCGCAGCACCCTTCTTCCCAATCCTACGATCAGCAACCCAGTGCAACCCCTCGCGATCCATTCCTCTCCGTAGACACGGCCCCAGACCTGCTCAACTCAGCCTGGTTCGAGCCTATGTATCTGCGCCCCGAAAGCAACCCGCCAAACGACCCGGAGACTCTCCCAGGCACCTACTACGACAGCTGGCTAACGGAGTTCGCTCTGACCACTCTCTCCCGTCTAAAGACCATCCCCATTGAATCTCGCACCCGATGTCTCCAGCCGTTCTTGCTCGTCGCCTCCAGCAGCGAGCTCCGCCTCCCCCGCTCAGAGGTTTCCCTCGACAACAGCGGTCCCAATATCTCCTCGCATGCCATCGAAGTATCTCGTACGCGCCAGTTCGTCCTCGGCCGACTCACGTCGTTTCTGCATGTGCTCCCCCCGAAACCGATCGATGTCTGCTTGCAACTCGTGAGGGAAGTCTGGAAAAGAATGGACGCGGGGGAGTCCAATGTGTACTGGATGGATGTGATGATCGAGAAAGGTTGGGAGACGACAATGGGCTAATTGGTGGGTATGGACCTGGCACTGCGATCGATTGGATACATGATACCCTGCTTCGTAATTAAGCGTGTATAGTTACAATAACAAAATTGGATAATATTTCAGACGCCCTCCTGTAGACATGTTTCAATCATTCAACTGATGCTTTGTTATTCATTCAATGCCTATCGCCGCAACACCCACAGAATGGATCAAGTCACATCAGTCGTCAATATGAACCCCTCCTAGGTTCGATCCCAAACAAAATGGCCGAAAAGTAAAAGCAAAAAAAAATAAGTTATATAGAGGGTTCGATACGAAGTGGAGGGAGAACAATGCAGAGGTATCGAGAGGTGGCAGCCAAAACAATAAACACATGAGAGTAAAGATTATACAGAGAATCGAATATAGCGAATCGAAATGAGACTCGAGAAACATGCGGAATGGGTGATTAAATGCATATCATGTCAAGTCCAGTTCCTGTCAGAAAAGAAATGCTGAATTAAAAAGAGAGAGAAGGAAGAATAACTGAGTCCCATCGACGCAGTTGGCGTAAGTTGAATGTAAGGATGAATGCCTTCAAAGTGGGAAGGAAGGCGTCACATTAATGCATTGCTCGTTTCCAAAACTTCCAGCCCTCTCTCTTTTCCTGAGTGCCTACACCGACGAGACGCTCGATACCTTCAGGGCCATCTGCATTTTCGAACTTCTGCTGGTCAATCTCCTCGCCACCTTCTTCATCGGTTCCATTGCGGACCACGGCGGGCCACAGGACACCGACACCATCTCCGCCCAGAGTGGTTTCGTACTTCGCGAATCCTTCTTCGTCCAGCTTTTCCTCCAATTGGCGGATAGCACTCGGGTCAGCATCCGGACGCAGGAGGGTGATCGCGCATCCTCCGCCACCAGCACCGGTGAGTTTCGTCCAACCAATGTTCGCAAAATCCACAAGCTCACGAATTCGCTCGAGTCGAGGGTGAGAGACTCCTAGCGAGACCAACAAGCCATGGTTGATGCGGATAAGCGCTCCGATGCGCTCGAGCGTATCCTTGGAAATGGCTGACGAATCTGTTTCCCGAATGAGCTCCTGAGCGGAAGCGTTCACCTTCTCAATGGTATCGAGAATCGCCTCCGTCACTAGCGGTTGTTCTTCTTTCAATTGGCCGACCTTTGCTACTTCAACCGCCGTGGAGCGGGATTGTCGAGTGTCCACGAGCAGTAGCGGCAGCTCGGGGAAATTGGGGAGCGAGCTGACGGCCGGTGGTTTGGAATAATCGCCTCTTCTGAAAATCACGGCCTTGCCGCCTGCGGCGACCGTGTTATCCACCCCGCTGGGATTGCCATGAATGCACATCTCGCCAACGAATGCCCATCGGTTGATGCGCTCGATCTGCACCTCCGCCTCGTCAGGGGGTTGATCGGGGTGCGGTCCAGCTAGAGTACGAATCTGAAGAAGGAGTGCAGCACTGATACAGACACATATACTAGCACTGCTGCCCAGGCCCGCGCCAGTTGGGATCGTCGACCGGAGGGTATAGATCGCTCCCGGGTGCTGGGGAGAACCCAACGCACAGAAGAGATACAGGAACGCAGTCGCAGCGCCACGCTGATGTTTCCGCTTGTCTTCCGGTAGGTCTGGGGAGATGCGCTCCACGAGAGGCAAGATCGCGTCGAGAAGCTCGGGGTCAATTGAGGTGACCAGGTCGTAATAGTACTTCTTCTTCGTTGGTTGGTGAAACAGGTCCCATGGCAGCTCGTCGATGCTCCAAGTGTGATTCAAGCCAATATCTCTGAAGTTCAAGGTGATGGTGCGTTGCGATTTGGTCAGAGTTGTGACCAGGAGGTAGGATCGGAGGGAGATGGCCGCGGCCATGGCAGCTTTACCGTGCACGACGGCATGCTCACCAAAGACAATGACCTTACCCGGCGCAGAGACCATGAAGGCGGGCGCCATTGGCGAAGAAGCCTTTCGAGCCATAGCTGGTCGGTGAACACCGTTGGTGGCAGACTTTGTGCTCGGCGGACTACTGCTGAAGGAGGGAGCGGTTGAGGTGTCGTCGGAGGTGTCTACGCTATCGTCGCTGGCAACCGAAGATTTTGAGCGAATAGGAATGGACTGTTCCGAGATTAAATGTGACATAGAAGGACGCTGACGATTCTTGGGGGCTTTAATACTGCCGTTCTTTCGGCGTCCACGGCCGTTCTGCATTACGACCTCCGAGCGCGTCAGGGGGGAAAAGAAAGCAGTTGAACAGGGATGACGAGGACTAATTGGAATCTTCAGCCGAGAGAGGGTCCTTATTCATGCAGGAAATCCAAGCGCATGACGATGCGAGGCAGCAAACGTGTAGCAAGACGGAGAAAAGAAAACAAAGCAATCGACCAGCTGACCCCAGTGTGTGAAAGTCACGACGGCGTACACTGCCTGAGGCCCGTCGTACGCTGCGGGTCAACCCAATGGGGCTCATTTCAACCCCCCCGTCCACTTTTTTCCCCTTTGGAGGATTCCAGTGCCCCTTCTTTTCTCCCCTTAAAAGGCCCTCGTCCACTTCCTGTACCAATCATATCTCAGCCAATTGTCAGTCATTACCAAACCGGGATCCATCTAAAATTCTCGCTTTGGGAGCAAGAGACCGAATGGGCCTCGAGTTCTGGTTCTAGTTCTCGTTCTGTGTCACAATGAGCCGGGGATATCCGTATTACAATTTACAGCATACACCCTGCTCAATGGACCAGGATCACGTCCGTTGAGATCCCATACGATATAGTACAATGCCATTCATGGAAGTAGGGTCCCCGCGTGCTTGTGCATAGAAAGTGTCTAGAATCCGAGATCGATCTCAAGCTTCCGGCCCAGCGTTGCCGTAGCTATTTTTAGTGGGTCTTCAGGATTGATGGCCGACGGAAATTATGTGGCCTCTTATGACATCCTGTCAGAGATTGGCGCGGGATTTTACGAGGCAGCAATCACGTAGTATCTCTCGAAAAGTCTTACAGGAAAATCAGTTCTGATTCGCTTATTCCAATTTTCAAGAATTTATTAACATCTATATCATTGTTAAGACGATAAAAAGGACTTGTCTTTCTATGACCCACTCACAGTTTACAAGCGGTAAGGCGCACGAGCCAAGACTGTGTAGGACAACGACCTCTGAGGCCTGATATCCCAGAAAAGATGTATCAGTTCTCAGGTGGGAGGTTCAAGTCTAGTCATCGCCATTGGGTCTCATGGACTCGGATCACTTTATGTGTATCTCTGAGACTCGATATGCTGGAAATTGAAGAAAGAAAAGAGGGGGGGGCTTTTCTCAAGCTTGAGGCTTCCGAGATATATTCTACTTGCAGTTTAAGCCAACTCAACCCTCTATGTAGTACAGCGAAAAGGATTAAATGAAAATATATACATGAACATTGTATTCTCTAGAGCCTGAACCCAAGGTCAGGGAAGTCAAGAGTGGAGCCTACATTTACAAGGCTGTAACTACACAGACGAGTGTATCTTTACAATCTCCAATGCCAGCCCTCTTGATGTTCGAGTGCCATCATAACAATGTAAATCCCATGCTTGTCAATATATACTGGTGTATCATATATCTGTACAGCTCAGAGTACGCGAGATCTATCGCCATCAGAGCATCGTTACAGGTTCATTGTCACCGTCATACTGTTGCTATGTACTAGCAAACACGGTGGCAACCCCTGCCATAAGACTTCCAGGTCACTCAGATAAGATTCACTCGTCGCTTCGCCTTGTGCGGTGCCTTCCATGGGAGACGGCAGCGTTGTAAAGATGACGGCAGTTTCACTGCTATGCTCTGCCATCAACTCATTCAAAATCAGGTGTTGCGCTCGGCTAGGAAGATCATTAAAGGACAACGGCACAGACGCCCGCCGGGGGTATCCGGACGCAGTACCAGACCCTACCGATGATGATCGACGCGTATAAATAGATTCACGCCGGTTCGAAGCCCGCGGAGGGGGTGAGCTCGGTGCGAACATGATCGAGGGTCCCGCACCTTCATCAGTGTTGACTTGAGCTTCAGGAATTGGCGACGAACTGAATCGATTGCTGGACGCCGAACGGCTGATAGGTGGTCGGGCTTCGGTCGCTCGGCTCTTAGGAGAGGCTTCAGGGGCAACTATAGATGGAACGTCGTGTCTCGCAGTATCTGCGGATGCAGGATCCTTGTTGTCTGTGGCATCCTCTCTCTCATCGACAAAGGGCTCAAACTCGCTGTCACTTGAAGAGCTGTCGCTTGAGTCGTAATCAACGAAGCTATCTAGTAAGCGATGTGTTTGCATGCCCAAATTCACACCGCCAAGCCCTTTGAAGCTGGAAATAGAACGCCGACGACGCCTGGTTGATTCCATGAGCTTCTTTATCCCACCAGCCAACTGGGCTGGAGCCTTTTGTAAAGTATCATGGCTAGAAGCAGCATGCCAACTGGAAACCCTTCCCAACTCGGCTCCAAACTCGTCCGCGTTGGGTTGGTTGTGGGATCTCCTACGAAACTTTTCAATATCCTGCCACCAGCCTTCATCTTTCAATGCAGTTTGCACCTTGTCCTGCGTATCTCTAACCTCCGGCGACCTGTCACCATTTACAATAATGCGATAACTTTTTACGTCGCCACAAGCGAGCCAGAAGACCAGAACTTCCGCCTCGATTCTCAGCTTTTCAAGGAGCGCTTGGACCCGCCCTCGCTCATCATCCACGTCCGTTTCGTATTCGACGAACACGGCTACCCGTAATTTGTACGTCTTCTTCCACGATGGCACGGTGTTCAGAATACACCCCAGCTGGAGGATAAGGGTATATGTATCAAAGTTAGTGGTAAGAACATTCTTCTTGCTTTCGCTGTCAGCCCCAAGTTCTGCAGACATCTGAATCGGCCAGAGATCGATGTACTTTTTCTGGTGCTGTCCAGACGTAGGCAGCTCAAGGTTTTCAAAACCTTTTGCCACAGCAACATTGATGCGGAGCTTGAAGAGAAGATCTTCCAATATTGTGACGTAGTTTGCGCAGCTCATTTGTGGCCGAGGTACATCATCCACTGCAGACTCAGGGGCCACGTCATGTCTGTCATTCGAGTCTTTTCTGGGTTGCAATGTCTCAACTAATGACTGACCATTGCGAAATTGGTCAATGACAACTATATTTGGCCGCATTCCTCCAAGACCAGAGTTTAACACGATGTTACGGATACCCCATTCTGCAGAGGGAGAAACTGCAATGTTGACAAAAGCTTTCACTTTTGAATTCTCAACAAACTTGGTCCAGGTAGTTTGCTGGCGGCGAGCTTCGGGCACCGCAGATGAGAAATCATCAGTCACAATAACATGACCCAGTACGAATAAGGCGCCTTTCTTCAATGAGTTGCAAAAGGAGACCATCTTGTATTGTTCATCAAGATTGGTCACAAACAGCAGAATTTGGGGCCTCCAGAATTTAACATGTTCCTGTCGAAGGCGAAGTAGATATTTGCGCACTTGATGATATATCAGGCTTTGACTCACATCG